TAAACTAGTAACACTCATTTGGGCATTCATTTCTGGTACAAGTAGTTAACACTCCACTAATCACACAATTAATTGAGTTGATCTTTCACAGAGGGACAAGCTTAAGATCCATTGACCTGGTATTTCTTTTTTTTTTGTTGTTCAAAGAACAAAGGGGTAGTTGAACTCTGAGTATCTGTCGCATCATCTTGGGATATTTAACTGCTAGCCAAGTGAAACAGAAACAGAAGCAGAAGCATATTAAGCAGAAATACGAGTACTCCGCACACCTGAAAGTCAGTCAGTCAGTTGGATTGCCGAGTCACCTGTCGTACATTAACGGTTCTCACACTCTCGTAACAGCCTCAAAAAACCTGACTTGTATATCTTTGGCAAACACACAGAAATTACAACTGTGGCAGCTCTGGAAATACGAAAAACTACTGAGTGGCTGACAGCCATCAAGACTCAAGACTCGAAAAACCGAACTGAACCGGCCATGATTTTAATCGTAGTTGAAGGTGTTTCTGAGCCTAGTTTCTATGGTATTACCTTAAAAACCCCATATAAAATGTATATCAAAGGCAGAGAATACAACACAAATGGGAAAGGTTTATAAATCTAAGCACTTCATTCAACAAATAAAGCTGCAAGGATGGTTTACCTGTAATATGTTTATACTTTTTTTTTGGTGAAAGCTCTTGTGTTTGACCTGCTAATCACCTAAAACCCCTTGTTCAAAATAAATGAAAATCTGTAAAATCGAACTAAGATATATATAAAAAAAAACTACAGTTTCTTTTATGGGCTTCCAAAAGCTGCTTGCGTTTACATTGAATTTCTAGAGATATGTAAATCGCCATCTGGATTGACTTTCGTTCGCTTTGCCATTTCCCAGAAAATTATGTTGGAAAATGATTGGTGGTAAACAAGCAATGCGAAGCAATAATCAAGTTGCAGTCGTCGTTATTCAAGACATTACCACATGCAAACATTCCATTTCGCTTTTAATAATGCCTTACAAATGACAATTAGGCGCGATTTTCAAAGGAAAAGTAAGTTCTTTAAGCTCCAAAAGAGTGAATGAAATTTTTGTATGCTAAGGCAAAGAAATGAATTCACGGAAATGGCTTTATTTGAGTTTTACGACCTTTATGCATTCTTGTAAAGTACCAGTATTCTATACCTATAAATGTGTAGCGTATATATAGAAAAACGAGGAAACGGTAAACCATTCTTGATAACGGCAACCATTATGCAAATTGAAATCGAAGGAGCAATAACTGGCAATTGGGATTGGTGCAGCAACATTGCTTTCGCCATGTGAATGTGATTGAATTTGAATTTATTTTATAACGCTTGCCTCGAAGTTGCAACAGTTAGCCACAGCCGATGGAAATAGATATAGATATAGATAGTGTAGGTATATATATTTATCTCTGAATCACCTCATATGCATAAGAGCCAATCTACACGTTCGGGCATTTGAAAGATGCAATTTGCCAGTTGCATCTCGCTTTAGGAAATGACTTCTCGACAATGTTCGCTTAAATATGCATTGATTGTGTGAGTAATAGATAAAGTGAAATACATTATTATCGCCGCAAAGTGCTGGCTTGGGAAAGAGAGTCGCACCGAGTTATTTCAATTATATACGTTTTGTTATTGAAATGCAATTGTGTAATGCGTGGAAAAATTTTAAGTTTTCTTTGGAATTTTAATCATATTAAATGAATAATACGAATTTTTCATTACAATGGATGCAGTTATTGGTATCCCAAAAATAAAGGTAACTATAATATTGTTTGTAATAAAATATGTATTATATTACACAATTATTTCATACAATTTATTAATATTTTCATATAAGAAAGATAATATAATTCTCAATATTTCGGGGTCATCTATTTAATTGATTCTATTGATCCTTTTTCGTAGTTTCCGAACTCCGGTTTTAATTTTAAAATTTCTATGTTTAACCGTTTTTGGTGCCGATAGATCTTTCCCCCAAAAATATGGATATTTTGTTAGTAGTAAATAGATTATGATCGTAAATCATTATTTGCATAAAAAGAAAGAGAGACTTGGCAACAAAAAACAAAACTCAATCAGTTTTTTTTTTTAGTATGAGTTTTAGTCAAGAGATAAACTCGAAAACTTATTTTTATCAATCCTTGAAAAATCGCAACTTTCTAACAAGAAGCGCACATGATTAGAGAATATTAGCTCGTGATTTATGGCCCAGTCCAAAGCCAACTTCTATCGACCTGAAATTCTGATGGCTATTCAAAGCCAATGAAACGAAAGCCGCGCTTCGTGTGAATAAGCAAATATTGGAATATACATATATGCACGATATATGAAGTATCTTGGTCGTGTGTGCGATGGTGATGGCGCAAATGCCAAGCACTGTGAGTCACGATAATCACTTTTCGCGGCGACAAACACGTAGCGCAATATAGGAATATACATACGAGTATTTTATTTATATGTTAATATAAACACAGGCCCATTGTGTATAACCGCTAAAAACCGAACATTTCGAGTCGTAAAAGAGCGCCTCGAAAAAAAACGGGTTTTCGGCCACTTCGATTATTCTGCTGTCTCGCAGTTTGCTGCTCAAAATACTGACGAGTAAACCTAAATTGTTAATATCCCCAGTAGCCGCAGATACTTGCAAAAGCTCGCACATGCAATGTGCAACTGGCAACTAGCAATGTGCAACATGCAACACAAACCACATTCGAAATGATGTCAGCACAGATAAATTAATGTAAGCCAAGCCAAACCCGCTTCTGTGGGAGATCTCACTCGGAAAGTGTGCGATGAGAGGTGGTAAACAATGGAGGCCCCCAGATGATGAAGAGCTAGGTGCTCGGGAGCCAAGATTCAGATGCGCATTCCGTGGGATGCGCACGGCCGATCAAAACCATGTCAATGGAGCCCAGCGAAACTCGGTGAAATAATTGCGGTAGCTCGATATTTTTGCATATCCATCAAAGTCACATTCGAAACTATTACTGTGTTTATACGATGCCGAATTCACGCTATCATTTCACGCTTTCGGCCGATTCGTGCTTGTATAAACGCCATTTCGTGAATTCGGCAACACACGAAAGTTGACTATGATTTCAGCCCAAAAGCGTGATTTGGTGATATGCAGTATGGTAACTCTGTAAAAAATGATCGACGTTGCCAGATCGCTAGAAATTGAAGGCCTTTTATAGGCTATATCTCTAATCAGTGGTATTAAAAATTAGATATTTTTGCCGGTCCGGTATCCCTATCAGCTGAGAGTGAATAAAAGCATGAATTCTCGGCTGTCGTATAAACAGGGGTTATTTCTATTTCGCGCTTTTAAGCAATCGTGATTGCTATCGTATAAACATAGTATATTACGACCTCCAAACTCGATCTTTTATAGGTCTTCATTCTTTTCCTTTGACCAAAAGTTAATTTCCATATTCATTAACACTAAATATACTGCAATAACAATAAATATTTTTATAGCAGCGATTATGAATGATAACTCCTAACTCCTATCCATAAAAATACACAGTCCCCCCAATATTAATGTCATTCATAATGGTTGCAATCTATGCGAAGCCTAAAATGAAAGATATCATAGATCATAAGTAGACATCGGATTTTATGTAAAATCGTTTTTTTTTTAAATACGATTTAAAGCAACATTTTATTAGTTGCAAATTTGATTTATTAAGTTATAATTAGATTTAGGCAAAACTTAATTGAGGTTTTTGTAAAAAATTTGTAACCAATAAAATTTGGCTTTAAATCATATTTTAAAAAAAACGATTTCACCTAATATCCGATGTCTAATCATAGCTGACATATTTGATCCATAAACAAGAAAGGAAGCTAGCTTCGGCCAGCCGAAGCTTATATACCCTTGCAGATCATTCCTATTAATTAACAAATCGCAAAAATGTTCAATTTTCTAATATTTATCATTAATTTTCCGATCGTTCCTATGACAGCTATATGATATAGTCGTCCGATTTTGATCAAATTAAAATTGAAATTCGGAATTATTTAAAAAGAGTCATATCCTAGAGTAGAAGATAATACAATAAAAACCAAAGAAGCTAGAATTTATTTCCTATTACTTTTCCATTAATTTTCCGATCGTTCCTATGGCAGCTATATGATATAGTAGTCCGATTTTGATTAAATTAAAATTGAAATTCGGAAATATTTAAAAAGAGTCATATCCTAGAGTAGAAGATAATACAATAAAAACCAAAGAAGCTAGAATTTATTTCCTATTACTTTTCCATTAATTTTCCGATCGTTCCTATGGCAGCTATATGATATAGTCGTCCGATTTCGATAAAATTAAAATTGAAATTCGGAAATATTTAAAAAGAGTCATATTCTAGAGTAGAAGATAATACAATAAAAACCAAAGAAGCTAGAATTTATTTCCTATTACTTTTCCATTAATTTTCCGATCGTTCCTATGGCAGCTATATGATATAGTAGTCCGATTTTTTAAATAATTAATTCGAAATTCAGAAATATTAAAAAAATAACATCCCCAAAAGTAGAAGGTAATATTTCAAAAAACACCAAAGTTAGAATTTTTTAAAGTTTTTTTTTTCCGATTGTTCCTATGGGAGCTATAAGATATAGTTGTCCGATCCGGTCGGCTCCGACATATATACTACCTGCAATAGAAAGAAGACTTTTGGGAAAGTTTCATCCCGATAGCTCAAAAACTGAGAGACTAGTTTGCGTAGAAACAGACAGACGGACAGACGGACGGACAGACGGACATGGCTAGATCGACTCGTCTAGTGATGCTGATCAAGAATATATATACTTTATGGGGTCGGAAACGTCTCCTTCACTGCGTTGCAAACTTCTGACTGAAATCATAATACCCTCTGCAAGGGTATAAAAAGGTATTATGTTTAGTATAAAAATATTTTTCTAGATAATAAAAGTTAGTATTATAAAATTAATTAATATTTATATTAAACCCCCTTTTCGAAACTCACCGTTTTCCGTTGCGAGAACGCTTCTCGGTCTCGGCCTCCTTGACGCTATCCCAGCTATCGCCCACTCCCGAGGACATGTCGTCCAGCCGCTCCTCATCCTCCATGCCCGAATCCTCGAGGCTGATGTGGCAACTGGTCAGGGTGACGGCGGTGCCATTATCGCCCACCTCGATCCAATCCGAGGTGCGAATGCGTTGGGATCGCTCGGTTCCGTAGGGCGATGAGTCCGTGGAGCAACCCGAAGGGCAGCGTTTCCTCGACGAAGAACCCTCCTTGCCGACATTCTCCTTCAGCGATTTATTGACCGCAAAGGTGAGGGTATCCTCTTCGTCCACATCGCCATCTGCATCCTCCACATTGTCCGCATCCACATCCTCGGTGTCCCCATCATCGATATCGATGGAGTTGTAGCGCCTGCGAGGTGCTACGCTTTTGGGAGTGGATGTGCTTGGAGGCGTTAATGGGGATTTGGTGGTGGGCAGCTGCTCCAGGGAGCAGGACTTGTTCCTCATGGCCGCCAGTTCCGAGATGAGCATCTCGTGAAAGGCCTGCTTCTTCTGCGGAGTATTTCCCACGCTAATCGAACTCTTCATGGTTTGCGTTTGGGGATGGGAACCACCGTTCACATTAATTCTCATGCAATTCCCGGAGGATTGGATGGTCAGCACGGGATCCGCCTCCTGTTTCAAGGCCTCGTGTTTGGTTATAATGGTGGTATCGGTGGCCGCCTGTTTCTGGCTCTGATTTATGATGATTTCCGAGAACAGACGCTCGGCGGCATTCTTGAGATTGTTCTTGATCTCCACTGTTCGGCCGGATAGAAATCCCCCAGGCGGAGTGCCCTGCTCCTTTTGAAGGCCATCCAGGGTGGTCTTGGATCTTCTGAAGAGGCCAGTGGATGGATTACTAGGACCCACCGGTATATCCTCCACATCCAAGGTGGCCACGGGCAGCTGAACTATTTTCCGGGGTCTGGGAAGCGGTTGGCTAGCCGGCTGGAGACCCGCCCTCTCAAAGTCCACCTTTCCCAGGCTCAAACGGGTCTCCTTGCGGGGCGTGGTCTGCGGGGAGCCACCGATGACGCTGATGGAGTTATGACGATTCACCGTGACCACCGACGAGGAGGAGGTGGAGATGGTGATGGAATCCCTGGGCTTGGCCGTTGGAACATCGGGTGCTTTGCGTAGTTTCAGCGGTTTCACGGGCGGAATGGGATTTGGCACCGCTGTAGTGGGCGTCTGGGTTTGGGCCTGTTTCTTGGGCAGATTAACACTGGGCGACTTGTAGACCAGGGTGCGACCCACTGCACTCAGTTGGCTAACAAAGGTGGGCTTCTTTTGGATGATGGGCGGCGTTGCTCCTGCTGCTGCTGCTTTGGGCCTGGGCGGTACTGGTGGACCTGGCCTCTTAACCACCACCGCTGCAGTGGCTCCTGCTGATCCGGCGGCTGTGGTGGCCATTGCTATATTCTCACGCCAAAAACCGCACTCGAAAACCAGTATTTTTAGGTCACTTCTCGAACGGCGAACAAGAGACTGCAACTGCGCTTATTTATTATTATTACTTAGCATAAGCGCGCAAATGGGAAACTAGTTTTGTTTGGCTCTTCTCACATGGCGATCTCCTCAGCTCCTCAGCTCCTCATCTCCCCGCCGATCCTCCAATGCAGCTGCCTTCGAAAGAGTCGATCTCTGATCTATTTTGAATATAGGCCAGTGCAACGGAGCTAGTTGGATGTTGTACGTTGTACGTTGTACGTTGTATGTTGGATGTGCCAAGTAACACTTTATTGCTCGGTTATTCTGCTATTCAGTTATTCGATATGGAATATGGCCACTCGGCTTTTTGCTCTTTGGCGAAACTCGTTTTTCGTTGATCTTTGGGGTTCTGTGGATTTTAAAGTGAAAGGGTTCCGTTTATTTTGGTTTCTCGTATCTCTACTTCGGGCCAATGGAAACTTTAAAGGCCCACAATGCCAAGCCAATTTAATAGTTCATTATTTTTGTTGGTAAAAGAACTGAAAAAGCCTATAACCCATAATAAGCAATCTAATTGCTTTATTATAATAGGAAATACACTTGAGTTCCTTGAGGTCTTTAAAGTGAAAGGGTTTTGGGATGGGAACTCTTATAACTGAAGGTAGTTAAATCAATTAAAATAAGCTTATTTCGGGCTAAGATAAGCTGACAAATGATGGAGCTATAAAAAACGATAAGCAAAGGGTTTAATATTTTAACAAAACCATAAAGGCACTTAAAATATTTAACAAAACACACACACGGCTTTAAAAGAATGGCGTTGGCAATTAACGGTTTTTGTTGTTTGTACAAAGAAGTTTCACTTTAGCACTGGAATTTCGGCACTTGCTGGATCTCGAGTTTACGATCTTTTAACGGCCTTTATTTGTTTAAATTTTATGTATATTATTTATGCACTGCACCCACAGGCACACACACACACCTAGATATAAATCACTGAAGCGATTTACAAGGCAGGGTTAAGTGAGTTTATATAGGGTTTTTCTTCGGGGTCTGTAGTTCCAGTAAAAAATGGAAGTTGTCTCGGGTTATTCTAATGAGTTGAGTGATTCATCTGCGTTTGTCAATAGTAAATATTGCACTTTTGCGCTTCAAATAGCTGAAAACCATTGCATCCGAAACACTCACTCACACACACTCAGGCACACTCACACACACACGTTGTTTTTGAACCGATTCGAATGCGAATACGAATACGATACTTTGAGATACGTCCGCTGAACGTTGCGCTTTGCACGAGAGCCAGAAATCAACTGAAACGGAGAAAAAAGATTCGAAAGAGCGAATGCTAAGCGCACCTTGCTCAATATTGTTGTTGCTACACGGCCACACGAGTCCGAGTGTGTGTGCGTGAGAGTGCGGCAGTGTGGGTGCTTTGGATAAACGAGTGACGCGGCAAAACTCGAAAAGTCTGCACTTTAAAGATATAAAGATACTATAGGCAGACGCGGAGCTACACTACATCTCATGTAAAATTGAAAAAAAAAAATTCAAATAAAAAAATTAAATTTGAAAATTTTACTATATTTAAATTATATATTATTTTCTTATTTTTAAATTTCATCTAAATTATGTCATCTTAAATATCAGTTTTTATAAAACGTAATTATTCATTCAACTGCAAATATAAATTCCCATATATTTTTAAATTAATGATTAATTAATAATGAATAAACGAATAAATATTTAAATAGAATTTACTGTAACTCATGTTTCGTTAAGGACAGCAGCTACAAAACTTTGCTTTGTTTTCTTTGTTTTTTTTTTTTGGAAGACCCTTAAATAAAACCCCAATAGTTAGAGTTTCGAGTAGTTAGAAACAAAACGAGTTGAACTTTAATTTATCTTTAACTTTTCAACCGAAACCAAAACCAGCTCTTATACAATTCTGGTTCCTCTCTTTTAAATAGCTCTCCGGATTTTCGGAAGAGAAACTTGGCACATGGCCAGAAGTGCATTGATTGCTTCTTGAAAACGGGTGGTGTACTATGAAGATGATGTGGGGACCCCCGTTTGCCGGCGTCTGGCTGCTGTTCGTTTTTTGCCTTTTTTCGGGGGGTCGTCTGGCGTTGCAACAGCTGTTGTTGCCGCATCGCGACAAAACACCCGGCCACCCCAACTCCCAAAAATAAAATCTTTATTGATTGCATGTGCAAGTACTACTGTATGTAACATAGGGTGGACTTTCATGAACCAAATGGTAATGTAATAATATTTTGTAAAATCTAAAAGCTGTGACTTTAAGAAAAAATCACACATACGTAAAAAATTACTCATACGACATGTTAACTCGGTCAACCAATTTTTTAAGAGAACTCCAACCGAATTGGAAAGATGTGCAAAATGTGTATTTTTAGGGTGAAAGTAAGATCCCAACAAAGGCATCCATTTAGTAAAAACAATTTATAAAACCAAAAGGGGCATTTTGAAGAGGGAATTCTTGGATGACTTTCTTTAATAAATGTGAAGAGGCATCGAAGAAAAATAACCAGAATGAATATATTAAATTCGTATTCATAAATAACTTCTACCATTTTTAATTGTTTTATTGAAAGTTGTAAAAAGGCAACACTACGTATGAGTAATAAGTCCATTTGTATTTGGAGACACCAAATGAGAATCTGGTCCACCCTTGTAAATATGCACAGATTTTATAGAATTACTATACCATGAATGCATGTTACATGTAAAAGACATGAAATGGGAAGTTAAATTAATTGCTCTAATAGTACATCCCTCTTCACCACTTTTACTAATGTCACTGCTGAGTAAAAGGCCCCAAAAATGTGATACTTTAGAATGTCCGTATGTAATTTATGGGTTCTCACGGCAATGTTTTTGGGGGTAAAGCCATTTGGAAATGGTGCATTCATTATTGAGCGAGTAGACGGTCATCGCTAAACTATGCAAATGAGTTAGGGAAGCCAAAAAACCAATCAACAGGAGCCAAAGCATTTAAACCAATGCCTGTTTTACTCATGTTTTCAAGTACTTCAACCCTTCGCGCGATTATAATACCTAAGATTTACAAATGTCTGCAGTGTGGTTCCCCATATCGAATTACACCCATCTATGTTTACTTTGTACTTATTACTAGCACGCACCTGGGGAAGCCCCAAATACGAAGGTTAAGCTTTTGTTAAATAGCCGCCCAGCCCGTAGGAATGAATGTTTTAGACATACTTTAATCCCGAAGCACTTCAAAACCAAGCCCCCTTCCTTCATCATAAGCAATAATTTCGTTAGGAGAATTAAAGTTACAGTTTATGTCCTGTTTGCACATTTTTACTTTACACAAAATATAAGTTGTTTAAAATTTAGTTATAATAAGGGGGTTAGATTAAGTTTGTTTGATTTTTAAAATAACTTATTTTCGATTCGGCACTCCGAGTCATTCGTACCCTTGCAGGTTGGCCAGTAGTTCGTTTTTAATCTACATAGTTAAAGTCAAGTTGGTGACTTATGGCCAGACGGACAGATTTAATCATAATCGAGAATATCAAAAAACAAAGCTTCTGTACAGTAAAAATGTAAACTTACAAGGGCATAACAATATACAATTGACTTTCGAAATAATCAACTTGTTAAAACAAATACCTATACACATATTCACACACTCAGCGTTAAAAATACATAACATATTTTGCGTAAGATTAAACAGTTCGCGCCAGCAGCAATTGTTAACAACTTTTACAATGGGGGATAGAAAATAGGTGTTTGGGGACAGACAGAAATTAGTAATTACGGATTATATGCATATGTATAAATAAGCGATGGCGCTAGTTACTAACGATACAAAATGTCACAAAAATAAAATAATATTTTACTTTTACTCTTCTATTTATCTCATCCACTACCTAAAGACTAATCCGCGATGGCCGTGTAGGGTAGACTGCTGTGCTTCGGCTTCGTCTTGTTGATGAATACCTTGATGGCGCCATTGAAATCGGCGCTGACCAACACATAACCACATCCCTTTTTGTGCTGCTCGACCAGGGGATCCGGCTGATTGTGAGCCAACTGGAATGAGGAATCATTTTTATTAGAAGTGCTCTTATAATAATCTGGATTATCACCCACCTTCTCATTCGAGATCTCGTCCGGTTCGGGCTTAATTATAGCCTCTGGGTGTGGAGCGAATATGGCACAAGTGACCGTAGCATTGTGTGCTTTAATGCCTTCCCAGAAGTCGCTGCGATCGCGCCGAACCTGCGGGTAAATGTAAACGTTATAATAATATTTTAATTTAATTTTTAATATTTCACCCACCGAGCTGAGTTTCGAGTAGTCGTGGTTTGTTTTCCATATATAGATGCATTGATTCTCGGACCCGGCAATTATATACTTTCCATCGTTGCTAAACGATCCCTTGATTTGCGAGGACACATTCAAGTATCCCTTGTACTTGCAGGACAAGTTCAAGTCCCTCAAATCGTAGAGTCGCACTCTGCTGTCGTTGGAGGTGACTAGAATTTTGTCCTCGCCGGGCATCGGTTCAATGCCACTGATCTTGCGGCCAATTCGATTTTTACCCCTGGTGGAGCGCACATGAATCTGCGTATGGTATTTCAGCTGATCCGTGTTATAAAATATGCAACGGCCATCGTACGTTCCGACCACAGCAAACTGTCCGTTTTGGCAGAAGTTGGCAGCCGTTATAAGCTTCGCCTGGCCATCCACCTCATTCCACAGAGCCACCTTCTTGTCGGGTATATTCCACAACCTCAGCTTGCCATCGAGACTGCCACTCAAAAAGTAGCGATCATCGCGCGGATGGAACGCAATGGCGGTGACAAAATCGATATGCTGAAAGCAGCAAAGGCACTCCTTTCTGGAGATGTGCCAGAGCCGCACAGTCTTGTCCATGCTGCTCGACAGAATGAAGTAATTCTTCGACCAGCTGACGTCCAGCAAATCGGAGGTGTGTCCATTGTAGGTGCAGAAGGGTTTCGGCATGAAGGGCCCCGTACATTTCTCGGCGGCGGTGGCCATGGCAATCGCTTCTTCCGCCGAATGCTGCGAGACGAGCGACTCTTGCGAGGGCGTGGGCGAGGATTTTTGGTCAGCATTGTATTTGTTGCGCATGTCCTTTAATGAAATGATTTTGCGTTAGGTAAATGTATAAATAAAGGGACTGCATATGTTTACCTGGAAAAACGGATAGGCATCCTTGAGAACCCAGATCCTCAAAACCTTGTCCTGCCCAGCAGTGGCCAATAGTCGGCCGCAAGAGCTAAACTTCATGCACCAAACGGCACTGGTGTCTTCGCCACTCAAATCCTGGACATGCTGCAGCTTGGTGAACTCGTAGGGTCCCTTGTTCGACGACGAAGCCTTGATTTTGATATTCTGCTCGGGATTCATGGCATCCACTATGTCGGCCACATCCTCCTTGTGCCGCGCATGCGACACCTCGGACGCAATCGACTTGGCCTTGTCCACCGTCTTGCGCATCGTGGTGCCAAAGAATCGTTTAATTCGCGCCGTCTTCTTTTTCAGCCTACTGCCATCCTCCGCCTCGAGCTCCTCCTCGTCGGCCGGCTGTCCCTCGATGCTGGGCGGTATGCCAATCACACTCTCCTCGTCCGACTCCTTCTGGATCACCTCCAGGTGGGACGTGAGCTTGAGGATGTGCAGCGAGAGCGGATTCCATCCCTCAGGCACTGGTGGTGAACGCATTTCGGATAGCGGCATATTCTCGCCCGTGTCTAAATTTTTAACAGGAACTTGTTCAAGGATCTCAAAGTCGGTTAGCTGCTTGCCTGAGCTGGTACGCGTGCGCACATAGATGTTCATCTGCTTGAGCACGTCCTCGTCGCCGGCGGACTTGCGGCGCTCCTTGTCGTTGACGCCGCGATAGAAACCGGGATAGCTGGAGGGCAAATTAAAGCGTTATAAAATTATAAATAAATAAATCATATGATTACACACCGCGTGGAGCTGCCCAGGCTGTTCGATCCAGTTCCCGCCAGCTTCGGTCGGTTCGCACTCTCCATGAGCATTTTCTCTATGCGCTCGATTTCATCTTGGGACGGACCCTGCGCCTTGTTGCTGGCTTCATCGCGTGGTTTGACCACATAGCCACCCTGAATGGCCTTGAAAAGGTTCAGACCCTGATTGGGATCGATGGAACTGCGGAAAATAATTGAATATATGTCAAAAACCATTTAAGATATATAATATGAAGTAATTACCTAACCCTGCCTGGCGCCGAGTTACTTTTCGCCGAATTCGATGGACTCGGCTTGGAGTGAACCGATGTCGAACTGCTGCCCAACGATTGCGTGGGTTTGGGGCCAGCAATCGTGACCGAGGAGGCCATGGGACGCATGTGAATTGCACTTGTCGAGGGCATGGACGAAGATGCCCCCGTCGTGGAGGCCGAAGCGGAGACGATTGTGTTCGTGGAGGAGCAGGTCAATGTGTTATTGGAGGCTGAAGTGGTGGCATCATTCAGGGAGCTCTCAAACTCGCGCAACTTTTGCTGCAGACCCTGCACACTCTTCACCGAACGGGTATCACTGTCGGTGTCTTCGTTGTCCGCCGGTGGCAAACTATACTGATCCGAGGAACTTATAGAGCAATTTCGGGACTTCTTCTTCCGTCGCGGTGGCGCCACGGGTCCCGACGAGGTGATGGAATCAGTGGTCTTCGACTGGGCAAGCTTTGTGCTCGCTATCACATCCGGTTCCTGCAGCATTATGGCGCCAGCAGTTGAGGATTGCAGCGAGGATGTGGCACTAGCAGGTATTCCTGTTCCTGTGGCCGCTGCCGCCGCTTCCTGACCGCTTTGCTGCTGATGCTTTGGCGAAACCCTGGGCGTGCTCATCCCCGAAGAGGTGTTTCCCGTGCTCGGCGGCGTGGAGTTGGCAGGCTGCGTCTGCGGTTGCTGCTGCGCCGGCTGCTTCTGCTGTTGCGCATTTAACGAGGCCAGGGACTCGCGATCTATGCTAATAGCTGGGGAGCAAATAAAATACGAAAGTCAGCGATTGCTTTGTTTTTTCTTGATAAATACCAACTCACCCGATGGATCAATGCTGCCCGCCAAGATGCGGCCCACGCGACCCAGTGATGTCATGCTCTGTATGCTCATCGCATCGGTCTCAATGACCTTAAACGGATGCGTCGAACGGTTGGTGAAAATGCCATCCGTTGAGCTGTTCTGTAATTTTAATTAAAATCATAAGTACACCTGGGAGACCAGCGGCGGTGGTGACACAACAAAAAGCTGAGCAAACACGCTAGATTACAAAAAATGTATACCTGAGAATCAGGTGTGAGTGTATTTCCTGGATTATCATCTTCATCGTTTTGCATGCACTGACGTAGTTCGTGAAAGCGCTGTCTACCCAACTAGATATGCGATATATGTCATTTTATTTGAACATTTGTTCGAGATTCGATTTTAAGTTGTTTTTCCATTGATTTTTTAAGTTGGGTATTTAGTTTTTATTCGTTGGTTTTACGAAATGAGGCGGAGAAAATATGAAAGTAAAGAACACAAATATGGACACAAAATTAAGGGGGTGATTTGGATATCAGTCATTAGATAGAGTTATGTATTTTGAAAAATAATAATCACCAAATTGTGGCAAATTTAAATGTTCCTAGGTTTATGCGAAATCAAACTATAAAATGGCATTTGCGTAATTGCTAAATAATTATATAGACTTTTTTTACTCGAGGGGGAAATGACTAAAAACCTAGCTTTATCTTTATACTCTGAAGTGACTGTGCTCTGTGGTTAAACTCTATAAACCATATCATATCGGTTTTTAATCAATTTTTAAGGTCACCTATGGAGAACTGGAACATTTTATGGCTGTTAACTGTGATAGTAACTATGGTTGGTTGTCTATAAATGGTAGGTACATGAGAATATCTAGGTGGAAAGGGAAGTAAACCTGGATAATAATGCATTTCTAAGCTCATAACATTGTAATTTTAGCTAATTAGTGCTCAAATAAAGTAATAATACAAAAAAAAGTATAATTTCTCCTACTTTATAACACAGAAAAATGAATGTGAGTCCTAAAAGACCACTCTAAAACTCGTTACACCAGACATGTGAGCGGAAGGAGGGCTTTCGCACATATGAAAATGGTTTTCCCAAGGTCACCGATGATGGATCGTTGCCCCTGCTCGATGACATCATTAACTTAGCCACCAGAACCCCTCCACTTACAGATCCAAGCACGGGTTTCGGCTCCACAAAGACCCCGGCATCCTGCTGCTTAAGACGGGCACCCAGGCTATTGGTGGGACTCCTGGTGGCGGGCGTTCCGGCGCCAATGGGCGTGGCATCGCTGTCGGAGGAGGCGGCCGCATTCACACGCACGGCGGGATCGGGAAAGATGAACTCCTGGGCCGCCTCGGGCGGTAGCTTCCGACTGGAATGGGTTTGGTTTAAGTAGAGATTTATAGTTCTAGAAGGGCTATCAATTAAGTACCCACCACAAAGTCGCATGACGATTGGGCGTTGTGTCCTCGGCATCGAAAAACTCCTCTGAACTGTCCGAATCCGTTTCCAGCTTACTCATTTCCGATCTGTGATTTGTGCGCTATGTGATGGCTATCCTATCGTTATTACCTAACCACCCAATTCACATGCAAATTGTTCACGAAATTACGCTTTTCTCTCTGCCTTTTTTTTGTTATTGATTCCCTTTTGTTGCTGCGGCGCCCCACTGTCTTTTGTTGTTGTTGCTGTTGCTGTTGCTGCTGCTGCTATCTACTGCTGTGACGTCACTCGCTGCCGCACTAGCGCTGATTGCAATGCATTTAACATTTTGCTGTCGCCTGGCTCTCGTTGAACATAATCACACTGCTAATTTAGACCTTAATCAATTGTTAATTGAGTTTTTACGCTTTTTACGCGTAAATACTAGTGGTGTCAAAGTTGCGATTGCATCGAGTATGATTCATGAGCAATCGATTGTCGTAGAGATGTGCGTGCTTACTTCCATGACACGAATAAATGATAGGGGTATTACCCAAACTGAAAAATTGTTGAATATTGTTGAAAACTAGATCTACCTTGAAATTATTATTTGCTTAACTAATATTTACTGAAATGATTTATTTATTACACCCAACTAGAAATTGGGTATTATTAATTTATTCATTAGCTTTTATTTTTTCGCCCCAAACGTCCTTCGGTACCGTACTTAGGCATTATAAATTAAGAATTTAACCGGATTCTTTAAATACATTATACTAGTGAGAGGAACTTGTGTCAGTAAAAATGGATATTTCTATTCAGGCAATTCTGTATACGTCTTTAATCTTAGTGTAATCATAATTCCCCCCCCTTATTAAAGTCTTCCACCTCGGTTGCGATCCGTGCTAGGGCAGCATGCGATAGTTGCTGATAAGATATCGATATAACGACATTTTGATTTCGTTTTGCCATCTCAAATGCAATTTTCCGCACGGCCCTCGAATGAAGTAAACAAAGCGAAATGTATAAATGCATGTGATTTTGGCGAACTTGTAACTTTTAGCAAAGCGACGCGCGGGACGACGACATCGCAAGTGAAGCCGTGAATTCGAATTCCGCGGGGCCAAGTGTATATTTAACTTTTGGTAGAGCCCAAACGAAATAAAAGTGAATCCGAACAATTACTGCGGAGTAAAAAAAACGGGTGCCAATGATCGCTACTACGCAATAGAAAAGTAATTTATCAAACAATTTCGCCACAGCCACAAAAACCAATTGAAACGAAACCGAAAGTTTTGGTTTTTATTCCGGACAATAAAATTGATAAGAGCACGTTAACCCGTTCCTGTGGCAAACGAAATTACGGTAAACATAGCTGCATAATAATAATCCGAACCGATTTCACAAGAATCGAGCTTACAAGCGAACAAAGTCTGGAAAATATTGGAAATCACTAGTACTACGTAAACTATGTGATTATGTGACTTTTCTGCATTGCGTTGAACAATAACTGAATTGATTTAAACTATATATAGTATGGATAAATTCTATATCATATGACTTTTAATTTCTGGAACTGAAACAATGAAACCAAAAATAAGTTTTAAAATGGAACCAGATGGTGATGCTTATCAGTTTTAAAATACTTCTTGTTTGTGAAATACATCCGTTTATCACAGTCAAATTACCAGCTTCCGCATAGATCTTAAAAAAATTAATAACGGCATAACTAACCTAGTGTAAGATTATCATCCACACGTCACTAATAGCGGCCATATTTGATAAATTCTCAGTAGTACTCAATCTAATCTGAAATCTGTGCTCCGAGCACTTTAATAATATGCGTGTATTGTCGTTTATCAGCGGTACATACGTATATTATAACAAATCGACTAGACTTTGTTGAACAACAATACAGTGATAACTTGTTTTGCAAACTGGTTTCGGGGCTTCAATCTTGTTTATTAATTTTTGTTGAGAATCGAAGGGTTTTGATGCTGGCATAATGCCATATGTACCCATGTGATTTTCAGTAATTACTGATCAAAACAAAGAATTTCCTCTGAAGAAGTGGTTTACAAGGATGACAAATCTATTTATATAGTTGATGGGTGATATCAGAGCTTCAGCTTGATTAATAAAGGGGAAAGTACCAATGTTTGTTTATCCGACCTTTCAATTCTTTGTTTGAGCACATGTAAATATATATTCCGTTTATATATTGATCATTTACTGACCTTATCTTACCCAAGGGACCCAGTTTCTCACTTAAATTCAGTTTTCCGCACGTTTTGATTGATAACACTATGCAGCATCAAAAATTTACCTCGATGGATGCTATTTTTTTGGATTCGTTACGAATTCCAAAGTTAAACTGCGTTTTCCAAAAAGTTCCTCGACGCAAGGATTCTTAGCAAAAGGACCTCAAAGTTCGAAAAATGCTGAAATTGGCCAACATTCCGGAGCTAAAAATGCTGCACAGTGTAATCAAAGCTTGTTCACTACGCCATGTCTCATTTTTAGTGCAGCGTGCAAAATAATCTCGGCCATTTTGATGATCCATTGAAAAATTGCGGCCCTATTGGCGACAATAATGATTCAGAAGTGATTTACGAGTCAGCAACTCTTTGCAGTACATAGATTTTATATAGATAGCTTTGGAACCCCCTAATTACACTTTCGATTCAATTCTTCTATATGAACGACTGTGGAAGACGAGTCTTCCCCCATAACGAGCTCGGTTACCGGCGCGATAAGACACGATTTCGTGGAGCTTGGAGCATAAATTTCCGCATTAGCAACAGTCAAGTGTGTTATAGTTACTTTATTGTGTTAACAGTTGAAAGTATACAAATACCCACACGCCACAAATCAACTTTGAAGCGCAGAAGAATCTATTGTCCTCGAGTTCTATGCGTAAAAAATTGTGCTACTTATGTGCCTCTTTAGATTTGTATATAATTTATATACATGATCTGTGCGAATTTGGGATTTATACATACAGGATTACCGGAAAGAATCTAGAAATCTAGACAGTCTTTTAATTAAAGGCCCGTCCGAAAAGCACAATTATTAAGTCCAACAGCTAAATACATATTCCCCATTTATTGTGCTGAAATTGGAGTATTTATTCAAGTGTTATATACAAAACAAACTTGAGTGGCTTCCTAGTAACGAAATTTTGACTACTTTAAATAAAGCCTATAAAACCGGCTTTAAAGTTGAACAACAAGATTTTCTTTGTTATCGTGGTTTTTGGAAGAATGTCTTTAAAAGGTCGTATTTTACAATTACACAGATGAATTTTTGAGACAGAAAATAGTCATGGTTTACAATATAGAGTTTAGATCATGTCAATTGAACTAAAAGTGAAGATTTCTTGGGAAATGAAATACTAAATTCAATGAATCAGATGTTTTTACAGCCTCCCGGTGTTAGTACGTATAGATATTCAGGCAAAACCGCCTTCCCTCCCCTTTTTCAAGTAATTACACGGCTTCTAAATCTAATCTAAATAATTTGCTTTGTGATAGTTCAATGACAATGACTGCGAAAGATAAGAGTCGGCCATAGTTATAGTATTTCCCTTTCTTCGCTCACGGGTTCGTCTTTCGCATCGCTACTGCTATATGTACTTTTTGAACTTTTGAGGTATAGTCACTGTTCTAGCGGGAATTTTTGAGACGGTGCCAGTAGCATATATACCCCTGATTCCGATTCCCATTCTGATTCCCCCAATACACATGTGTAGTATTGCCGTTTAACAAAGCCGCCGAAATCGTACCACTCCATTGTAGCAGCGCCATCGTAATCTTATCGCTGGAAAAGTGAACAGTTTAAGCTGCATCGTGCACATCAAATCGGAAATCAAATGGAAACAAAATATCTTGACGTGGGCGTTTCGAACCCAGCGTCTTCTGAATTTTCGTTTAGTCTGTTTGTGCACATTGGAAACGACGGTTATCGAGTTTTGCGCCTCTGAAACTATTCTTTTTCGCTTAATTTACGGTCTGTTTTGGTCGGTAACAGTGATATAAGTTTGGTTTATGGTCTTTATAAGGGTGATTTACAAGGGAAATTTATCATAAGATTGCTTAGTTTCAACCAAGTGAATATAATCGTCTTTGGAAGCACTTTTAAATAACTTAAACTTAAATAAAAACCTTAAAATTCAATCCAATAAAATTTATTGTGCCATCGATTTAAACAAAAAACCAAATATATCCCTGTATTTAAGATAAAAACTTGAGGTTTCTTCTGATATGGAATTAAATTAGTTAATTATAAATTAAATTATAATTGTGCCATTGAATTAAACAAAAAAACAAAAAGATCCCTCTATTTAAGATAAAAACTTGAGGTTTCTTCTGATATGGAAATTAACTTTTAGAATTAATTAAGTGCCTTTTTATTGGTTATAGTGAGGCAGGACACGCTTACTCATCCTGATGAATTAATTATCGGGCAATGGTCTTAGTTTGATTGACTGCTGTTCCTCATAAAGCCATCTAGTCACACTTGAGCCGCTATGCTTAAGTTTTACAGAGACTTGCTTATCACCGCCCCTATATTGTATTGATTATGGCTGACATTGTCCATATCTGAAAGATTTTCCCATCACCGTATATGTCTGATACTGGGAAAGGCATCTAGTTATTCAATGATTTTGTTGCCAGGTGGCGGATTTGGGGGAAATATTTGCCTACTACATTATTTCTATCAAAATTAACGTGTGAATTGACAGTAAAAATTGTATTTCGATTTTTCAGCTGGCTGAAGACCATCCTTTCCGAAGACTCTTTCCACTGGACATGAACAGGCAGTAGTGTCTGAAGAATATATCCCTAGTTCCAGCATAAAACAGCTCGTAAATAGCCGCAGCAAGGCAGCCAAAAATGACAAACCACAGCAGCTTCTTCGATGAACATTTCGCCATGATATACTCCAACCTGATGGATAACTATATGCCCGAGTACTTCAAGAGTTTCGAGTACACACCATGGGTATTCTCACTGCTGGGATCGGTGGTCATCGGGTTGAGTGGCATTTTCCCACTGATCATCATTCCCACGGAGGAGAAAATGGCTAAAGAGGGATACAAAGATCGTAAGTTTATTGGTTTTACAAGAAAAAGAAAACCGATATGAAATAGGATTATTTCTACCTTATTTTATATCAATAAAAAGCCGATATGATTTATGTCAAATTTAAGATTCAAACATATCAAAATGATATTTTATCATATCATAAAAAATACCAAATGTAGTATTTTTTGAGCAAATAATATAAATAAAGATTAACATAATCTTATTCATATCAAAATGATGATTAAAAAATATCAAATTGACCATTACCATTCTTTTTTTCTGTGTATATACTTTACTTACCAACTTGATTAATTTCTAACCATCTGCAGCTGCGGAATCCAAACTCCTGCGAGTTCTGCTGAGTTTCGCAGTCGGTGGTCTGCTGGGCGATGTATTCCTACACTTGCTGCCAGAAGCCTGGGAGGGCGATAATCAAGGTGAGTTTTTAAGATCTATAAATTGCATATTAATTTATTATAAAAAAAATATCCCCTTTAGATCCCTCTAGTCACCCGTCACTGCGCTCGGGACTTTGGGTCCTATCCGGCATACTTATCTTCACAATCGTAGAGAAAATATTCTCCGGCTATGCGAGCGCAGATGAGGAGAATCCGCAGCCCAAGTGCGTGGAGATAGCCAACTGTCTGCTGCGACGACACGGTGGTCAATTGCCAGAGGGAGAAACCGCGGAGAGTTGTGGCGGTGCCTGCGATATCGAAGATGTGGACAAAGTTTGTTTCCTGCGCGAACGCGAGCTGAAGTCCAAGGAGAAGAAGGAGCAGCCCAAGAAGGTGGCTGGCTATCTGAACCTCTTGGCCAACTCAATTGATAATTTCACACATGGTCTTGCGGTAGCTGGATCCTTTTTGGTGTCCTTCAGGCACGGAATCCTGGCCACATTCGCCATATTGCGTGAGTACTGCCGTTTGGGCTTAATATATAGCAGAGACCGAAATTTAGATTAAATTAAAATTTAATTTTAATTTTAATTTTTCTTACAAAAAAAATCACGCACTTAGAAGGGTCCGTAAAATTTTTTAAAATACACCACTATTTTTATTAGCCATTGTAGTTTACAAATCCGTAATGATTTTTTTTTTTTTTATAATAAAACTCAAAAAATAACTGTTATTTTTTGATTTTTATGAATAACAGTTATTCCCTTGACATTTTTGAAAAAATGAAATAATTAAAAAAAACATAATACCCGAGCTTTTTATAACTTACTAAAAATTTGTTAAAAAAGGCAAACGGACATATTTTACAACTATATTTTTTTTAATTTATTTTACCCACAAAATCGACATAAATCAAGTTTGAGTTTTATCTTTGATCACGACGAATTTGTCAACTTTTATTATAAAACTCAAAAATAACAGTTATTCCTTGAGTTTTACTTTAAAAATCAGAAAATAACTGTTTTTAAAATAAAACTTATAACAGTTACGGTCCCTGATACTCCCAGTCGAGTTATAATTGTTTATAACCCTTTGGATGGAGGAATGGGCTCTATATATATTATATAGTATAGAATCTCATGCTTATTTCTCCCTTCAGTACATGAAATTCCGCACGAGGTGGGGGACTTTGCCATCCTGCTGCGTTCCGGTTTCAGTCGCTGGGATGCCGCGCGTGCGCAGCTTCTGACGGCGGGAGCTGGCCTCCTCGGCGCTCTGGTGGCCATCGGCGGCTCCGGCGTAACTTCGGCCATGGGTAAGCTTAAGTGGGCTTTCCACCTGACAACAACAACCAACAAACTTATCTTTACATTTACAGAGGCACGTACCTCGTGGATTATGCCGTTCACCGCCGGCGGCTTTCTGCACATTGCTCTGGTCACAGTATTACCTGATCTCTTGAAGGAGGAGGAGCGAAAGGAGTCCATTAAGCAGCTGCTAGCACTGATATTTGGCATTGCGTTAATGGCCGTGATGACCATGCTATTCGAACATTAGGAACTTTAGATGACAGCCAGTATAAGATGGAAAATTTAACAACACACAGTTTGTAATTGGCAGTTTCAAATTGACATGAATTTGTTGTACTTTATGAGGATTAACCAGAAAATCCTGCCTGCGTTATGTAATTATAGCCAATATGAATGATATTTAAACTATTGTTAATGATTACGTATTACTGTATCATACTTATGAAGCGAAAATTCAATAGATATTTAAGGGCAGAGTCTTTGGCTCTCCACTGTATACTAAACTGCCTTTATTTGGATTTGGGTTTCCCTTAAAGAAAAAATCAGACAAATGGGGGCTTCCTTTAAAAAAACCAGTTGTTTTATTCCGTTTTTTCTTTGCAAATCATGTCTGCAAGCTTATCTAGTGCCTTTATTTCTTAGACTTGATCTTCTTAAGGTAGAATTCCAACTCCTTGCCTTCCAAAATGTAGCCGTCGGAGCGACCGCATTGTCCGGGGCGGGAAGAAATGCAAGCTGGAAGGGAAGAAAATAAAGAATTAGTCAGGGATCTCTACTAAAACTTAAATTACTCATGAGAGTAATAAAATCAGAGTAACTATGACAAGCCGAATCACGCCCAACAGGCTTGCATCTCTCTTAAAACAAGATCGATACAATAAAGTAGCTGGATCGCTAGGGTTTTTACATCACTTTAGAGTAGATTTCCTTATAAATTAATAAAATACTAACCCAAGATGCGGCCGGAGGTGAACTGATCCTCGAGGGCCTGCTCGACCTTGCCGTACTTCTGGCGCTCCAGGTACTTCTTCATCACCTTTTCGCTGCGCTTCTTGGTCAGCACGTCGTTCTCGTCCTCCTTCTGGGCGTGCTTAGGGTTACGCTTGCGTCCCAAAGGCAGCACGTAGTGGGCCTCGTACCACTGACGGAAGGGCGTGGCATCGATCACCACGATGCTGTTCTTCACGAGGGTCTTGGTGCGCACCAGCTCGTTGTTGGAGGCATTGTAGACCACATCGGCGATACGGGTCTTGCGCGCCACTCCCTCGGAGGCCCAGGCGAAGTTACCGGTCTCCAAACGGAGAGCACGCAGCTTGGTGTTTCCACCACGGGTGCGCACACTGTGCACGCGGCTTCCACCAAGCTGAAAGGAAAAGATTTCTGGGTTATTCGGGGTTTACTATGCGAGGTATACTATTTCTAGGGAATTTCTATACAATCAGCAGTCCGAACATAATTGCTTTTTAGTCATCAATTTCAGTTGACACGCGCTATCATCAGTTTGTATTGCAAGTTTAGCCTACCACCGGTTTTCTCATACTTTGTCAGTAACTTTTGAAACTGTCCAGTAATCGATAAACCGATTTTAAGAGCTATTAATCAGGGATTACAAATACAACTGTAGACAAACAAATATAAAAAGGGTAAAAGACTTGGATTTTTAGATGAAGAGAGATAGTAATGTTAGTAATTAATGTTTTGAGTCGTATTATAAACAATCACTTGGATTTGGTAAAACAAAACTAATGTATACCGTGTGATTTAAGGTTTTAAAGTTACATTTGATCTATAGATATATAATTATCGATAGGAATAAAATACATTTTTACTGAACATTTTCACGCACAAAAAATAGACCATGTGTTTGGTTACACGGGGTAGGACAAAAAAGCACTAAAAATGTGTTGGACTTCGAGGTATTCTATAGGGTTCTATAGGTACTATAGCTATCGGAACACCTGGAAGGGATTATCTTTTTTTTTTACCTTGGTGTTGGCGGCTGGGCGGCCCAACTCGAACTTGCGCTTCTTGCGGAGCGACTTGCGCTTGCCTCCGGTGGCCCGGCGTTTGTGTGCACTATCGCGGCTAATACCTGTAATAACAAATTACTAACTTAGTAAAGGGCACTCGAAAAACCAACCGAAAAAATATCAAGAACATGGACGCACGCAAAACAGCCGCATTGCACGGCCACCAAGTTGATTTCACTTGTAATTCGTTAAATTCACATATTCCTGGCTGCAGCTCACTCGATGCCGTTGTAAACGTACTTTGTGCGCGCTCTCATGGTGTTTGCTGGCCATTTTGAGCCCATTTTCTTGATATTTCGACGCATTTTGCCGGAGTCGACTTACCCATGTTCGAGTAAAAAGCGAGAAAGAAAGGAAAAGACACGCACAGCACCTCGTGTCAAAAAAGTGGGGTTATCTTTTTGACGTTTGCCGTCGACTGGCAACGCTGCGCTGTTAGTGCGCGCCCAACAGCACACACAGTGCTGTTAAATGAATTTAAATAAACCGTTGTAATTAATGAAATTAGTTTAAAATAATCAAAAGGACTAATAAAACTAACAAAGTAAATATTTTATAATTATACTCCTACCTTTACTAAATGTAAATCGCTTAATTTGGGTTCTCAGTTTTATGTTCAAGAACGATATGGCCACTCTGTAATGAAAAAAAAACTTCAACTATTTAAAACATGCTTACAAGAAAGTAAATTTAATTTACAACTAATTAAATTAAAAATTGATCTACAACAATTTATCACTTTAACAGAGCAAAGAATACCCCAAATATTACTAACAAAGTATGACCAACCCTTGAACCTGGCTTCTCCCAAACGGTCACACCCCGGAATACACTGTACTTTTTGCAGGCTACGATAAAATAGCAATTTCTGTAAATAAACGCTAGAATTTGCAAACAAATTCGGGCCAGGAGCTGGCGAAACTCGATCCCCCGCGGACTAGCTGATGATGGTCGGGAAAAACTTCAAGGCACTAGCGCACTTTCACCGCCTCACCGAGTACATAGTACAGTGCAAGCACTGCGACAAAACACTGTCCTCCAAGCACACCTCCTCCAATCTGACGCGCCACTTGATCCGCAACCACAAGCTCTTGGCCCGCACCATTTTCGCCGGCGAGGAGGGCAAGATGCTGGCGGAGCTCAAGGACGAGCTGGAGGCCAGCGCCTCCGAGGATCTCAGCATGGAGCTGGCCGAGGGCGGCGAGGGTGAAACCAAGTCGGCGGTGCGCGGCATAATGGGTGTGAAGAGGGAGCAGCGGGAGCGGGAACAGCGAGAGCTGGAGCGGCACAGCCACGAGGCGGAGATGCGCAACAAGGTGATCGGGAAGAACAACAAGCTGTGGGCCCACTTCATCCGCATCTCCGAGTTCATGGCCAAGTGCATGCACTGCGGAAAGACGCTCTCCTCGAAGCACTCGTCCTCCAATCTGATGCGTCACATTGTGCGGCGCCACAACAACCTGGCCAAGACCCTGAATCACTCGCACCAGCATTTGATGAACCCGAAAAAGGAGGCCTCCTCCTTTGGCAGCCTAGAGCGAAGGCAAACGGCCGCTGATCCCCTGGAGAAAGTCAACTTTGACGATGTGGACAGCATCATCGAAAAGGTGGCCGATCACCTGGACGAAGAGGTTTGTTAACCTTCCTTAGCTTCTTTTACATTCCTTATCGATCTCTTTTTAAGGTCACTTCGATTTCGCTGCAGGAACCCTTCTACGAGTACGTCGTGGACAACTCCGATCACTCCGTGGTGGTGGACAGGTGCGAGGAGCAGGAGCAGGAACAGGAGCCGGCGGACATGCAGAACCTGATGCCCGCGGACAACGCCTCGCTGGCGGAGACCAGCACGCAGCTGGACGAGAAGCTCAAGGCGGAGACGATATACTACAACGAGATGGCCGAGCTGGCCAGGGCCAAGCGAAGGCTCATCGACCTGCAGACCAAGAAGCTGCTCCTCGACATGAACGTCGTGGCCGAGAACTAGTTGGCCATCAGTTGACGATTATTACGGCTTGTATTTGTAGGGTGGTTAAGAGGCGGGCAATATGATAATTTAGACTTAGGTACGATTATACTTTTAACTGAATTACGATCTGTGCATTTACTGTGCGGGGGATTTCTGGGTGTCCAATAGGGAAAATGTTGTTTATTCATATGTAAACATTTGAAAAAGGAGGAATTTCGTCAAAATTGCATTATCAATCTCATTAAAGCATTCATGTATTTATATTTTTTCTGGCAAACAAATCTTAAATATTAGTATTTTTCCAAAATAAAGTTATATTCGTCAAGAATTAGAGTTTAAACAGTATGTCAATTTTACTTTGTAAATTTTACTTACTTTAAAATGGATTTCCTACCTAAAATATTTGTATCGAAGCTTTCCCTGAGAATTATTCCCTCAAATAATTATATTTTAAAAATTGTGTAAAAAAAGTGTATCGCTTGAGTATTGACCTCTAGAACTGATAAGATAGGATGCTGTAAAAATCTTGTAATAAGCAGTATTTCAAGTGAAAAATCAATGTCGTTTATGGGAATCGAATCACTTATTTTTTTTTTAATGTGTTCCACACGGAACTTTAATGAAATTAGGCTCTAAATTTAAAGTAGGGTTAAATTTAACAAACGGACGAGAAAACGGCCCTAAATAAAACTAAATCTCTAAAAAAACAATAACTACAACGGTTGGCCGTTTTTTTTTTATTTGCTTAATTTTTCCATAATAAATGTTCTCATCGAAGTTTACTTTTTAGACGGATCACTGTACTTACTGTAATTTCTGCAATTCCTGTGGTATATTTTTACCCCAGAGCTTCGGGCACACTTTCCCATGGCGAAAAAAACTCTTATTGTTTTGTTCCGCACTGTAGAAGAATGATAATCTTTGAATTTAAGCCATGCCCGGGTATTCACCAGAAAGACAGAGCTTTAGTCGAAATTCCAGCTCCTGGGAGAACGTAACCCTTGAATCGGATGATGATGGTATGTCCAGATATTCCTAGAAATCGATCCAATCACTTTTAGTTTTTTAGGTTCCCAAGATCTGGAGAGATCCCTCTGGAGTCGCCGCTCGAGATCTGAATACCCACAGAAAACGAGGCAAATCGAAGGATTCAATGGTTTTTCCCCTTCGAGATCCCCAAACAGAAGCCTCCAGGGGCAGCGAAAGCGAAAAAGATCTGGATCAGTGGACTTCAGTGAGAGTGGGCCAAAAAGATCGATGACTGCAGATGCGTTTCAGTCAATTTCCTCTTGGAAGTACACCGAATTGCTCCAGGACAACCTGACATTGGCCCTGGTGGACGAAAACGACGATGATGGTTGCCTGCTCCGCGAAACATGGCCGGAGATCGAGGGCAGGCTGTCGGATATGGTGGCCAAAAGACTCCAGGCGGTGCCACAGGGTCCCAATCCGTCGTTCGACTCCTCCTACGTGATTCGTGGCCACCGGGTGATCAGATGTCTCGATGGTTTCTCGAAGATCTTCCTGGAGGATTGCCTGGACCAGATTGGCAGTGCATGGCGTGGCCTACGCATCAGACTTGTCCATGCCAGCGAGATACCCTGTCCGGAGAAACAGCGGATCTTACCATCCACGGAGGATTTGGAGCAGACGGAAGAGATAAATCAGACGGAGGAAGCGGAGCAGACGGTGGAGAATTCATTCGGCTGGATTGTTCCTCGGGGAGCTCAAATATCGGACGCTGCGATCCAGGAGATCCAATTCAGAAAGCTTCACAACCCAAATGGCCAACAGAATAGATTCCTGTTAAAAGATGGATCAACAGTTTGGAGGATAATCATTAATCAAGATCAAGAAGTACGCATCATAGAGCACATTTCTCCCGCGGGAGAGAATCTGAACCAGTTAGCGAAAGGGGATCAGATGAGCCAGTTGGATGAGATATCAGAAGTAAACTCTTTTGGTTGGATAGTACCTCCGGGAGCTCACTTCTCCGACACTGCCATCCAACAAATTAAGAACTCTATGATCAAGGCGAAAGGTAAGCGGATGGCCTTTTTGGTTTTTGATGGCTTGAAAGGCTGGAGAGTAAAAGTCCGTAGAGGCGATCAAGTACGCATACGTCCGTACACTCGATCTGCGGTGAGAAAGGAGCCCTCGAATGAAATAGAGAATACGAAGCAGTCGATGGCGATAGACCAGTCCGAACAGAGACAGAATATTGAGCAGACGAAGGAAACGTTGCAGACGATGCTGATGGATGAAACAGAGGATATTGAGCTCACTGACGGTACGAAGCAAACGGAAGATTTGATCCAGCCTGAGGAAAGAAACCACACAGAGAAGCAGCAAACGGTTGAGAATTCATTCGGCTGGATTGTTCCCCTCGGAGCTCAAATATCGGACGCTGCAATCCAGGAGATCCAGTTCAGAAAGCTTTACAACCCAAACGGCCAACAGAACAGATTCCTGCTAAAGGATGGATCAACCATCTGGAGGATTATCATTAATCAAGATCATGAAGTACGCATCCTAGAACACATTCCTCCCGCGGAAGAGGTGAATCATGTGGAGGAAGGGGAACAGATGAGCCAGGAGGATGAGATATCAGAGGTAAACTCTTTCGGTTGGATAGTACCCCCAGGAGCTCAATTCTCCGACACTGCCATCCAACAAATTACGAATTTTAAGATTAAGGCGAATGGAAAGCGAGTGCGCTTTTTGGTTTTTGATGGCTTGAATGCCTGGAAAGTACAAGTTAGTAGAGGCGACCGAGTACTCATCCGCCAGTATACTGGGTCTGCGGTGAGGAAAGAGCCATCGAATGAAGTAGAGAACCCGGAGCAGTCGATGGTGATAGATCAGTCCGAACAGAGAGAGGATATTGAGAAGACGATGTTGATAGATGAACAGCAGGATGCTGAGGGTTCGAAGCAAGCTAAGGAGATGATCCAGACTGCGGAAATAAACAACACAGAGGAAATATCACAGGCGAATGAGGAAGAGCTGGCAGAGGTTAACCATTTTGGCTGGACAGTGCCCTTAGGAGCTCAATTCTCCGACATCGCCATCGAAGAAATAAAAAACGGTATGATTAAGGCGAAAGGTAAGCGGAGGGCCTTTTTGGTTTTTGATGGCTTGAAAGCCTGGAGAGTAAAAGTCCGTAGAGGCGATCAAGTACGCATACGTCCGTACACTCGATCTGCGGTGAGGAAGGAGCCCTCGAAAGAAATAGAGGAGGGGCAGCTAATAGAGGAGATTGATCATACGGAGGATAGAGAGCAGATGGAGGTGGATAAATCACTGGTGATTAATGCTAAGCAGGATACTAAGGAGCTGTCTGAAAATAATGCCTTCTCTGGAGACAATCAAATACTGATCAGCCATTACGTTCCTCCTGCGGTGAAGGAAAAAGGAAGGATGGTGGTAAATGACGAAGATGGGATATCTCCGCAGAATAAATCACTGTTGATTAATCCTAAGGACGATACTGACGCCACTGAGAAACTGTCGGAAAATAATGCCTTCTCTGGGGACAATCAATTACTAATCAGGAAGGAAAAGGAGGAGCCATCAGAGGAAAAAGGAGCGATTAAGGTAAATGACGAAGATGCGATATCTCCGCGGGCGGAGGAGCTGGAGGATGAGATGGGGCAGCCAGTGGTGAATTCATTAGGCTGGGTTTTAGTTGGAGGAGCTCAACCGTCCGAGGCTGCGATCCTGGAGATCCAGCCTAGAGTACTCAAGGGGACGACCAAGAGCAGGTACCGATTTCTAGTTAAAGATGGACTAAAGACATGGAGGGTAACCCTTAACAGAAGCCAAACAGTTCGGATCGGGCCATATAATCCTCCCGTGGATAAAACGAAGGAGTTGAAACCAATGGAGGATGAGGATATTCAACTCACTGACCAGTTGAAAAGCCAAGTAGTTATTAATCTCGAAGAAAATGGAGAGTGAACTATTGCGGTGACTATTCAACACATATCACATTTTATATTCCTCCCGTGGAGGAGACAGAAATCAATCGAAAAAGGATGACAATAACTGAAAATAAAAACAATTTGAATTTTTTTAAATATTTTATTTTAACGCTATTCAGATTTTAGTTTTAATAGAACAATTTTCACTGAAGCTCACTGAATTAGCTCATTCGGATTTCGGCTTAATCGTCATTTCCACAAAGGGAATGCCATCGATGGTACCCCAAACGGAATCATTTAGCTGGCTGTAATTAAAAATATTGTACTTCTACAATGTAAATAAGGTTTTAATTTTATTTTTTGTTTACCAGTAGCCACAATCTCTGTACCACCAACCGCCAGACATCATAGAAGCGCAATTATACGTAGTGTGTTCGTCATTGTCACTGTCAAATGTGGAGAACTTCATGCCTTCGAGATATCTTAAGTGGTTGTGCATGCCGGATGAGCCAATGAATGTTCCCAACGATTTTAGACTGTAGAATTCCTGCTCGCTTCCGATTTGGAAATCATCATAATAGGCGAAATAAGTGTTGTCCCTAGAATCGACCAGCTTTATGGACATTTCGTGTGGCTTATCCTTGGTCAACTGGTGCAGCTTCTCCAATCCGAGAAAAAAATCTCCTGTTAAGTTTCCAAAACCATTCGTATAATCCACCCAGCTGCGATTAAAGTTCACTGAAAAGTCCTTTCGCCTTTGAATGGTCATCCAACCGTCGGTGTCGCAGGGAGCTTCAAAAATTGCTAATCCGGGTTTATTTATTTTGTAGATTTTATTTGGAAGGCCAATGGGGCAACTGCCCGTTCTACTGCACAAAAAAAGCTGATCGGTCATTTCACTTATATTTCCCAAATTAGATTTAATCTGATTGTTAAGCCCATCGATTTGATTATCCCTCGTCGTAATTTGTGCACTCAGGTTCTTCAGTTGGTTATCTTTAATTTTTATTTCTTCTAGCATACTTTGTATTTCTGAACTTTTATCCCTAATTTTATTTTCTTGTGAATTTATAACTTCAGTTTTATCAACAATGTCTTTATTTTTAACATTAATAAGAACTACTGCATTATCCAACTGACTCTGCAAATTACTAATAGTGGCACTCATAGAGGTCTCCTCATCACTTTCTTCTCGCATTTGCTTATTCGATTTTATTGGATCGTCTTTGTGTTTAAAGTTTTCAGTTGTTCCCTTGATATCTTTCGCTTTTAAATAAATAAGTGCTTCTTCTGCTTTATCCAATCGGCTATTTAATTTATTAAGGCTGGTTGTAACTTCTTTCTCTTTTGCATAAATTAAGTCTTTGATTTGATTTTCCAAAATAGCAATTGTTAACTGACTCTTAAGGTTATTAATAGTTTCCAACGGATAATTTTTTACTTGAGCTTCAACAATTGCCAATTTGAACTGAAAATCTTTAATCGTAGCTTCCATAGCAATTATTTTTTCATTGAGTTCATCCATTGAATTCGTTGGTAGTTTTATTTCTAAAACACTTTCGAGTAAAGCAATCTTTTCTGTAGTTGAAGCAGGTGTACCGTCAGCAAGATATAGCTGATCCATAATGGAAGTCAGCAGAATTATTACCAAAATGCCCGACTTCATTACGATTAATATGCGAGCTGTATCAGTGGCTGGGAAAACGGAACTGAACTCAAACCATCGGTCGAATCGAATTTTATAAGCTCAGCTTCGGTCGTAATATGCTTGTGATAAGAATGTGATTCTGATGTACTCTCCAAAATCGTCTAGCTACATACTTTCGGCAAAGTGTCATAGTCAATAAACCTTATCTGTTTCACCTAATTACGTTTTTAATGAGGTTGCCTGAAGAAATGTTTCTAAAAACCTAAAACAAAATATTATTATGCGACTTTTAAAAATTAAAATAGTTCTTTTTTTAATTTCCAATGTCTTATGTAGTCATATACTTGTAAGACTAGAAAATAAATACATTTAATTTTAAATAATAATTTAATAATTCAAAAGTTAAGACTTCAATTTTTTCAAAACCCTCACCTATGGTTTCAAGCACCGCTAAATTGTTATCGAAGATCTTCACCATTTGACTATTTCTATCGGTTATTTTTTAGGTATTTTTTTGATGCAATGGTGGTAAAAGTATTGATAAAAGTATTGTTTTGATACGGAACAGAACAACAATTGAATGTCGAAATGTCTAGGTTTTGCCCAAATCAGGAGCGAACCTTCGGCTCCTGGGAAAATATGAAGGCCGAGCGGGACATCGAAACGATAATAATAGACGATGATGGTAAGTGGATGTTTCTTGGCTTCCCTTTACTTACTGGTTTACTTCATTCCCCAAGATCTGGACAAATCTCTTTGGCATCGACGGTTGAAGTCCGAATCCCCATATGATATGAATGACAATAAGGGATGGTTAACGCCAATTGACCAGGCTCATTACACAGATCAAAAACCAGCAATCCATCAGGCAGTCAAGCCGAAGACCAAGAAGGCAAGGAAGAAGGCAAGGAAGAAGGCACGTGTGGCTCGCTTTAAACTGGCTAAAATTGCCAAGAAAGAGGCGAAGGGCCAGGAGGAGCTGGATGAGTTCCAAAAGAACAAAATGAGGAACCCGCTGGCCTTCCTGCCCAAACGATCGGCCCATGAGGTGACCAAGGACAACCTGGTGATGGCTTTGGTGGACGAGCTGCACGAGGATGGCCAGCTGCTCCATCAAAAGTGGCAGGAGATCGAGACCAGGCTGGCGAATATGGTGACCGACCGACTGATGGCCGTTCCCGAGGGTCCCATCCCGTCCTTCGACTCGTCCGATGTGATCCGTGGCCACCGGGTGATAAGATGCGACGACGGCTTCTCGAAGATCTTCCTCGCCGAGTGCGTGGCCACGATTGGCGACACCTGGGATGGCTTACGGATCAGGCTCGTCCACGTCAGCGAGATTCCCTGGAGGCCAAGGGCCCGCATCTGGTTGCCCAAGGGGCAAAAGGATCACAGCCGGATCTTAAGCTGCCTGAGAGCCCAGAATCTCGACGTGGACATGTCGGACTGGTCGATTCTCAGGGCCGAGGAGGACATGAGCGCCAGTCAGCCCTTCTTGTTGCTCATCAACAGGCGCTGTCTTCCGCAACTGGAGGCCGCCGGTTACAAGGTTCGTTACGGCATTCGAATGGCCAAGCTCAAGGTCCTTTTCGTCGAGACAGATGAGCTGGCAGTGGAGGACGAGGATATCAAGTACTGGAGACAAGAAGACGACATCCCACACTCCAGCACATATCGCCGTTCTTACTGAGAGCAAAATGATAGATTAGCGGTTAGAAAGCCTCAGGATAAAACCCAAGTTCAATATTATAACCGACAATGATATATATAGCCTAAGAGCAGGAGTAATTATAAGGAAGTATAAGACAAAATTCAAGAAAAATAGTTCTGCAACAGTGATGAAAATAATGAATATTATTGATCAATTTACAAAACTAAGCTAGTTTGATATTATCAACCATGAAGTTACAAGAAAAGTGATTATAATTATTTTGTAAATTAAGAATTAAGATATTTTTCTACAACAGTTAAATAATAAAAAATTGTGTTGTAACATTTAAAAAACATTTAGTAGCGTTTAAAAAAAGAGTTTCAGAATTTATCTGCTGATTGTGGAATCCCCCTAATGGTTCAGAACCAGGCTCGCTAGCAAAGTTTTTCACCCGCTGGTTAGTACATGTGCTTGGTATTTTAACCGATACCGATAGGTTTGCACAAATGACGCCTCCTCAAATCGAAGAAGAAGAGGTGTATCGATAAGCAGGCTTTGCTGATTTTTGTTTCGCACGGAAAATTAAGAGAAAAACCCTGAATTAAAGAGCTTACCAGCGAGATGTCCAGCTTTTCGCCCAACCAACTGCGGCAGTGCGCCCGCTTCACCGGCACCCCGTGCACGCCGGACAAGGAGCAGCAGCTGCGCGAGCAGATCCACAGCGAGCTGGCCAAGATCAAGTACTGCGCCAATCCCACCTACGAATGCAGCCTGATGCGAATCGAGGGCTACGACTACTGCATCCGGCACATTCTGCGCGATCCGCGCTCCAACTACCGCCAGTGCTCGCATGTGTACTCCAATGGGAGGAAGTGCATCAATGCGGTGGCCAAGTACGACAACAAGAAGGAGCAGATCCTGACGACCCTCTGCTTCGAGCACAACCGCCAGACGCAGCTGCAAAAGACCCACCTGAATGTGGGTCGCATCCGCAGTCGCGTGGAGACGAACGAGACCCTGCTCCACAGCCTCTCGTCGCACATCAATGTGGAGGACATCAAACCTGAAATTACCAAAATCGAACCCGATGATGATGAAATCGATGTCGTCTCGCCTCATGTTACGCCATTTGGTGGGTTATACTTATACTCTTATAATCCCCTAACTCTAAGCTAACTATTCCCGCTTTTAGTCACCCAAGATCATCGCAATTCCATTGGACACGTTGTGGAGAGCTCTCGCAAGCGGCGTCGCATCTTGGACTATGCTTCTGATAGCTCCAGCAACGATGAGGATCCGCCCTGCCTGCGGAACACCGCCCAGGACATAGAGTTCTACGAGTCCGACTATGAAAGCATTGACTCGGAAGATGATGATCCGCTAAAGTAAGTTTTTTCTCTCTAAAAAAGTAAACTTAGCACTTATCGTTGGTTTTTTCTAGGCACGCTGGCGTCTTTACGCGCGCCGAGGCAGTCAGGATTGCCGAGACCAAGCTGATCAAGCTGCAAGGACTCTATCGCGAGCAAATTTCACATCTTCAGTACGTGCTGAAGCAAAGGCGCCGCAAGTATTTGCATGACATTCGCCGGGAGCGAGAGCTCTACTGTATGTTTAAAAATATCTTGAAAATTGGTAGAAAAATCGAATATATACCTGTACTTTCAGGCAGCATCCACGATCAGCTAAAGGAGACGCCGCACGAGCGAAAGCTGTACGAGCAGCTGAAGGCGCTGAATAGCTACCATCGTCGCCAGGGCATGGAAGCGGTGCTGTACAAGAAACTAAAGGAAAAGCGCGCCCGCGACACCTTGTACGCTTCGAAGTCGTCGAACCCCAAGTGCGTCTTCACCGAGGGCGGCGTCAAGTGCGGCGAGCGAACGCTGCCCTGCTGCAAGCACTGTCGCAAGCACATACTCGAGGATAAGCGTCAGGTGCTGTTCCGGGCATGCGGCGTGGAACGGAGTGGGGTGGTCTGCCAGGAGCCGGTGGCTAGCATTCTCGAAGACTCCAGTTGCGTTCTGCATCTGACGGTGGCGCCGGCTAAGCGCCAGTATATACAAAAGGTGCGTTGATCCAAAAAAAACTAAACCTAACCCACGCCATAACCACCACACACGTTACTACTTAAAATATTCCAACTCTGCCTCCTTCACTCATTGCCATAAGCTAGAGCCGAGACTACTAACAGTAATTAAACTGTTAAACAGTTTGTAACAATACAAGAAACAATACTTCGTAACTAGTATGTAGGCTTGATTTTTGTAGTAGAGCTAAGCATAGATATCTACTATCTAGTACTGTGAAACAAACACGAAACACGAAACATGTATATAAATGCCAGTACTGTACTGTACTGATATTAAGCCTTTTGTGATCGACCCTGAATAAATTGCCGACCTCTCATCCTCCAGTTTTATGAAGTTCCAAGCACTCCGCCGCTAGAAAGTATTTTCGCAGCGGGCCGTGGTCTCGATAATTTTGTCGGAGAAGATCCACGGATTGAAACGCATGCGGAGGGTGATGATCTCTTGGATTTTGCCAGTGGTATATTCGAGTTTGACCTCGACACAGCCGAAGATCTGGCTGAAGATCTGTTTTTGGACATGGACAGTGGTGAACTGGGCTTTGCAGACGAAGGCGAAGGGGTGGTGTCCAACGATTCCGTTGAACCACCCGCTGAAGACAATCAAGACATTCAAGGCATCGAACGTGATTTAGACTTAGAAGAATCATCATCATCGGTGCAAGACAGTAGCGAACTTAACTTTGAACTCGATGAGACGGAAAGCAATGTTAACGAGGTGTTGAGAATGCTGGAGGGCATTGAGCAAATGCCCTGGTTTGATGCCCTCATGAACTAGTTCGATAGTAAATAGTAAATGTAATAACCCACCATCCTAACCATTCTAGAGCTAAACGAAGCACTGCCTCTCATTGCTGATAAACCCTTTACTTTACAGAAATGCGAGTCGGAGACCGAAGAGGATGAGACTCTGGGCGTGAGTACCATTATAAAAACGGAAAAGGAGGATCCTACGGATAATCTGTTTACGAACCAAATCCCCAACGTCACCACAGCTCACGAGGCGGACAACAAAGACGACATTAAACGCATAGAGTCCATACCAACTAGTACTACTAATTAAACCATCGTAGAATATAGTTTGTTTACTGTTGCAATCATAAATCAATTTATATTATAGCTCCCCTGTCGGATAAGGTAAACTTTGTAATTTTTGTTTCTTCGGGAAATGGAATCCCATAATAAATAGTCACTTCTTTAGTTTACGTATTTATTTATTTACATTTATTGGCTTTTCATAATTTATACAACTTAATATTTTGATTATATTTATGCATGTACAAATTTTCAACAGTTCTTAAAGAAAATGCCTAGCTTTTCAGCAGTTTCTTAAACAATATAAAATATGCACTCTGTTTTGCTTAAAAGTAATGACTGTAATTATTTGATCTTAAAGCACAGTTAAATATATATCAGTTATCAGTTCCTCCATTCAGTATTTCTACTAAAATATTTACAGATGGCAACCGCTCTCGTTGTTAAAATGCACTATTAAAAATATAAATTGGCAGCTACATATATTAACAAAGTCTGTTATATGTGGAAATCTTAATCAATATACCCTACAGTTCCGTTGTGGTCTCAACCTCTGACCTATCCAAATCGTTTAGATATGAGAAGCCTATTTGGCCATAGTCCCTTTTGCCAAAGGAAACGTTCTCGTTGGTGCTGCTCAAGTGGTTGTGATCAGAACTGGATCTGCAAGATGGATAATATTTTATTTAATTTATTTATTATATTTTTTTGTAATATTTTACCTTTGAAACAGTGGGTTGGTGATGGGCACTTCTCCGCCATAAAGTCGATTGTTGAGCTGGCCATTTCGGCCCAGTGTGGCATTCATCAGCTCCCCGTTGCCATTGAGCAAACCCACATCGCAGAAGGTATTTCCCCGCCTGCCCATCGTGCTGTAGGCATTATTTTTGGCATTGGCCATATTATTGGGACCAGTGGGGTCTATATTGTAGGCGCCGTTCTGATAGTGGTTACTATTCTGGTGCTTGATGCGACCCAAGGTCAAAGTGCCCGAAAGAGCACCATTCGGAGGAGGAGATCCCAGTGGATTGGCATTGTTCCGGGTGTTCATCTCCAGCGTTCTATTAAAGGTATTCTGCCTATTGTTAATGGCCAGATTGTTGTTCATATTGGCATTGTTGAGATTCTTGTGCCGCCGCAGAGTGGCAATCGTCGCCGTCGTGGCATCCGAATGAGATGGACTCGATTGGCCACCACCATTATTGGTGTTCTCCTTGTGCGTTATATAGCTAACATTGTCCAGCGAAAAGGCATGATTCTTTGCACTAAAGTCCAGCTGCAGATCGTCATCCACATCCGGAGGCACTGCCATGGCCAGCATCTGGGTTTCGTACTCCTTCATATTCGCAATCGTTTCACTGGCATTCGAGGCCTGCTGATTGACGATCACGGGATCATATCGGGGTGGATTCGTGGAGGAGTACTGACGCATGCGTTGCTTAAAGTTTTTGTACCTATTTAATAGAAATTTGTTATAAAAAATATATTTTTAATTTCATATTTTAGAAACTCACTTTGACCAAGAAATGCATATGTAAATAATGCCAATGGTGCCTAGGATAAGTATAACCAGTGATATGGCAATAAGGGTAAAGGGAAAGACCTCATTATCGATGGCTACAGCGGCCTTGACCTGGAAATTAAAAAATATTTATAGTTTATATAAACCTAAAAATTATAGATCTGAAAAAGTAAACCCACCTTATGAACCTGTTCCTTTCTTTCCAGGGGAAATGATATACTTTCGGCTGTGGCTCTTGGCAGGGCTATATTCAATTCCGATCTCGCAGCTGGTTCTAGTAAAGTGCTCTCCACAATGCTATCCTTTCGGCTCACCAGCTGTTCCGTCTTGGGATCGATCAGATAGAACCATATATCCGTTGCAGCTGGATTCTCGATCACCGAACCGTTTTTGGCCAACAACTTTTGACTGCTCATGCGCTCAATACCGCTGACTAGTCCGGTCTTCTTGTCCAGCAGTTCCTCTAGTTCAGTATAATAATTGCGAAGATCGCTGGGAGCTGCATTCGGGAAGGATAATGCCATGCGATTTATATCCGCCAGTTTATTAACGACTATGCGGGCCCTCGTGCGATGAGATCCCTGCTCCTGAGCATCGCTATCGCGTGCCTCCACCAAAAATGTGAGGGGAAAATCATTCTCATTCTTAAAATGCCTGGCAGTTCGCAAAACTCCAGTATCTTCGGACATCATGAAGAAGCTCGTGGGCTGGAAAGGGAAATTATAAAGTAATTAAAGTTATAACTTATAACTTATAAGTTATATAATAATTTCTAATATCTATAATATCTACCGAAAGATGTAAGACATTGATTTCTTAGAACTAAGCAAATATTTAATGGACTGAAATGTGAAATTATAAAGAATTTAAAGTAATTACTTATAACTTATAAGGTATATAATAATTTCTTATATTTATAATAACTACCGAAAGATGTAAGAATTTGATTTTTGAACTAAGCAAATATTTGATTACACAGAACAAAAATGGTAATGGTCAATTTGATATTTTTTAAAGATCAAGTTATTCATATCATTTTGATATGAATAAGGATTATGTTAATCATTTTTATATTATTTGCTCAAAAAATACCAAATTTTTTATTCTTTATGATATGATAAAATATCATGTTGATATGTTTGAATCTTAAATTTGACATAAATCATATCGGCTTTTTATTGATATAAAATAAGGTAGAAATAACGCTATATCATATCTGCTTTTTTTTCTGTGCACTTACCATATTAACACGGTTCTCATCATCGTCGTAGAGAGTGTATCGAACGTTTCCGAACTTCCCCGAATCACGATCTGTGGCTCGCACCTGCAAAATGGTTGTGTCCACATCCATTTCCTCGGTTACCACGGTGTAGAAAGTGTCTTGTTGGCCCCGCAGCCGATTAAACTCAAACTCGGGGGCATTGTCGTTCTCATCCTGAACTATTATCTCCACGGTGGAGGTGTCTTTCAGTGGATTGACAAAGTAGCGATGGGATGTTAGGCGTAACTTCAGGGTGAAGGAGGTCTTATTCTCAAAGTCCAGGGGTTGCAGGAGCACCAAGTTACAACCATGATCGGCGGCACTCAAGTTGAAGATGCCCTCCTCGTTGCCCTGGACAAATTCACACTTGAATGCCGGTGGTCCGTCGGTGGATACCTTTGAGTTCACTATCTGAATGAGCTTTAGAGTGCTATTTACTTCCATTGACTCGGGTACACTGGTCGTGTAGCTATCATCGCTGAAGGCCAGACCTATACTTTCACTACTCATGCCCAACCCACTTTCCAACTTATTGTCCAGTTTAATCTCGTTATTTCCATTGGCCAAAACATGATGTACATCTACACGCAGCGGAGCCACCGAACTCAGTTGGGGTTCCCCCAAATCATAGGCTCTTATGTCCACCTGGTACTCGGTATCATCCTCCTTGCGCAGTTCATCTCTTAGGCGAACTGCTCCCGTGTCGGGATCCACTTGGAAGTACTTGGGTGCCTTGCCGCGTCCCACGATCTCGTAACGAACCACATTTCCCGGCGAAGTGCCATCGCCATCGATTGCCGGCAGAGTGGCTATGATGGTTCCAATGCTCTGGTCATCATTGACGGTCACGGGATCGGGAACGGTTATAAATCGCGGTGGTAAGTCATTGCGATCCTCCACATCCACGGTTAAGAGAACCGTATCCCCGGGACCATCACCATCATTCTCTATGGTTCCGATGGTCAGTTGATGCTGCTTCTGGGTCTCAAAGTCCAAACCCTTGAGCGTTCTCACTTCACCCGTTTTATCTGAAACCTTAAACAGTTCCGCATCACCTTTCCTCAAAACGTATGTTATCTCGGGGACCGTATCCGGATCAAAAGCCTGCACACTGGCCACCAGGAAGTTCTCCTCATTCTCCGGTATATGTACATCAATGCGGGCATCACTGAACTTGGGCACCTCATCGGGGAGATCCAGAACCATCACGGTAACACTAGCTGTTCCCAGTCGAGCGTCGGGAGCTCCATCCTTGGCGGTAACCACAAACTTGTACTCATTTAACTGTTCATAGTCCAGTTCCTTGGAAGTAAGGATCTCTCCCGAGGTGGCATTTATTGTAAATGGTATATCGGTGGGAATGGAATAGGTAATCTCCGCATTTATACCTTCATCAGCATCGGTGGCATGGACCACGCCCACGGAAGCCTGGGATTTACCCTCATCCACTTGGAAGATATAGGGCAAGGTGGAGATGTCAAATTCCGGATTCTTATCATTGATATCTGTTACTTTAATATTCACAGTAGCACTACTCGAAAGTCCTCCGGTGTCCTCTGCCTTCAGGATCAGTTGATAGCGGGTTAGGCTCTCCCGATCCAGCTTCCTTATCACTATGATCACTCCACTCTCCTGACCCACCGCAAATTGCCTCAGATCATTTCCAGATATTATGGAGTAGACAACGGCATCGTTTTCGGGATCCTCGGCATGAACCACTGTGACTGTGGAGTTGATTTCGGCGCCCTCGCTGACCTGAACCTCGTAGATGGGTTTCTGGAATCGCGGGGGTTTCGTATTCGGTCCCGGGGTAACACCAACTTCGACGATTGCCTGAGAGGATAATCCACCAATATCCGAGGCCTGAACCGTAATGCTATATTGCTCGCCGGCCAGCAAACGTCCCTGGGTTCGAATCTCACCCGTGGTCTCGTTGATGGTAAACTTCTGCAATCCATTGTTGGAGACATGGTAAATGGAGTAGGTCACCACGGCATTGGGGCCCTCGTCATTGTCGCTGGCCATGACCTGGGTGACCAGACGACTTTCACTCTGATCTCCGGCTGTTATGGAGATGGGTGGCACCATCGTCAGCTTGGGGGCATTGTCATTAACATCTCGCAGATGGACCGTGAGACTCAGTGGGGCACTGGCCGCATTGGTTCGCGGTTCTCGGGCGACCACTTGAAACTTGAAACGTCCTGGCGACGGAGGGTCGCGATCGAGGTTATCCTCGTTGACTATCAAAATGCCATCGGATGTTACATTGAACGACGGCGTGGTCAGTTCGTATATATAATCTGGCTTCGGATCGGTGTCACTCAGGTCGGCATCTGTGGTTTTGAACGATATAGGGTTACCATTCGAGTCTAATACTCTAGTACCAATCGCTGAGTTCTCATCCACATAGCCCTCCGTTTGGGAGGATGATATCACCGGGGGATTGGCATCCACTGGCTTTACAAATATCTCCAGTTTGGCCGTTGTAAAACGCTGTGGTCCCGGGGAAACCTCTTCGGCTTTCACTATGATATCATACTTTTTCGCCGTCGACGTATCTATAGCTTTCGTCTGCTTCAGCACCCCCGTACTCTCGTCGATCTGAAAGTAATCGGCATAGTTTCCCGGCATTCCACTGGCGAAACTATAGCGAATTGGCGAGTTTATGGTATCCAGATCTACTGCCTGAATCCGTTCGGGTAGAACAGTTAGTACTCCTAAAAGAGATCCAGCTGGCACCGATGCGGAATACTCGGGATTTATGCAGGCCCCATCGAGGGAAGCACATCCGCTGTATATAAACGAGGGATCCAAGTCATTCGAATCGGCTATATTAACCGTCAAAGTTGTGGTCGATGAAAGACGATCTGCGGTATTGCGCGCGCGGTCCTAAAAATATACAAAATAATATATCATTTAACCGGGTTCCCAAGTGAAAGGTAAAAGTAGGCAGATAATTGGGGGCTTTTTAGCCCCGAAAGTAGACCACTTAATTAACCCTTTGTAATAATTTAATTAATTAGTTAGCCCCTACTTACCGAAGCCACAATAGTAAGATAATACGTTTGTATCTTTTCAAAGTCTAGAGTCTTGGCCACCGTAACCTAAATAAAAGAAAAAATAAATTATATTACATCTTGCTAAAAGAGAAGTTAAGAAAAATCTCACCTGACCCTGGTGGGGAAAAGATATGGCAAAGGTGCCATAACCATCTGCACTATATTTCTCGATATCGGTGGAATTGGCACTGCCCTCGGCTATAAAATACTCGACCAGCCCATTGACACCTGCGTCCTTATCGAGGGCCTGAATGTTGCGATAAATAGTGGTTCCCACCGGTGTGCTCTGAAAAAAAAGAAGGAAAAACATTGGTATTATAATAACCTATGGGTATTATAAGCACAAGCCATTGAAATGTCAGTTAATTCGACATGGGAAGCGTATTTTCAGAGAGGTTGCCCTCGTTTAAGAACCGAAAGTGTTTCCTGCCTGGCTAATAAATGGTTAGTTTATATTTCTAGTTCAGCACAAAATATGTTCCCCACCTTGGGCTGAAAAATTTCTAACATTTCCCATGGAAACCCAACTGGGAAGCCAACGGAAACTCCGAGATCATTATTTTATTCGCATTGTTTTGTTGTCTTTACCGTCAAGTGGTTGGGATGGTACCGAGATGAGATCCAAAAGCCTGCTGGGTTTGTTATATAACGGTTACAGCCTCTTAAAGTGATGTTAAGGAGCAAGTTTGCTACTCGCTTCGGAAGATGGAGAGTCTGTTTTTCAGCTTCTCTGCACTCTTGAGTCGGTAATTTAGTACCCAGAATTGCAGCTGAGCCGAGCTCACCGCATTGTTCATCTGCTGAACTTTGCGATTCGGTTTTTGTTTTTAGTTTTTCTGCTAAATGGCATGCAAGCTTAGGTCATCTTTTTTCGCTTTTCATAATTTTTCAGTTTAATAGCATGGCAAATCTTTAGAGACTTGCCGTCGTTTTCCTTTTCTGTGTATTGATTTTGCACATACCTTGCATTTTATGGGTATACCTATAGGTATAATTTATCTCGGTTCTTGTAATTATTTGATAGAGCGGCAATGAAATGCTATTCTGTTGTCTTGTCTTTTCTTCCCTGGACATCACATCATCTGCTGCTTTTTTTCCGCTTTTTTGGTCCCTTGGGAGTGTTCGCCTAAGCCGGCAAGTGCATACCAATTATATTCCAGTTTGACTGGCAGAACGCCATATAAAGGGACCTGGATCTCGAATTTACAATGCACTATATATACAATTTTCTGACGCAGGTAGACTGGCCCTTTTGTTTATTCCGCACCAGGCTTCTTAAACTTTAAGGCTTCACATTGTTAAATAAATTTCGTATGGGTAAACGTCCTGATTGCAAATTCCAATGAACGATATAAATTCAGTTTTATTGTATTTACTATCTGGGTAGGGGATACTTTCAAGGTTCTAGGCGATCGAAAGATATAAAGAGGAGCTCAAGGTTTTTCTTTCTGAATTTAAAATGGTTTATCGTAGACTAAGGAAAGTGTTTTTGTATTAGAGAGAGATTAAAAGGAAATTATTTAATTTTCCTGACTATTCTTGGTAATTTAAAACCTATTAACTGAATTGACAGGCAGTTATAATTTCTTTGCTAAACGTTCTTATGAAAACAAACGCTTTAGGTAATTATTCTACAGGTTTAATATCTCAATAAGTGTGTGTGGCTTTTTAAGTGAGGTTTCTCCCATTATGTAAAGATACAGGTGCGACTTTAGCACGTTTATTGGCAAGGTTTCTTCGCCAAGCTATGCACTTTATAGGGGTTCTTTGGTACGGTCTTGTATGTAGCACGTTTCCGCTTTGTTTTATGCCTTTTTGCTGACTGCTGCTTTCTAATATGTCAACAGTTCTGTAATTGAACGTTATTAGTCTAAATACGTGATTAAAAGCCGGCAGGCAATGCCTGCCGCACTTGCCGCCGATTTCAAGATCGTCTCCTCTCGGATTCTGATGGTTGGGGATACATTGGATACTGTGGATACTGCGGATACTGCGGATACTATGGATACTGGGGATCCGATCCACTCGACATGCTATTGTGTTGCTGAAGCGCTGAAAACATGTTCACTACCACTTCATTAGTGTTCAGTATGTAGTTGCTGCTGTCGCGTCGAGAAGACTATGCACATTCACCTGACTAATGCACAGAAAGAAATTCTAAAAAGTTTATGTAAAGTGGTATAATTGTATCAACGAAAATAGGTGAGCAAACAAATTTCCTCAAAAAATGTTATCAAAGAAACACAGCAAACTCTTTTCAAAAACGTATAGTTATTTTTGATCAATTAAAAAGGATCTACTCAAATGTGATTTGGATTCTCGTTGTTGTCCTTTTTTCCATCTAGATATTACAGATTTTACCTATTAATTAATCATTTTATAATAATAATTAATTTTCTCAGTGATTTCAAGATATTAAACAGAAAAGCTATTATTTTTCTCAGTGCATCTGGGACCGTTTCCAGCGTGATAGTCCGTTTGGCACCCAACTCCGAGGAACCGGAGGAACTACAGCGAGAAATGCGGGCAAACTTTGGGTACACCACACAAAGGCGACGAAAAGCTGATCGTGCGGACGTTGGAAAATGTCTATTTACCGTGTTAGATGTACTATTTACTCACCTCGGGAACGGTAACCTCGTAGGGCGTGTTCATGAAACGCGGCGCATTGTCATTTATGTCCGACACCCGAACAATAATGGGAATGGTGCGCTTTTTGTTTGTCGATCTAATGGTGCAGGAGACCTAAAACGATTCGGGATGAAAATATTTTCATAAATATTTGGAATCTTTCAGAAGCAAAGACGAAGAGGGTAAAGTACCTGAAAGACAATGTGACTGAGGTTCTCCTCATCTCGATCCAGAGGCTGCAGCAGTTGCAGTTTCTTGCCGTTCAATTGAAAGATCGGCTGGCCTTTCGGGAAGACCAAATTCAAAGCGATTTCCGTCTCCGGATCGCCGAAAATTGGTAGCTCTGGCGGAGTGGTTGGCTGTCCAATGACTGCAAGAAACAAAAAATGCATAAACAATATAGTAAAAGTTGATGTCTAATAAATAAAGCTGGGTTATTGGTACAAGTAGCTCTAAAACCGGCAAACATATCGCGAGGGAAACGAGACAACTAAGAAAACTGAGAAAACTGCAGACAGCAGCCTTTCTCTTTGCATTTGGGGTCAAGTTGCAGCGATCACTTGCGTTGTATATATACGTCTGTACATATATATGCACATATTTGTGGGCACATATCGTAGATGCATCATATATGCACATGAAAGTCGCTTGAATTTCGCGTGATCTTGTTATTTCGCTTTAGGCGCCTCCAAAAGTGAGATCATATCATTACACAACGAATTGTATTGTTTTCGACACTCATAACATTTTATGATCTATAAAATAAAAGGCCAATAGAATGTAAAATTTGTTATGGCGTTGTAAGACATAAATATTATAGATCCATTAATATTGTAATCTCAAGATTATAAAGTACTGTTTCTTACATCTATAAGTTATCATATCATGAATCGTAAGACCTATAATATCCGTATTTTGTAAGATACATAAATCTTAAAGATCCATTCATTTTGTAATCTTAGGAAAGACGCATTCATATTGTATAAAAAGTACATAAATATTATGGATCCATTCATATTGTAATCTTAAGAAAAAAGGTTTTCCTATTATTATGACGTACTAATTTGTATATTTTAGGTCATTTTGTGTGGGAACCTTTGACATTAAAAATGTTTCCGACAAAAAACCTAATTAAGCTCTGAAATGACTTAATAGCTCGGCCAAAATCAACCAATTATGGCATTTAGAGTTGGCTAGTTCCACCTTATAGAGAGGGTTCACCCTAGCAGCATGTAAATCATACAATGTATCTACAAAGTACATTTAATTTCTCTTGTCTGACGTGCTTTTTATTCTTTGATGTGATGTGATGGGCTGCCTATGTGCTTTGAACACGTTTAAAATTATAATTATGGTCTTGCACCTTTCGTGCTTTTAGTCTATGATCTTGAAGTCGAGGTTGCTCTCGAAGCGATTTGTCTAAAAAGCATATGGCCATTCATGTTTTTGCATCCACGTAATAGATTTGACGTTGAAGTATGCAGTTTTAAAACTCATATTTCCTGTTTAAAGCCATTTTAAACGGCTTAAATTACTTAGTTAGTCGGGCTAAGGTTATTATATATTTCTATAAAGAATACTTACAAGACTCTCGGCTCTCCTCGATATCCAGAATAATATTCGTTTGACCGGTTTCCACCTCGCACATTTGCGATTTGCCCAAAACCGCCGAACAGAGCAGGATGAGTAGTCCGAAAAATCCCAGTCCCTGCTGAGGAGTGAGTTTTCTCGCAGTCATTTTATATCTGAAAATAAAAGTAAACAAATATGTATTTCTTGTAAATCATCTGGGGTCTGATTTAAATATTATTTTTTAACCTACGCTGGGCCCACACAGCAAATGTGGAAATCCGAGTGGAGCTCTACGAAAAAAATGTCTTCTGCATGCGCTGCTTTTTTTTTCAGCTTTTTCTGGTCTTTGCTGCTTTTGTATGCAAAGACGGCTTCTCAAGCCTTAAATGGTGTGATATCAATATGCAATAAACCATTTAACAAACTTGGCGTTGTCTTAGTCGCTCTTTTATTCTCTTTTATACAAACGTATATGGAGATGTGGAAATCTAAGATGCGAAGATCCGAAGCTCTAGAATTTAGCGAGATAAATTGAAAATTTCTGCTAGTTCCGTTTGGCAGGGGGGAAATATTATTGACAGAGAAGAGTTCATAACGGTGGGATCATAAATTGGTTAATAAAGTGGGAAGCCATGCCGGGCAGCTAGAAACCAGACAACGGGCCTTCCACGATCAGGTGCACATTTTACCCATTTTGCACATTTTGCCCACCTCATCTCATCGGGTGCCTAAATGGCCAACTCGGACTGGCCGATCAACTTTTGTGGTTGGCTTACAGTTAGAAGCTAGAAGTTGGCAACCACTTCTCTTGCGGCTTCTATCCCTAAGTTTCTGCTCTTACATCCGCTGGCTTTCTGCTCCATCGCCATCTCCATCTCAATCTGAATCTCATTCTCCAGCCCAAGACTCGTTGGCACCAGGAGCCACTTTTCCTCTATCCCATCCTATCGCTTCGTATCCGTTACTCGGATCGTTTGTTTAATGAAACAGATCGACGCTAATCTTCTGGTCTTCTCGCTTTTTCAACCTCGGCTTTTATTCGGTCCATAGGTATTGCACAGGTTCAGTGGCGTTAGTTAGCCAAATATATCATAAAATAAAGTTATAAAGTGCTCGCTCTAACGAACGAAGGATCTTCGTTGAGAAATTATAACGTCAATATTATATTACCCACTAATTTCCTTTTTATGTTCGGCAATAAAAAACCGGATTAGATCGTCATCGATCAGATAAATAGATAGATCCAAAGATTGTTTTAATTTAAAAGGTTTTTAAGAAGTAGTTCTAACTCATCAATAAATAAGCTTTTTATTTTAATGCTTAATGTATGGTGTTTTATAAAATGGTTTTAAGCCTGCTCTAATTTATGATTTATTAATCTATTTGCTCTGATTGCCTAATATTATTCAATTACTCTACTCAAAAGTTAATAAAGCAATAAAAATGTGTATAATTTCCTAACGATTTATTTAATTTTGCTAATGTCTGCGCTGCAATCTCGAATTGAATCAAACTTGTCTCGAAACGCAACTATTGCTGAAATAATCTCCGAAATCATAAAAGCAACGATCGTAAATTGCGTAACTTAAGTGCGAGATATCACATTGTATTGATATGGGGCTTAAATGATTCGTTTCGTTTCGTATCGCTATTTGCTATTTACTATTTGGCTAAAATCGGGAAAATCGCTGCAAGTCCTCCGCTTTCACTGAACATGTACAAAATACCATTTCCATTTTCCCCCCGTACAAACAAAAGTCGGAGGAGCATGGAGTATGGATCATAGAGCTTTGCAGCTCGGTGGTGGCCACAGAAAGTCAGTTGCTGATTATGTTCAACCGGAAACTTATAGAAAAAGCCGAATGTGCCAAACTGGTTTGCAAAATAAACGAAAGCCGAGGTATCGGCGCTGTATGCTGTGTGCTGTGTGCCTGAATGCCTGAATGCTTGAATGCTGGGTGCAGATTCGATATACGGGAAACCTGTTGCTTATTGATGCTGTTTTTGCCAACATTTTCTAGTTTTGAATGTGGTACAATACGTACCGAACTTAAATCTAAAATCTGTTGGAATGCGAACGAGATGGTTGCCACACACAAAAATCTTAAATAAACAAGAAAGGAACAAATAGCTCTTTTGGGGGACCGAATCTCGGGATACCCTGAGCATAATGGCTCACCAATCATACCCATTCGATCGTTCTGTCAGCTCCAACTGTGATTGTTATGCTAATTCCGTGAGTGTTTTATTGTATTTTAATTTTATTGGACAGGAGGACGCGCTGCAGACCATACAAAGTGTACGCTTATATGCATATTTCTCCTCTTTGACTCGTGAGATGTTTCATAATACCAGCTGACAATAAAATATTGTCTTTTATCAGCATATAAACCATCTCAATCTGAGCAGTTTGTAGCTACAAAGAGGTGGTAATATAAATTCATTTCAGGTAATATTGTATGATATAAGAGTATTCCAAGCTGAGGTCCCTAAAAATTCTGCAAAATGCCTTTTAAAAAGTTTAATGAGTTTAAACGATTTTGAAATTCTAATCGTTCTAATGAACTCAACAAGTATCTTAGAGCCAATTTACTGGGAACCATTTTTCTTGATGATTAATTTTAATGAATTGCCTTTTTTTCGAGAACGCCTATACCAAAACTTGAACAACTGCTGAGTAACAGAAATAATCTTTAAATATGTTTGTCTTAAATGGTCATCAATTTAAAAGGCAAAGCTTTCAACTTTAGCAAAATATAATATAACTTATAAGATGGCAAAAAAATTAAAGAATCTTAAGCTTATAATTTTAAACTAAGACATTGAACTGCAAAGTTTTTTGGTGACAATAAAATTAATCGACCTGACTTGCCGCTAAAAAGCACTGTTAGGTGATTATGTTTTCTTCTTTATAAACTGCTTCGGGGCATTTAAGCAAATGAAGATTAATCTTTCAAGCTCTGGACATTGTTTTGTGTCTCCTAATCTCTTTCCCCCCTATAAATACTGTATAATTTAATGATAAATAACTTCGTACTTACCGTTTATTCTAAAGATTTAATAATGCAAAAGCTCGAAATATTTCTGCTAAGTATCCAACGTGAGGAATGAAATCACACGTCGTTAACAAAGGAATTCTTGATCCTCAATTACATTTCGGAAAAGTGATATAGGTAATCAAGTATTTCCTTGCCACCCGTACGCTGTGTATAAAAACAAGGTTAAATTTAATTAAAAACACACACGACACTTTTTTTTTTAATATTAATTTTATGCGTTGCTTTGTCATAAAACTCGGATTGAGTCGATATTTTAAAAATGACGATCACAAGACAGGTTTTCCTTTGTTTTTTCCACACTAGATTGATTTTTAATTATTTCTTTTTTTCCCTTTCGAGGCTGTCCTCTCCGGGGATTAATTATAAATCTTAATATTTCGCGAAAAGCAAGAAACAAAGCGGCGCGTGGGAGTTTTTGGTAGCATGTAGTAAAAGTAGCATGGCAAGTTGATGACTATCTATGTCTGCCCGTACAGTGAACAAGACTGTATAAGTTTTCTTACACAAATCTCGGCATACGTGACCTCATTTGCCGATCTGACAGAAAACGTTTTTCGTTTTTTTCTCGGATTTTTTTGGTTGTTTCTTTTGCAAATGCCGCAAAATAAAATCCCGGTAAAATCTCGATAAATTAAATTCGTGGTGTGCGATTTCTACCAGCCCCTAAAAGCACTGGCATTTAATACAGCGATCACGTTCACATTCCACATTAGTGTTCTATACTTCTTTTGTTTTCGTTGACTTGAGTTAAGTGATGATGGTTAAATTGATGTGAAATTTTTGTTTGTTTTACAGCATTGTGTGATTTGGGTAAACAATAAATTGGCAAGAGAGAAAGTCTTGCTTTCGGTTGTGGGTAGGTACAATCATCTTTTTTTTTTTTTGTTTAATGATGGATGCTTTGTAGCCGGGGTTTCTTTGTTATTTAAACGGGGGAACTATTATTATTTCATATTTTTTATTCACTGGCTTGGGGAACTTATGGGTAGGATGCCCTTTAAAGGGTCTGCGGATCCACCGCACACATCACACGTCGCCATAAACGGACCATTCTGAACTTTACACATTTTCTTGGGAGATATAACTCTTAAAAAATTAGCTCTTAGGCATATTCATACCAGCTTGAAAACCGGTATCGCGGGAGCCACCTAAAATACGATTAGGCACATAATAAATACACTGCGCGAAAGTACGTGATGTCGGCTCGCTGGCTGGATCGGAACTGTTTCGGTTTACCTGTGTCTCTCTGGTTTCAGCAACAAGTGGGCGCTACCATCTAAAACCCAGATGGAACGGAATGGAATCGGAGTCTCTCTCCTCTGTTGGCATTCGCTTTTGCGGTAAAACTGGTTTTTGGGGACTAGTTTACCAGCTGATACCATACCACCATACACATCGCTACAGCCATAGATATATAACCATTTTTCGAGTGCGAAAGGCTTCGCCTATGGTATTGGTATAGTACAGGTACTGCGATCCACGATCTGCAGGTGCATGTAGATATGTATGTTTCGGGTTTCTTGAAAATCTTGAACAACTAACAGCGCGCTGTTAAGTCAAAGGTAAATAAAAGACCACCATGTTTCATTTCCATAGGTGTTTGGGGATCGGGGGATTGGATATGTTATGGGGAACCAGTTTTTGGCTTTTTCCCTCTCTTTTGTTTTTAGCTGCATGTGCTGCATTTGTGTGTTGTTTGGGGGCTGTGTAAAAGTTTTTATTAAAATGTTTTAGGTGATGTTGCTGCGATTTTGTGCAGCAATCTGTGGCCGCACAGTTTTCCGAACCCGCTCACTTCACCGATCCGATCCCGATTCCGAACCGATCCCCAATCCCCAGTCCCCAAACCCCAGCCGATGAATGAAGTTCACTAAAGGGGCAGACAGCATTTTTGTACCTGTCAGGCGGCCATGGAGCAGCATATATGCATATTCCATTCCCATTGTATTGGGACAATGAGACAGTTGCTTTGCTATCCACGAAATTACCATCATATCATTGCGAGGTGTTTGCAGTCGCACACCAAGCAAATATTATCATTCTCAGCCGGATGCTAAAAGAACAATTGAAGTAAAATTTTTTTTTTTAAATATATAAGATCAGTTTATTAAAAAAACTAACTTTATATTTACTTATATTTAGGAGTAGCTTATACTTATTAATTTTTTAAAAATACTACCGACTAGTTTTTTAATAAAACATCAAAATTTAAAAATCGTATGATAATTTCTTAAAATCTAGTTATCTAAAATGTCAAACGATTAGCAAAACCGCCTTCTTAATATACCTGCGAATATTCCCTCCTATCTGCCAGCTAAAGATCTAAACAGCTTTCGACTTTTAAGAGTACACAAATCTCTATGACTGACTCCACTTTTATTCTCTGGCCCATTCAAAGAGCCTTTAAAGATTAAGACATGTGCTTACCGGCCATTAACACAGTATCTCCATGGTGCTAAAATCCATGGGATGTTGCCGGCATCCCATCTTCATAATTCACTTGAAGAGAAAGTGCAAGGGTTTTCAGCAAAGATGTACATCATTAGCCCGTTTTAATGTTTCCCAACAACCAAGAGTTAAGCTTTCAACTCTTTTAGCTCTCCGTCTTGCTAAATTCCCCTAAGCTGGGAACTAATTAAAGCTAGCCCACGGTTTCTTGTTCTTTCGTTATTATAAAAAGGTAGTTTCTTGCAAAATTTATTGAGGGGTTTTGGATTACCATAATGTGGGTTAGATTTGTTTTTTTTGCCTTCCCGCTTTGTCAACACTTTTACAATTCGAATGTCCCATTTACACGACAATTGGAGTGTTCGCTTGGATCATTTTACTAATTTCAAGTTCAGAAAAATAAATTATAGTTTTTCTATATGTATATATAAATTGCTATTGTTATAATTATAATTGTATAGTTGCTAACACTTAATTTTTCTGAAGAATTTTTCAGTTAAATATTCTCTGATACCTCACGAATACCGGATATGAAAAGGTTAAATGCAATGTGTCAGCCAAAATTGTAAGGTTTCGCTTCAACCATCCTCTTAAGCTCGAATTGCTGGTCGAGCCATTTTAAAATCAGTTTACCTTCTTGAGAATACTGGGTTGCATAAATCAGGCACATGAAAAAATCGTATGACATTATGTGGCAATAATGTTAGGTTGTGCAATATAAGCAAAATAATTTGTATTTTTAGCAAATTACCAATTAAAGTCTGCATATCACGAAAATCGTTTGTGTGCATTATTTTTAAAATGTTTCCTCAAGAATGGTTATTTTCTAGACAATAGTCTACTATATTATTCATAAACTTTAAAAGCTCTCTGCTTGGTTAAAAGTCATTGGACGAATGAAAAAATCTGCAACCAGTTGGCTTTAAAAAAATATTACGTTATCAGCACAAAATGCGAATGAACTAATAAAGGCGAGCAATAAACTGGCTTCAAATTACATACTTCTGCAGAGCTCCACTGCAACTTGTAAGTAGTATAAAAATTATGATCGCAAATATAATTTTAAATTTCTTTCATTGCCGAAAGCCAGGTGACCATTCACAATGAGTGCATTGTTCTGGCCTCTCACATGTTTCTTTCGGCTTTCCACAGGCTGTTAAATCATTCTTCGTCCGCTTTAATTGCTCCACAAAGTACAACTGCATACTGCATTCCTATTCCTGGCCAGCAATAGCAAAAAAAAAACTAAATAAAAGTAACAACAATTCGATTTGGGACCAATGCGCACCAAATAACCAAAAGATGCCTTGCTGGCGGACTGAAACTGAACAATCACTTTGCCCAGATCAGTTTCGGTCCGGCCAAGAAAAAATATATATATAAATACACATATATACCTTATAGATGGCAGGGGAGAATGTGTGTGCACAGTTGCGGTCAGAAGAAAAGTACGGAGCGGATGGTAGATTTATAAGGTGGAAATCCAATCCGGTCTCGGCGAGAACGGGGAATACATCTCCTGGATGCTCACTTTATGTGGGGCTTCCCACCTATGTATTTACACGGAGAGAATATGTGGCTTTATATGATGGAATGTGTATAATTATTAATAATTAACTGCCTACCTTTAGGACCACACGTTTATATTAAGTGAAATAAAAATTGTGAAATAATTTTAATTGATATAGGATATTTTAAAACATTTTTTCTAAATTCTAATTTTTATTCTATAAAAAAGGATATTTATAACTGTGTTTGCTACCCTAAATGTTACATATAGACAACATATATATTCGAAAAAGTTAGCTTAATATTAAGGCATACCTACAACTTTTATTTATTTTATTGTTCCCAGAGGTAAAAGGTCTACTTTACGAAAGTTAAAGAGCTTAAGCTTGTATTTTATGACATGGTTTCCATACCCCGATGGTAAATATTAAATATTTGCAAACATTTTGAATTAAATTTAAAGTATTTTTTGCTGTGCACATACCATGTACTAACTTCCTGACCGCAGCTGTACCCGTCCCGCAGCCAGGCCATTAACATTGCTTAATTGAATTAGATTCCGAATGCAGATTATGAGTACCATCGCATGCTCACTCCGGGACAAAGCGAGTATGGGTAGTTCGTAGAGTATAGAACGAACTACGATCCCGAAACCCAAACCGAACCCAATGCAAATGAGAGGTACTCAAGTTAAAAGCGCCTTTTCGAAATCCTCCTTTATGGTCAGTATGGCATAAAATTCAGTTTCAAAAACATATTAAACCCTTTGCAGTGGTAATACACCCAACTATTGGCATATAGTTCAGTGAACCTGAAGTCTAATTAGCCAACTTTCCGTACAAAAGCGGTTTCTGTAATCTAATTCGATGGCGTCAGCGGCACTTTGCGAACCACGAAACATTTCTGCAGCCAAAAACGAGCAGAGCAGAGCGACTTGTACATTGTACATTGGCCACTCCATTCAATTCGATTCGATTCGATTGCACTGCACTGCAGTACTGGGTATTTGGTATTAAAGGCCAGCAATTGTGGCATGTCCTAGTGACAGCCTCGCCGCAAAATGCACAAAACGCTAGTGCAATACTAGCCACAAGCGACTGCGAGCGTCGTGCCACGAAACGTAGGAGCTGCTGCTTCATTAGTTATGCATTAAGCATACGATATGTTGTACAACCCGGCTACAATGGCCAAAAGGGTACTTGTCCTGCTTTATGGGCTTTGCTTGGTTAAGTGTTGTCATTAACGTGGAGCTCTCGCTTAAGACGAGTCCCTCATAACTATTAACTATTAACAAACTCTTTTCAAACACGGAAAAGCTTGCATTACATGTCCGTTAATAATATCTCAAAATGAAAAGGTAGAAAATATTTGTGTCTTTAAATATCATATCTGATGGTTTGATTTCAAACGGAGTCTTTCTGGGGATACCTTGATTTTTATAGGACAAAAACAGAAAGCGTTATAACTTTTTTTTTATATTGCTAGCGATTCCATAGTTCTTTTTTTAAAATTGATAAACAATTAAAAAAAATATTGACTTTTCAGTGATTACTTTATAAGAATACATCAGTGAATAAATATAGGTATTTAATTAGAATACAACTAGAATAGAAGTAGATTCAAGTCGATAGTTTTATTTATTATTTAATTATTCATAAGTATATTCATAAGATCAAAAAATAAACGAGTTTGCTACAAACTTTTCTATAAACGCAGGAACTTTAACTAGGCACATGTTACATTTTTAATTTTATTTAATATCCCTTTAATAGGTAGCATTTTAAAGTGTAATTAAGTTTTGGTGACCCACACATTTTTAATGTCTGGTGACTAACCTGGAATGGTATACCTATGTACATATTAGTTATTAATAAAAATGTTCCCAAGTGCTAACTGATTTATTTGAAAATTATATTGATTAGCCTTGATTGCTGCCATTGCCTTTTCGAGTGTAACCACGTTTCGGTGACCCAATCGGGTGCACCTTTCCTGTTTTCCCGCATTGGGCTGCTGCAGTCAATCTTTTTGTGGGATGTCCAGCTCCCTGTTAACTGCGTGCAATTCGTGGGGGTTCGTATGTCGCTTAAAAATTTTAATTGCCTTTGCGTGTTTAGAAAACTTACACGTACGTATGTTCTGCGTAGTTTAGCAGCTGACCAAATGCCACGGCGGCTTTCTAGTCGCTCCAGGGGATATGTCTGCAGCAGTATATTGAAGTCTATTTTCACACTTTTCACGCCGGCTCACACGATCGCTAATGCTTATCGATGTGGATTAAAATTGAAAGGAATTTGCAGAGAGATTGTTTATACATTTATTCATATTAATGCTGATCTGCGGTGTTGAATAGTTCATAAAATATCTTAACAAATTGTAGTACTAGTATATTTCTCATTCTTAAATTGTTGTTAATTAACCTTTATCAAAAAAAATGAATTAAAAGTTTTAAAAGTCAAAAGACCGTGATTAATTCTAGGGCTAGGGGTCGCTGGCTGATTGTCAGCGGAAATCTATGTGAGTGCAGCAAATCTGTTGAACTTTAGCCCTCGAATAGGTGTAAATAGTATTTACTTAGTATTTAAATAGTAATCCACGTGCAAGTTATGTATGCATTCATTGTGAGTGAAAAACAGATCTGATTACTTGCTTATCTGGCCGCAGAACCTTTGGCTTTGACCCGAATTCCGGGGAATTCCGGAAAATGTGTTCTGTGCTTCGCGCTCAAGCTTAATAATAATAAAATCCAAAACACTCTTTGGTTAAGATTTTTATAAATAAAAAGAAAATAAATATTTTTAAAAATTAAATTTAAAAAATATTTGGAAAAAACAAACATCATTTTTGGTGTCTCCTATAGCCTTAGGCATCGGGAGTATATATGTCATATAAATCGAAGTTTAGAATATTAAAATTTTCAGTGAGTTGTGCATAGAAATAATTTTCTAAAAGAGACATAAGACCTTGAAGAAATGGCCTCTAATCGAGCGGTTTTCACTGCCGGCTTTATTCACATAATACTCGGGATTTCGGTATGCCTTTCGCAAGCTGCGGATCGCTGTTCGCCCGCTCCGAATTTGGGAAGCTGGATATTCGCGGGAGCCCTCATGCTGCTGGCCAGCGATATTAAAATGTATCCGGATCGCTATAAGCACCTGCCGTATGCCATTCAGTTTCTGGTGGAGACGATCGGGTCCCTGGCCATCCTAGAGTTCTTCTCCTTCGTGGTTTGGTGCATGCTGGAACGGCTGATACACCACCTGGTGAGGCTGCTGTTTTTATCCTTGGGAATGAGCGATGAGATTTACCTGGCCCTGGAGTACTGGCTCCTTCTGATTCCCACCACTGCTGCGGCTGGCACCCTGTTGATGATAATGAAAATGGCCATCTTACCTCTTTTCGATATCAAGACAGTCTATGAAAAGCAGGAAATAAAGGTGCATCTGGACAGGGATATTTACATTGACCTAATTGCTGCCCAAAATGTGCCCAAAAAGAGGAGGTATAATCGTCGATACAGTACTTAAGTTAAAATGTAAATTTGTTTAGTGTTTTTATATACATAATTTATGTGTTGAACTAATAGCAATAAATAATATTATAAAAAGTAAAAGTATAAATGAAAATTTTATGAATTTGAATTTGAATCTCGGTTTTATTTCATAAAATGCGTTTTGCAGCACTGAATAGCGGAGATATCCCCCTTACATAGCCAAGAAACCCACCTATAAATACCGTATTATTTTTGGGCCGGACATAAGTTATCGATAATTCCGCGGTCGCTCCGAGTCCACCGCTAATGAACAGCTGAATAACAATAATCATATTTTTATTTGGTTTTCGTTCAAAACAATTATGCGATTCAACGCAGCCGCCTTATAGCGCCCGTGCCACGCCCACTGCGATGCGAAGAGGCGACCAAGCCAAGGTGTCGCCACGAATCCAGAAACCGAGAACCGAAGCCGAGTGTCGGGAGACCAGAATAAGGAACACCCACTAGTGAATTCCGGGGAAAAGACATTAAACTAAGATGTCCACGGAGGAGCATGTGTGGCGAGCGCATGTTGTGCGGCGACTGCGCGAGCGAAATCGCAAGGAGTGCGACAACTTCAAGGAGATCATCGAGCAAAGTAAGAATCTGGGTCGCCAGCGGAGCACCCCAGTTGACCTCCGAATCCGAATTCTTCTCCTCTCCAAACTTCATGGCCACACACTCACACACTTTAATTACCCGCATCATCTCGCCTTGCAGACAACCGACTGATCGACCATGTGGCGCAGCTCAAGGCGGACAACCTGAAGATCTCCGTGGAAAACGAGCAGCTACGCAGCGCGGTGTCAACAGGTGGCACCGGTTCCAACGTGGCCATCGCCACCCTCGAGAAGAAGCTGCTCAGCCAGCAGGAGGAGCTCACCGACCTGCACAAGCGCAAGGGCGAGAATTCCCAGATGATCGTCGATCTCAACCAGAAGGTCGAGCAGCAAAGGATCATCATTTCCGAGAAGGAGCACAGGTAGCTAGAGAGGATGTGGTTGTTTTGATTGCCTCATTTTTACTGTAGATATACATTTATACAGATTTTATTATTATTGAGTCATAATTTATGACTTTTAATAGCTTTCGTAACTCTGATAATAATCATAGTCACATTACTATGATTCAACATTCCAAGTTTTGGAAATAGTAACAATGACTTGGAAACAAAATTTTCTAAATAATTTTGACTTTTTTAAAAAATTATATAGTCACTTTACTATGACTTAATATTTAAAGTAATTGGAAATAATAAGAAAGACTAAAAAACAACACTTTCAAAATTATTTTTACATTTTTTAAAACTAATATGACAGAATTTAAGGTTGTACAATGTACATAGAACTTATTTTAAAAGTACCAGGAGAAATCAGCAAGTTTGTCATAATTATGTTCAAAATGTCTTCTTACTTGCACTCAATCTAACTGACTCCAATAACTAGAATATCATTAGTTTGAACTTAAATTGTAACAGACATTAATGCATCTATTTATTTTAGCCTCGCCGAGCAGCAAACGAATAACAATCGATTGCGCGCCGAAGTGCAGCTACTTCACTCGAGTTTGGAGGAACTCAAGAAACTGAACAACACCATGTTGGATGAACATACAGCGCTTCAGTTAGCATTTAGCTCCCTCGAGGATAAATTGAGAGGAGTACAAGTAAGTGGTTCGCAATTTTCACATCTGTATTTCTACACAATCACTAAGGCTTTGGTTTAGTTGACCTGTATCTTAAATACCAACACACAGAAATTAAATTCTTCGTATCTACTAAATTGGGAAAGTGAAATCGAATATTTTGTAAGTGAAAACAAACTTATTCAGTCCTTAACCCAATTAAATTCCCACTTTCCCAAGTACAATTTATGTCTTTTATTTTTGTAAACATTTTTTGTTGATAAACCACTTGAAAGCACTAAAATCCCATATAGTTTTTGGAGAGCATATAAATTCGATAAGGGCACTTTTTATGATCAAATGGTGGTTACTCATTTATTTTTAAAAAAATCAAATATATAAATAGGATTTAAATATTTGTTTATTCAACGTTGTGAATAAAATCTTTTTTATTGGTACTTATTCGAGGCTTCCGAATCCAATTGAAGAATTTAATTTGTACGGTATTTGGTTCGTTCGATAAATATATTGCAGATGGCTCGAATCGTTAGGCCATCGTATACAGACGGGCGAAAAGCTTGCTATCTTTTCGATTTCGATCCAGTAGCATATTAGCGTTCAACGCGGAAAACAGCACAACGGCGCCAAATATTTGCATATATTCTAAATATGAAAAAGCGTCTACTAAAAAGCTTTTCGTTCTCTTGCAATTCACAGGATGAAAATCGTCGGTTACTGGAGCGACTGATGCAATACAAGTCAAAGGATGCCGACAAGTTGAACGAGGAAAACGAAAGCATAATAAGGTATGTCTGTTGAAAAATAAAAGCATCCTAACCCAATTATCATGCAAAACATAACGTTTAATATTACTTATCTCTTCGATCATTAATATACATGTATATAAATGCATTTTCGTAACAAGATAGGTACAGAGGATACATATGAAATGGTTAATCGCGAGGCTTATCTAATGCTTATAAAAGACTTTGATAAAAATATTCCATGTAAACTGTTGACATATGCAGTGAACAATATTTCAGGCAGCTTTTTGCTTATTTTTTTAACATCACTCATAATTCGGAATAAACAGGATTTTATAAAAAAAAGGTTTTTTTGAGTATAGTTAAATTTTGTTAAAATATGAAAACAGACAAACAATTAAATGCTTTTTCGTGTCATTGCTTAGGATATTTCAAAATTTTTATGTGTTTTTAAAGGAAGAATTTAATAGAAAAAGCAATAATCCTTGCTAGATCTATTCTTTTTTAGGGCATGTATACTAGGCTATTATCTTAATACCCGATTAGAGATTACAGTGCCCATCCACCTGACCGCTGATCACCTAGTTGTGTTAATAAAAACCACTTTATTGCCCACCCACCCAACGTCATGCAAGCAAGTTAACCGAAAAATGCGGAGCACGGGAACTACCAATAAAGGTTATCGGAAAACTACACAAACTGCATGTAATAAATATATTTACCTATATATTTCTCAACTACTAACACCCTAACAAACGCCAAGGAGTAGAACGGACCATTTAGACGAATATTATCTCGATTGTGTGTCATTCATTCTGATTTGCTCCCTTTGTAATTTTTGGTTTAATATAAATGTATAACCGTTTTTGAACATATCTAGAAAAAGACTGCCGTCAATTTTCAGGAAACGTTCGGCCAAACTGAAACGTGACCTGGAAGACGCGGTCCGTGAGCCCGGCTCCTCGTCCAGCAATACCGCATCCTCGCCAGGCGCCGCCTCCGCCGCATCCTTGCAGCGCAACTCCAGTCCCGCCCAATTCGTTGGGGGCCTCATCGGCGACGAGGATTTCGACGAGGCAGCGATAAATGGCGCCATGGAAGCCATAGGTCTCGATGATAATGAATATATTAGCGCTCGTTTTACAGCAGGCGAGATTGGGGAGAACAGCCGGGCTTCCATCGACACCCTGAAGGCCACCGGCTACCTGGGCCAGGCCAATCCGACCAAGATCCTCATGAAATTCGAGGCGCACGAGAACGAATCGCACGCGGTGCGCTGGAGTCCCGTGGAGCGGATGGTGGCCACCGGTGGCGCTGATCGCAAAGTTAAACTTTGGGATATTGGCAAAAGTGAGTTTAGATATTCTAAGTCAATTATTATATTTTTAATAGAAACTATTAATTATAAACACTTAATTTATTTATTTATATTTTATACTGTTAATAAATCTAATTAAAAATGTATATACTTTCAGATTCCACTGAACCACGTGCAATTTTAAGCGGCAGCAGTGCAGGGATTAATTCCGTAGATTTCGATTCAACAGGCGCCTATATATTGGGCACCTCGAATGACTACGGTGCTAGAGTTTGGACAGTGATGGATAATCGGTTAAGAGTAAGTAAAATGTTTAACGTTTAACTCAAGCAAAGGCGAATCGCAATAAAATATATAGTAGATGTAAGGGAAAAACACTTTTCCAGTTTCATCGTCGACTAGTCTAGACGCTATATATTGTTTTTTTTTTTAAATTATAATATAAGTGTGTGATTTAAAATTGCGATTACTGGCTGAACTTTGGTGCTTACTCACCCGCAAGTTTACGAGTTTTTCCCAGATTAAATTAATACATAAAATTCCCTAACTTGTTAAAACAAAAACACAGAGGTGCAATATTTTAAATCAGGTAATACGTTCTTGCTTAACAATTAGTCTACGCTAGAATGGGCATAACAATACTTTCCATTTCTTTTGCTGCTCTAGGCAGATTGAAAAACCGACTTCTTTGATGCCTTGATTTATAAAGAATTTTCAGCCCTCGTGATATTCTCTTTTCGCCTTTGTTTACTCAAGTCGGTATGATATGTACATAAGTACATACATATATGCACACATTCATAGCAATGTCAATGTTTATAAATAAATTTTGCATGTTTGCCGCTTTCTAACTCGGGAAAAAAGGCGAAAAGTAAACAAGTAAACATTACAGAGACGCTGATGGCAAACAAAAGTGTTTACTGATATAGTAAATAAGGCACTTTAACTATGATTTATGCGTTTCGTTGGGTCTGTCTGTGGGTAGAACGATCCTAGGAATGATTTCATGCCTGTTGGCAAGATTCCCTAGAACGGTTAATTTATTAAGGATCAGGAATATCTTATTTTTGTATTTTTTTTATAGTTTCTCAAATTGAAGAAATGGTTATTAAATTTCTTTATTAGGTCTATTCAAACGTTTAAAGAACGTTTACTATTCTGCAGCTTTATCGAAAGAATCATTTTCAATTGGCGGTCATAAATAAAAGTCGTCTATGAAAGCCAAGAGGGGAAAACTGGCCAATACACATTGGCAGTTGGCCTGAATTGCAGTAGAATAATCTTTCTTACCCCAAGGTTCATCTCTCGCCTGGTCAGGCGAGATCCGCAACTTCATCCATTTATGCTGCACATCGTCAACATGCGAATGAACATACAAGTGCAGTTCTTCCTGCTATTCTCCGCCAGCTTCAGCTTCAACTCCATCTCCAGCTACCATCCTCCATCCGTGTGATACACCGACTCTTCTGACTCTTCTCTTCTAACTGGTATTTCTGGATTGACATTTAAACGGTTCTTTTGCGCACAACTGGAAACTGTAACTGAAGAATAGCGCCGCTGAGCTGCAGCATTAAAATGAGCACACTGACTTGTACGGCCTCTGGCCACAATGCGATCAAACAGTCAACTGATTGCCGATAGCCAAGTTATTATCATTAATACATGCGTCTTTTTTACGATTCGTACTTAAACTTTTCACACACCGTAAACGCCGCAGCTTTATGCGGGAGATTTTCCATTAATCGGAGAATCATAACTGCAACCGAATGTTTCGATTTATCATTACTTTAAATAGCTTGGGGTTTCGCTGGCCGACAAAATTAGATTTCTTGGTTCCTATTAGTCTTTAAGATTTTATCTCATAATAATTTAATTTTCGGGAATTGCTAAATATAAGATTATTTAAAACAAATTTAAAACTCATAGGATAAATTATTATAAAAGGCTTAGAAAATACAAATTTTGCTTAGGATTAATCAATGGCTAGACTAAAATCATGTAATAGAAACTGTGAAATTTAATCCAACAATTTAGTAAGGAATTTCTACAAATTTTTTATTGGCTACTTTTAAATTGTAATTATGATTGAATCAATCGTTTTAAGTGCTCCCAGGTGTTATAGTTATTTATGTTCGTGTCATATTAGACCCCAGTAATATGTCATGCATTAAAAAAGTTTTGCTTAATTTATGGCTCTCGAAAAGAGGACATTTCCACCTTTCCTACCACGCAGGCATTCCTGATAAAAAGCGGAGTGGTTTGCAGAATTTTAAACTCACCGGTTTCTGCGAGGACAACACGTTTTTCGAAGCCAAATATATAAACAGCGGGCTTGGTTCCTCAAATAAGACTGTTTAAGAGAACATTTCAATCCATGTTATTAGTTAGAAAAACCGGGCGAAGAAACATGGGCTCTTTTCTTAAAGACCAAGACACTCTTCTCTCCCAACTCTCCGCTCTCGGAGTCTCCAATTCTACGAGCGAGACGAGCTCCAGTCAAACATGTTTGAGACACCATCGCTTTAAGGCGGAGAGACCACTGCGTTTCAAGCCACACTGCGCGTACATTGACCGTTCGACTTGACCGGTTGCCGGTCGAGAATCGGACTTCCAGGCGGCTCTTTAATTAAGAGAGAAAGAGTCTTTTTATTTTCCCCAAAAGGGCAGCCCCTTGGAACGGCTTAAGACTTGGCAATTAGTAAAAGACTTTTATTATTTATTTAATAGGTTAACCATCAGCCCGCAATTCCCTTTTCTTTCTTTTCCCATTTGCCAATCTTCTCTGTGGATTTATATATCCTGCCCAAACTCCTAGCGTATGCTAAACAGCCATATTGTACATTTTATATCACTACAGACAGCTTCCTTGAAAATCTCATAAATCAACATTTTTCCCCGATGCCAAGGAAGGCTTTTTATCTTATCTGGTTTCTTGTTTCCACTATTAAGCATCTTGGTTGAAAGATAAATAATCGTGAATTTACAGTTCCCTAAGCGAGAGCCCCAAGTGTCAATGACTTTAATTCATGCATGTAGCTTTGGGTTAGGAAAAGAGTAGCAACAATTCCAAAATATGTATGTCCCACCATGCGACGACCTATGTCAATAAATTCTCTGCGGCAGTTATGCGTGGCGTTTTTTAAGATCCTTGTTTATAACGCCGTAATTAAATGTCTACCGTCTCTTTAATGTCTGCGGACACTTTTTAATTGCTCCGCCGTTCTAGTGAAAGATACTTAGCTCGTGTAATTAGCCGGTTTCTAATGGCGGGCATATGTACATATGATGCGATGATGCCAGAAAAGGTGTTGGCGGTCGGTCCTCAGCCCCGAGAAGTCATTGTTTTTCCTACGCTGGAGATCTGAGATCTGAGATCTCTATAAAATAATGTTTGCCCTATAACGTAATTCTCCGCTAACTGTATGTATCTTTTCTGGCATTCAAGCACACGCTGACGGGTCACAGTGGCAAAGTAATGGCTGCCAAATACGTCCAAGAGCCCATTAAAGTGGTGACCGGAAGCCATGATCGCACTCTGAAGATTTGGGATTTGCGCAGCATCGCCTGCATAGAGACGAAATTCGCCGGATCGAGTTGCAATGATCTGGTGACCACCGACAGCCTGGGCTCAACGATAATCAGCGGGCATTACGACAAGAAGATCCGCTTCTGGGATATACGCACGGAGAAGCAGGCAGATGATGTCTTGATGCCGGCCAAAATCACCTCTTTGGATTTGTCAAAGGGCAAGTTCTGCATACTAACCATCCTGATCATAATTATAATGTATTTTCATCGACAGATTGCAATTACCTCATATGCTCTGTAAGAGATGATACTATTAAATTGTTAGATTTACGCAAAAATCAAGTTATATCCACGTTTACGTAAGTCATTACTTGGCACTCAAGTCCAGCATCGCTGTAACCTTGAAATATTTCCCACAGAAACGAACACTTTAAAATCAGCTGTGATTTTGCTCGGGCTTCTTTCAACTCGAGCGGCCTAAAGATTGCTTGTGGCTCAGCGGATGGCGCTATATATATTTGGAATGTGAATGGTTTCCTAGAAGCCACTCTCAAGGGCCACAGGTGGGTAGTAAAAATATTTAATAGTAGGAGTCTCCATGCTCCAGCCCTTTTGTGTTTATTGTGCTTAATCCTTGTATTTATTTCTTCTTTCATCTGTGCTCTCATTTCACAGCACCGCAGTAAATGCGGTCAGTTGGAGCCCCAACAACAACATGCTGGCTTCCGTTGGCAAGAACAAACGATGCACTATCTATTCAGATTCATAACCCTTAATGTTGCCATAAACGTCAGTCAGTTCCATTTGTACTGAAACGCTTAAAAGTCAGAGCTGTAATTATAAAACGGCCATGCGGAGTCTGCTGTAAATAGTAAATTCGGTTGGCGAGTGGTCAAGGTAAAATCATCCAGTGCCGACAGTTTTTAATAATTTTACTTGATTATTTTATTTATACTTGAAACGGATATAGTATACAAATTGTATCAATTCATATATTAATCTAAGTACATGTTTTCCTATTGTAAAAATAAAAAATATATATATGGGGTTGCATATACGACCAATTCTAAAGAAGACTAGTATTTATATCCCTTATTAATTTTTACAGCTAGGTGACATGGGATGACAAAAGAACTGAAGTCGCGTTTCTGAATAGAAATTAAATTGGGGCAACGGCAACCCAATAATTCTATGGCCTTCACTCTTTATATAGAAACCAGTTACCTTCTGCGACATTATATGCTTTTTCTTTCTTTTGCCAGCACCTGTGGTTTAGCCATATAGCCATAAAAATTTCAGACAATAATGCTCAGCCAGCAAAACTTCTTATGCATCCTTCGAACGTGATGCATTTTAATTTCTGCATATGTGATCAATTCTTAGCACGAATGTGGCTGCTGCTGCTGCTGCTGTGCCATTGGCGAGAACACATCCAATTATTTCGTGTGCTGACGGAGCACAATCGACACTGGGGAATCTCTAATTGAGCGAGGAAAATAACCACGGCACACCATCATTACAAATCTAACGTACATTCATTTTTATCGCCTTGCATGCATGCTTTAATTAAGAATCTTTTCAGATTATGCCTGGAAAAACAACTACAACTTAGCGTTAAGTACCGCCAGGGATCTAAAATCTTAAGTACGATGGTACTGGGTACTCCTAGTGCCACTTGAGCTAGTGTCGTTGAAGGCGCATTGCTAAGTAAATTAATTGAGAGAGAAGAGGAATCCAGTCGCCTCGGGAAATGGAGGAGATGGAGGACGCTAAGTGACGGGCAGACGATTGGACTTGGACAGGAGTCACTTTCCCGTATGCGAGAGCGTTCCTCCAGCAGATAAAGATACAAATCTGCACGAAGCCTGTTTCCTGTTGTGCTGAGGGTGCATTTATTTGCATGATTCACACAAGCAGCGCTGCGGCTAACGATACTTGTACAGCTGCTGGATCTTCGTACAGGTGTACGCCATCACCATCTACTCGGTACTCGGTACTCCACACTCTAAACTCTAAACTCCATACTCCATAATGAAGATGGGACGTCGAGTCGCTGGGAAAACTTACGAAAACAAGCACGACATTTGGACCTTTTTGCCTTTCTGCCCACATCGAAAAGTGAATCGTCGCCGCCTCACCTTCCTCATCTTTATTTTATTCTGGCTGCTGAGGATTCGGATTGAGATTCGTGCTTTTTGGGCGACTCTAAGTGAGCATGTTCCTGGAAGCCCTCGAGTCGCCTTTTACAGTTGGATGCATTTTAAGTCCTATTGAAGTATAAATAATAATTCGCAGGTGTCTGCATTCCTCAACCAATTCGCACAATCTGTTATGCGTGGGTAAAAGAGCAGGCTTTCCGACTTTTGTTCAAGCATTCCCATTCATAGTTGCTGCTCCAAATGCAAGCAATAAAAATGATAATATTTTTATTGTATTCTCTTCATAGAAAGTTAATTTCCATATATGTTTAATGCATGTGCATTTTGTTTTGTAGTTCTTATGATTAAACTCCGCCCCCCGAAATAAGCACACAATTAAGAAATTTCATTAAAAATCTTAAGTTTAATAATAATAAGATGAGTTTCGTTCCATAAAATTAAAGGGGTCCAATGCAAACATTAAACTGTCATTGATATGTAATAAATTATAGTGCTTAACTTAGGAGTCGCATTCGATACACAGATGATATAGGGTATTAATTCGAGAAAGTAAATGTAATATGTTTTAGTTTATACAAATGTCAACCATTGTTCAACTTCCGAAGTCGCAAAAGAAGTTCAAGGCAGTCGAGTCGGGTGTCGAACTTCCTTTGCAAGTAGGGAGTCTGTTTGAAGAATACACAAAACGCCATGGCTGCAATGCAAACAATCTCTCTGAATTCCACCGAACAAGACACATAAATTTCATTTTCGTTTTTCTCTAAAATCGTGCACTGACTAGATAAGGCAAATAGCGGATGTTGTATCAGGACGACGGGTATTCGTAAAATAAATATTGATTGCACCTTTTGAAGCTTAGACGTTAATGTTTTGTTTTGCTTTGTTAATGTAAAAGAACTCGGTGATTCTGTGTGATGATTCTGTTTAGTAAGAATGTTGATACGGCTGAAGTTTCTGGCGACGTTGGTAGCAATATGTCCAAATCGCGATCACGGCCAACTGAGTTAGCAAGAAAATTGTGGCAGCAGTAATGAGACCTAATTGTGGAGTAGAGAAAAGTATACGAAAAGTACTTGTTAGCCATATGTATATTAGAGTCATTAATCAAGTCTTCGTCCAGCTGGCAAAGTGGTTCTCTTAAGATCTTTATTTTCTATGGCCATAAAAATGTGCTTACCAATAGCGTTAACGCAAAATCCATGACCCTCTTCGTTGGCCGTAAATGTGGTTTCATTTCCGTCATAATAATCCCCGCTTTCTTGCTTATCTTGCTTGAATCCGAATTTGTCCGTTATCTGAATGGATTGGACCAGCAGCATGTCGCTAGGTGCGGACTTCTTTGAAGTGTCGATATCGCGACGTGGTCTTGGATGATCATCTAAGCGGGTAATATTAAGATGGAAAGAGAAAATTAATCAAATATGATATTTAAGTATTGGTATTTGTATTTGATTTTCCCCCATTATAACTACATTTTGGCAAGCATTTAGAAATTACAGAGAAAAAAAATGGTAATGGACAATTTGATATTTTTTAAAGATCAAGGTTTTCATATCATTTTGATATGAATAAAGATTATGTTAATCTTTTTTTATATTATTTTTTCAAAAAATACTAAATTTTGTATTTTTTACGATATGATAAATAATTATATTGATATGTTTGAATCTTAAATTTGACATAAATCATATCGACTTTTTATTGATATGAAATAAGGTAGAAATAACCCTATTTCATATCGGTTTTTTTTTCTGTGTAGGATAGATAGAAAAATGTGATAAAATATGATATTTTATTAAATTATAAATATTTATTTTAATATCAATTAATGTAAATTATTAGTTTCTCCCATGATAACTAAATTTCTCTGTCCATTTCTCTTACAATTTTTTAAATAAAACACCTTTTTGAGTAACACACTAACCTGTTGTGTTGAGAGACCTGCGTTTCCGGCCGTAGGACAACAAGGATCTGAACTCCCCACTGGTATCCTCCTGTTCGCACTGGACTGGCTCGCAACTGGGCATGCATGGAGTGACCAACGCTCGGAACTGAACGACCTCACTCGAAGGGAACTTGAAGGCATCAAAGTTGGAGAGCAGCACCTTGCCGGATACCGAGCCCTTGTAAATTGGCCCCATTATAAAGTGGTCAGTCGGGCAGCCATTTGAATCAATTAAGGTAATTTCCGAGTTATCCACGCCATCCATGGCAACCAACTCCCGGATGAAGATCTCGTAGGGACTCTGTTCGTCGACAATTTCGAACTTCAAAGCGAGTGGATCGCCAACCTCGGCAGATCGCATCATATCCGAACCATCGCGGGAGGTAATACGCATGATAACATTGGGTGACTCCACAATCACCTCCTCCGAGAGGGCTGGCATAATGTCGCCACGCACATCCAGGTCCACGCCATTGCTAACCGACTTGTTGGTCAGATCGTACTGACAGGCCAGGGCCAAGCCCAAATCGGAGGATGTCACAATCATGTCGTGATGCTGGATTATAATATCGTTCACATAGCGACCGGCGCTGCTCTGTCGCACATTGCACTCCAGATCATGATAGTTCATTCGCAGCTCAAAGTCCAGGGCGCTCTTGACGTCCACCGAGCAAGATTTCGGAGATCCCTTGGCGTAGACCTTGCCATTAAACAGTTTGGAGGTGCGAATACGTGCCAACATGTCGCCACCGCCGCATTCGATGGTCACATTGTAGCAGGAAGTCAGTTCGTAGGTCGAGGCCTCTGGAACTTCCAGGAAGGGTTCCTGCACATCGGCCAAAGTGGCACGACTGTGATGGGATAATCTGCAGACCATATCGCCAGTGTCATTATAGTCATACGAGTGGCACCTGAAAAGGAGTTGGAAGTTGGGAAGAGAAAGGCGAAATGTGTTATGATGATGTGATATCACTTTGAGATTGTTCTTTGTGCAATTTACTTTCACACCAAGATATAATCTTTTCTTATGCAATCGAGAGATGTAAGATCGTATGTATCGTTGAAGATCTTCAAAACTGAAAGATTTTATGATATGATAACAATTTAAAATTATGCGTATTATTACTTCCGTTTCGAACCCTTCCGAATTTGACTATAATGATTTTTACCACCTCTTATCCTATGAGTGCTCTGCCAAGGCTAATTCTCTAAAAGTCATTGCGTTCCTTTCTTCACCGATTTAGTATTGTAAATTTTTTATTTTTTTTTAATTATTTATTAAATTTTTAATTATTTTTATGCTATGTATATAATTTCTAGTCTATTGAGCAGTACATTGCGTTAAATAAACAAGTAAACAAATAAATTATTTAAGATCATTCTTTATGATTTTTTTCTTTATATCTCATTATACTTATTATATTTCATAAGACTCGTTACTCACCTGTAAGGCGAATTAAGGCACAGCTCCCGGCACTCATCAATACTGCTGACTTCTTGGTAAACAGAGTCCACCGTCTTCAAAATGCGACCAGGCAGCCGTTTGAATTCGCACAGCTTATTGGGTTCATCGACACAGTGATTCTCAAGGTAATCAGACCCTTCGTTCGGCTGGAAGGCCTGAGAGCCGGCTAACGTTAAGCGATCCAATTCACTTAGTTCGCAGGCACCAGAGGCGCGATCATAGTTGGCAGATCTATATATTATGGGACATAAACGAGGGACCAGTTGAGTATACCAGATACCAGAGGAATAAATTAAGCAGTTCTTTTTATGCTCGAATTGATAGTGATAAAGGGGTGCCAATTATTTCGACTGTCAAATAGAACACTTTGAGCTTACCTGCATGTGAAGTCCGTTTCGCTTAGGCAAAGTTCAAAGCACTCGCGTCTGGAAGCCACCGACACGGTACGCTTAACTTCCGTCTTGAGCTTATAATTTTGCACACGATCGACATACCAGGCTCGCGAGCAGGGTTTTACGGAAAGGCATGATTTTTGGGCATAGATTGTGAATACGGGGAACTGCGACTTTGTTAGGGCACCTATTTTTTTTTTTTAATAATTATGATTAGAAGAAGTAGTTTGTTTAACGTTATAAGTAGCTTACCAGGTAATTGATCAGCATGTGCTGAAAAGAGCACGCAAAGCCCGGTCTCGTAGTTGACTGACTGGCAAGTTTTGTTCTTCCTACAGGTGTCTAGGCAATCGGTGAGCATTAGAGTGCCCGGCTGGGAATCCATCAGTTTCTCGGGCGCCGAGAAGACATAGCTAACAAAATCCCAATTAGATAATTACCCGGTCGGTGGACTGGCCATCATTACTTACCCTGTCACAATTTCAAAGCCCACCAGATCGGGATTGCAATCAATAGGGGCATTATCGTAGTAGATACTATCTTCCTCGGAACCCAAAGAGCTGGATAAATCCGAGGCGGCGGGCAAATCGAAGGCCGAGTTGCGGGTCTCCACCGTTTCGATGGGTTTCTCGGTTTTATTAAGCTCCGTGGGTTTTTCTTGCAATCGAGGTACTTCTGTTTGCGGCTCAATCTCTTCGGAAGCTATAACTTTACTGGCATTTGGTAGTGCTGCAGTCACCGATTCAGCGGCTTGTCTGCGGATTCGCAGATGCTCCTTGGCCGTTGCCACACTATATAGCATTAGGGCTAGGACAAGGTGTCTTATCAGGTTTATCTTGGCCATTTTTTAAGTATCACTGGGGCCTGAAAATTAAGGATTGTGTTTATAAGAAAAGGTCCTTTGAAATGGTTACCTATAAGGTTTTTAATATTAATATATTTGATCTAAAAAATGCTAATATTAACTGAATAAATAATTTTTGAAAAATAATGACTAAAAACTAACAACTAAGTGATAAAAACCCACACAATTTCCCTCAGAACAACCCACCTCTATTTATAGAGCGCGATAAATTGGCTACGCAGGTACTGTCTCAATCTTTTTCTAAATTAATTTGTTTGCCATAAGGCGTAACGCGAATTATAAAGTCCCACTTGGAAAAGGGAAGAAACAATATCACGGCCGGTAACTCCGTTAAGGAAACTGAGCTCACGTCGATGACCCCGTGCACTATTCACTTGGATTCTTTCTGGTTCGCTGGGCTAAACTCTTGCGCAACTGCCAAGATCCAAGTTAATGGGCATCGCTTATGATTGACGGTTGCGCCGGGAAAGACTATCAAGGGGTCATGAGCTCTAATTTTTCGCCAAGTTTCCAACTTGTTCTCTTTGGCGTAGGCAGTGCTTTTCTACCTTAGAACCCTTTTACCCAGAGAACCCAAAGGGAATGCACAATTTGGAAAATTATTAATACAAATACATCGGCGATGGCGGGACAACAATTCAATTATAGAAAAGAATATTATTACGTAGGGAATACATTTGATTTTTAAGTAAAGTAATTGCTATTGGCGAATAACTCGTAAGGAACCCACTTGAAGCATGACTTATTAACATGATAACTGTATTTGGAAATTACACATATATATATCCATAATCATTCGTACCGTTATTCTATCAGAATTCTCATGAATACCCATGTGTGCAGAAAAGAAATGGTAGTGTGAAATAGATACGGATAGGTGGTATTTTAGTATGTAGAAGAAACGCATGACTGCCGACGCACCAGACACACTAATCCACCAGTGGCGACGGGTCGCTTTTCGGTTTTCGGTTTTCAGCATTCAGCTTTCAGTTCCAAAAGCACCGATCTCTTCTATTATAAGGTGGTATGGTACAAACAAATACCGTTAATTCTTATACGGATGATTCATAAACCCTGCACCGGTCAAAACGAGCCGTAACTTAATTAGAGGTAAAATGCTTGAAAGACTTTTGAATTTGTTTTTCCTTTCCACATTTGATTCTGGCTTAAAAAGTTAGGTATGGGGTCTGGGTCTGGTGCACATGATCATACGGCAGTGCCATGTAAAGAATGGCCACTCAGGAAGCTGCATTATAACGAGTCCATGACCATGTTATTGTACAAAAATCTTGTAGAAAGCGGCAGAAGAATTGGGTCAATGATTATCGTCAAAAAGTTGTTTTGCCGAGCATAGACATATGTATGGGTTGCTGCGCCCGCAGCGATCAGGTCGAACCCAAACCCCAAACCCATACCTATACCAAATACCCATACCAAATACCGAATACCATGGCCAACCGGTATGGACATGAACACCCGAAGGAAATAGCACCGCCTAACTGTGTCGCTGATCACAATCGATTAGTGCGAACAGTCATTTATTGCCTAAATTACTGTTAAATGATGCTCGTTTCTGGAGGCCAAGAATTTCGGCTTTGGGTTTCACTAAACGTTTTCGTAACTGAAATATGTATGTATTGTACAGATATGGGATGTGGGGAATGCAACGCGATTAAGAGAGGCTTTGAAGAATTACTATCTCATCTGAATTTTTTTTTAAAAACATAGTATTGTAATTGGCTAGAAAAAGATATTTGGGACAACCGTTATTTATTTGTGATACTGTAAGAATAAATTATTGAGATATCATTTAAAATTTGATTATACTACTCATATTAGGACTAGAGTTTCAAACCAAGAAATTAAGCCCACAGCTTCCTTGTTTTAAACTTAATTTCTGAAGAAGTTATATTTTGGCCTTAAAATATAACTTGTTCTTTTATATACAAAAAACTTTACAAAATCTAAACAGAACCCGAATAAATCAGAACAAATCTCCTTTTATTATGAAAATACTTCTCTATTGCAGCGTTCAACAACTGGAACAATCAATCAAAAGCCTCGAATATATGCACAAAACCGATCAGTCAATCAATCAAACAAACACATCACAATGCCGCTTTTGGGACCACTGTTTCGGCCAATCAGCACTTGTTAACTGTTTAGCACTTTCGAACTTTTTCTTTTATTTTACAGACTTTAAGAGCTCTTTTTTATTTTATTGCCAAAAGCGACTACACCTATTCTGACCGCCTTCAATACCCATTCACATTCAGCCTATTTCCAAATGCATGATGTAATTAAAAGATCTCCCAGACGAGGCAGCCAAAAAGAGTCAATAGAAATCCGATCTTCAAGAGGAACCGCCAGAAAAAAACATAAAAACAGAAAAACTTTCACCATTCTGAATGTGTTAATGACTTCATTTCTTCAGTGACTAAAATGCTGCCGAAAATTTAACGGTAGATATCACACTGTTAAATTAATTTCCCATTTGTGCGAAATTTTCGAATACGTTATAATCACGGGACTAACGAACTACGGTGCTAATTGTGCAGCATTTAAGCCCCTATGGTTTTTGTAATTTCCTTCCATTAGGCTGTGCATATTTTAAGAAATATTCGCTCCATTATGGTCTAGAAAAAGACCAGACCAAGTCACGTCATATCATCCCATCCGTCAAGTCAGTTCGCAAGCCATTTCAAAACGGACGTCCTAATGTTCGCTAATGTTTTGACGGAAGCTGCAGACTGCACAAACTGGGGATCTTGAAGAACATCTTATAACATGGAACTGAAGACTGGTGGACTTTTGCATTTTTTTTACGTTTTTGCACCACAACAGCAGCCACTGTTCAGTTCTTTCAGTTCACTTATTCGGAATGATTGTCTCCGTTTTTTCAATGCTGGCATAGTCATCCGTCAGCCTGATCACTGCCGTTTAAATAAACCGGTTAACATTTTTTTTTTCCAGATTTTTCTTAGTTATTCTTTAGCCCGGTGCAAGAGGTTGCTGCATATTCTGCCATAGCGGTTCGATTGGAGGTAATACGAAAAAACCTGAGCTCTGTTCCCATAAAAGGCCTTTGGGATAAGACACTACTCAACCCCAAGAAACCCGTGACATTTTTCGAATATTACTTCTGCAAACAATTACCTAATTAACAAGTTATTTTTACACAGTCTATTCCCGAAGTCGGAATTTCAGCTTAGTCACACTGGAACAAAACACTTTCGCAGCCCAAGACCTTTTTCGCACTGGGGGAACAAAGAAACTCCGAACTTGACCATTCGATGGTCGCCGCAGAACTGAAGTCTTCAATGCCGCCGGAGTGACTTGTTATAAAAATTAGATGAAGAAGTTCTGGCTGGTTTGGTTTGTTGTCTTTCTTGGAGAAAATCAACCTGTAAGAGAGCGGGACGCAGTTCGACTTCGGAATTCTTACAAAAGAAAGTCTCGGGGCTATGGGATCGTATGGTATGGAAGTGGATGATGCTCGGAAAGCCGAGAGAACCAACAAACAAAAAGAAATTGTTAGCATGGTAAATACACTTCGGATCACCTGTATACGATACGATCTCTACACTCCGAACTCAAACTCAAACGTGTTCGGGCTGCAGCGAGTATAGTAATTGCGGTCAACGATCGAGAACAATGTGCACCTGTTTTTCGCTCTTTCCGACTCTCTTCGCCTGTTATTAACATGTATAATCAACCGGGTTTTCCCTGTCTAATAATTTTCTTATGGGCCTGTTAACACCTTGGGCTACGGCTACGAAACCTACCTGCGTAAAAGCTGGGCGTAATAATGGGTTTTGGCTTATAACTGTCGCTTGCGTTTTTATTATTTTTCACTTTCACTAATAAGGTACATTTCACATTTTCTCTCTCGCATTCTAGACCCGCCTAATCGGCTTAAATTAAATCTACCATAACATTTTGTGTGGGCTTTAAGTTCGGTGTTTACTTTTACTCAATTTCGGGCAGCTCCCTTCCTACGGCTAGAGATCAATGGCTATCTGCCGATCTCGAATAGCCCACTTTTATTGGCAAAAGACAGTCGGATATGTAAAACCAGAATGGCCCATCAAACGGTGTTTGATTTCCAAATTTATGGGTCAAGCCAAACCAAATGCAAATCAGTTTTTCGAGTCCGTTCTTCAAGAAAACGGGTCGTGCTTTGATAACAAATTGGGTAAACAATAAATGCGATGAGACCAAATTTGGCCATTAGTTCTGTATACAGATGATTTGGCCGCAAATGTGTCAAAATAGAGGAGAAGTAGACCGAAGAAAGCCCTAAATGACGCATAGCAAATTCCAGACTTTGGGGACCGTTTAGCCTTTCTTATAGATCCAATCTCCGGTTATTCATTGAATATATGGAATTATGAAAGTACAATCCATTCTTTTCTAGCATTTGAACTCCTATTATATGAACTTTAATTAGTCCCGTTCTTAATAACTTACAGCACGAACGTTTAGTTATATTCTATTCTGTCGGCGAACTTGAAATCTTCTCTGGCCTGTTCAGACAGTTATGAGATAAGCGAAACATCTTCCTAATTGCAAAATAATGGCCACTTATTGAAACGCTTTTTCTCATTATTTTTCACGTTCTTCTGTACTTAAAGTCTGTTCCTAGAGCCGCACATTCCTACTTTAATACGATTCTTTCGCTGGCTAAGTGAAAAGATGATGTACAAGTTGATATTACTTTTCTTTTACATCCACCGGTGTCTTTGTCTGGAGAACCGACCGGACCCACGCATAGTGGGCGGTTTTCCAGCTGATATTGCCAATATTCCGTACATAGTATCCATACAACTATATGGCATACACCATTGTGGTGGCTCCATAATAAATAACCATACCATTTTAACGGCTGCCCATTGCTTAAACGGAGTTTCGCATCGTCTGTTGAGAGTTAAAGTCGGTGGAACCTCACGATATCGGAAGGATGGGGATATATTCCAAGTGGCCGGTCTGCAGATACATGATAAGTTCAATGCCAAGACTATGGACTATGATATCGGAATAATCCGGCTGGCCAAGAACCTGACATTGTCTAGAAAGGTCGGTACTTTAAATTCTTTTAAACTTACTGGTTTTATTTTGTATTTGATTATTTTTACTTTCAGGTTAAGGCAATCCCCATAAACCCCAAAAGAATAGCGGATGGAACATATGCCACCATAGCCGGTTGGGGATTTAAGTCCATGAATGGCGCTCCATCGGACCATCTGAGATATGCTCGAGTTCCAATCGTAAATCAAACGGCATGCCGGAATTTACTGGGAAAAATTGTGACAGATCGGATGTTATGTGCGGGATATCTTCAGGGAGGTACGGATGCCTGTCAAATGGACTCGGGAGGTCCTTTGTCAGTGGCGGAACAACTGGTGGGCGTCATTTCCTGGGGAGTTGGGTGCGCTTTGGCCGACAAGCCGGGGGTCTATTCACGCCTTGACGCTCTGTATCCCTGGTTAAACAAGGTTTTAAATAAACTTAAATAAATCTTTATCAAGCAAAAAGACTTGCTGACGAATCCAGTGACTATAATCCATAGTTGACTTAATCCTGCGGCTTGGATTCACTCTCCTGACCAGCTGAAATTTTCTACGCCAACTGATGAGCGATGAAAATCCTACACCATTCTGTCAATGGAATATTTTGAAAACGTTTCGCATGTCAAATTTACATATAAGCACCAGCAATGACGGTAGACGGTAAGAGGTAAATAGGCTATTATCACTTATCATCTTGTTCGCTGAACTCGGCCATTGACATTTAATAATAAATGAAAGTCGTGCGACCGCAACTTAAACCTACCCCATTTCTGATAACAAATTCGTAAACAAAAAATTGTAATTCATTAAACTAAATAAAAAAACGTTTACAAAATAAATATATTTTGAAACATTTCCAGGTTGGATACCATTGAGAAGTGGGTGTAAAACCGATAAGAATGATATGACGGGCTTTGATATCTCAAGTGATGCGATTAAATAAGCCAAAGCTTATTGTCCTTTGTCCAATTATTTATAATTGTTTTAATAATTTAAATTTTTGTTCCTATAAATACTGATGCTGTCCGGTGCATTCAACAGAAAGAAAGTGAAAGTCCTCCCAATTACTAGAAATTTTTTAACGCAATTCGAAGCTCACAGAATGCACATCAAGATTTGCATTGTCCTTTTGGCCATTGGCCTGAACCAAACTTTGGCCTTGAGCATAGTATCGTGCTTGATAAATAATGCTGAAAATTTTATCTCATCCTCTGTTGAAGACCTTAGGGCATTTTTCGGTAAGGTTTTGGGGAGCTCAACACCCGCAGAAATCCAATCCAAAGTTGAAGAAATCGTGAAAGACATCATTTCCATTGACGCCTTCCAGAAGTGCAGTTTAGATTCTTTGTTAGTGAAAAATATCACAGCCTACGTGACTTGCATTTTTGATGCCGCAGTAAGTAAAATCTAAAATATAAATAGATATCGAAATTGTCATAATTATTTTTATTTATTTATTCCCTTATTAAAATAATCAAAGTATTATTAAAATTATCAGTTAAACAAAATTTCTTTTGTTTTTTCGTTAAGGCTTTCGAAACCCAGACAATAATCTCCATCGTCAAGGACTCGAATCTGATGGCTCTTGTGGTCAGGGAACTTAACAGCATCGAGATTGATGATATTAAATTTTTATTGGCCTTAGTCCAAAATGCTAACCAATATATAGCAGATATCCCATCTTGTATTTTAGGAACCAAAAATGAATAACTTAATAAACTAATTAAATCTGGCCCATAAATTAATCTTCTTTGTCAACTTATTCAGTTTGCTGGAGTAATTATAAAGAGCAGATACACAAATGTTTGGTTCAAATTCAATTCAGTTAGGTAACAAATTTAAAATAAATGTTATGGGTTGCCTTGCAATTATGCATTGTACATTAAGGCTTAAGGTTGAGTGAAAAATGAAACTTAATCTTTAAAGGATTCTAAACAACAAGCAAGGAACAAACTTATGGTCTAAAAATACAACTTTTCTGAGAAAACATATTATTAAGCCGAGCACAAATATATTTAATTTTTAATTTACATTTATTTTACCTGTTAAAAGGTTAGTACTCCGCCATGCAGCTCGTCAGTTGGGACATCTGACCTGCACCATTAATGGTGGGGATTGATGATTGATGGTCAATGAATAGGCCATTCATTTATCATCTTCTTCTCCTGAACTCGGCCGTTGACACTGAATAATAAAATAAAGTCGTGCGACCGCATCCTAATCATACCACAAATCTGATAACAAATTGTTGAAACATTTCCAGGTGGGATACCATCAAGAGACGGTTATAAAACCGATAAGAATGATATGACGGGCTTTGAGATATCTTAAGTGATGCGATAAAATAAATGCGATAATTTGTGTACTACTGAAGCCCGTCGCCTATAAATACTGATGCTGTCCGGTGGACTCACCAGTTAGAAAGTGAAAGTCCTCGCAATACCTACAAGTTTTTTTTACGCAATTTGAAGCTGACAGAATGCACATTAAGATTTGCATTGTCCTTTTGGCCATTGGCCTGAGCCAAACTTTTGCCGATGAGACAGCTGGATGCGGGATAACTACTATTGAAAATTTTTTTTCAGCTAATCTAAAGGAACTTGAAGCGTTGATCAATGAGGTTATTCCTAGCTCAAAACGCAAAGAAGTAATAGCTGAAGTTAAAGAAATCGTGACTGACATCGTTTCCAATGAGGTCTTCCAGAAGTGCCTTTCGGGACCAAATACCTTAAGCGACTTGAAATGCTTCACTAATGCCGTATGTACCATATACAAAAAAAATTAAGAAGTATACATTTAATTATCAGTTAAACAAAAATTACTTATTTAGTAAAATTTGTCTTAATTTTTCTTCAGTTTTTGGTCGAGTTCGTCAAAGCACCCCAGACCGTAATGTCCATCGTCAAGGACTCCAACCTGCTGGCCTTTGTGGAAGATGTTATTAGGAGCACCCCATATAATATTCCTAAATTAACAGCGGCCCTTGAACAGAAAATTACTCAGAATATTACCAAACTCATAGAAGATATCAAATCCTGCGCGGCCGCCTAAAATAGCTTCGAGCTCTTTATTCAAATAAATATACCCAAAGCAAAAAAAAATTATTCTTTCTTTGTTAACTTATTGATTTCGCTGGAATAATTATAATTTTAATTAGAACAAATAATGAATTGTTAGCTTGAAGCTAATAGCTTCAAACCCAAAGCGGGTCGATTTGTATGGGGCCCAAAAAAAAAATGGATTCTAAGAAATTTTAGCGAAAAATCCAATAGTCTAAAATGAACGCGAATGAAAACGACTACGAAGTCACTCCCAGATCTACGTTATGTTGTTATACTTGGTCTAAATCGTAATCTACAATTATATACTATCAGTTAGAAGTTAGTCACGCGGAGAAGGAGACATTTCCGACCCCATAAAACATATATATTCTTAATCAGCATCAACGGAATCCCACTTTTGCCAAAGTCTTATTCTTATTGCAGCTTGTAAAATCACAAAAAGATATGAGCCAAGTAAATGTTTTTCACCTTTAAAGTGCATTAATGCCTGGGAGATTGTATAGCAAAAAAACGTAATAAAAATATAGAGGCTCATAAAACTACCAACACTTTATTAAAGCTTAAAAATAAAATTTAAAAACAACAGTGAGACCAAGTTGGAAAATTAGGAAAACACCGAATTCCCGATAAGATTGAACGAATACCTCCTACTGATATCGAAAAACGATAATAATAACAATACAAAATAGAGCTGGAAAATCATCGATGTTTACCAACATCGATGTTTCGATGTTTTTCGGGAATAAACATCGATGTATCGATACATCGAATCTTTTGGTCTAATTTAAAAAAATGTGTTTAATCCATTATAAAAAGTTACGCTATATTTGAAATCAATTCTTTTTATTTTATAAATATTTAAACTTAAACTAAATTCAAGCAAAAGTAAAAAACAATCGAGTTTTACACAAAAAAAAAAACACAAAAGAACCAATTTTGTCGAAATCTACAATATTTGTATCGTATATTTTACTATTATTCTCTTAAGTGATCAAAAATGTGTTCCTTGCGAAGTAGTGATGGATGAAGAGGAAACATCGAACATCGATGTTTGGAAACCTCGATGTTTCGATGTTTTGGAAAACATCGATGTATCGATACATCGCCGATGTTATTTCCAGCTCTAATACAAAATAATATTTTTTTAAATGGACCTCCATTTGGACAGTGAGACCTATTGGAACCGATCCTCGCGAGCGGCGTTTAGCTTCGACGACGAGGACGAGGTGGACCTCGGCCCGGAATTGGCCAGCAATGGAATCCTGGCCGACGACACCATTTCGGAGGCCAGTTTCAACAACAGCTGCACCTTGAACCTCTCGATCAAATCCATTCTGAGCGAGGAGGCACTGAAACTGGTGCTCCAGGAGCAGACACTGGACGACCGGGTGCTGCCCAAGGGCGTCTCGCCGGAGGAGGAGTTAAAGCTGCTGCGTCGCCAGCTGCAGAGCACGCTCTACAGTCCCAATCTTGAGGCCACGGCGCAGAAGTTGCTGCAGGGAAAGACGGCTCCGCTGGAGATGTTTAAATCCCTGCAAGAGAAGCAGCAGCTGCTGGATACCCTGATAGCCCAAGGCGGTGGCCATGCCGTCATCACGGTGCTGCTGTTCCTCAAGAGGACGCTGAACACAGCCCAGTTCCATGGGATTCTCGGGGAGCGTCCCAAGGCATTGGAGCAGTATCTGAGTTATCTGAAGGAAAGCGGCGATTCCACCAGTCACATTGAGCTACTGCAGCGATTTGGACGCCACCAGGAGGCGGCTCTCAAGCAGTTCCAGGCCGCCCTGGCCTCAGGCGATGTGAGCAGCAGGAAAAAGCATCTCCAGCTCCTGGTAGATGCCTATGCCACGGCGGGCGTGGGTGTTATACCGCTTTACGAGCAGGTTTTCCATGCCGCCCTCAAGATGCAGCAGCTGATGGAGAAGGAGAACGGGCTGAGCAAGATGCTCCGTGATCAAGCGACGCCCATTGAGGTGCTCTATGCCTGCTGTCAGGCTAATAACAATTGGAAGGAGCAGGATATGCTGAAAGCCGTCTCCCCCCAGCGATTTGCCACCGACCAGCAGATATCCCCGGCCCAATACGAGTGGACGGCGCTGAATGAGAGGGCGCAGGCACAGGCCTATGCGGATCTGGAGTGCATATTCGAGCGAGTGCCCAGTTGGCATCCGCTGAAGACTAAGCAGTTTCACATCAGCTTCGATCTGACCCTGGCCGTCCTGCGACTTCACGAACTGCAGGCCCCATCGACCGTTCTCCAGCTATTCCTCTCCAAGATGGGCAACAGCGGCGAGAAACTGGCGCTGGCCCGGCGGGTGAAGTGCATCAGGGCGGTCATCGATGCCATGGCCGGGCTGAAGCAGCAGCAGGAACTGCAGCAGCTCAAGGACTCGCTGCCCGAGCGATCCGAGGAGCAGTTCTACTGCGAGAACGCCTTGAAGAGCCTGCAGAGCAAGCGATGGACCACGGACAACATCAAGCTCAAACTGTAGAATCTCTCTCTGTTTTACTTGTATAAACGTATTTTATTGTTAATCATATATATGTGTATATAATTATATTAATTCTACTCTGGTTTTATTAAATAATTGCAAATCACAAGCTGAATATCGAATAAAAAACAAAGAATTTGTATGTTATATGTGTATATCCTGCAGCCTCCTTTTTAATTTACTTTCTTTCGGTTTCAGATTTATTTTTCTTTATAGTTTATTGAGTAAACAAATAAAAGCAGGCGTAGCCAATGGCAAACAAAGCGTTACAAAAATTGGATTCTTTAAACAATTTGTTTGTCTTAAATATTTCGTTTGAATAACAGCGCTGTAAAAAGCATTTGATGTGTATAAATAACCGCAAACAACAATTATGGTATATATATAATTACGCGTAAACATGTAGGGGAAGAAGTGGGTTTGGGGTTCGGTTTTCTGTGTGTGTTTAAAGGGCAGTCCCCGGTTCTTGGACCGAATATTTATAACGAAACAAGTATGAAACAAGTCAGACGACTAAGAGGTGAACCGGAAACGGAAACCACTGCTAATTGCCAGCCTCGCAGTCCGAGTAGCTCAGCAGGCGCTGGCACAGGATCGTCTTGAACTTGACAGTAAAGCTATCGAATATGACATCGGTGTCCTGCAGCTGCTGCTGCTGCTGTTGCTCCTGTCCCGCCGACCTTTCCGCCTGATTGCTGTCCGCCGCGGCAATGAGCTGCTTGAACTTCTGGTTGAGATTCTGCTCCAGCGTCGAGTTGTTGTTGTTGAAGTAGAAGACATAGGCCAGCTCCAGCAGATAGTAGTCCAGGTCGCCCATGAAGAACCGCTCGCACTCGAGCATATCGAACTTGCGCTCCAGGAAGTGCAGGCACAGCTGATAGATGAGGTGCTTCAAATCCGATCTCCTCAGCGGCACATAGCCCGTGTCCTTGCTGAAGTACTCAAACAACTTCAGAGTGCGCTGGGCGGAATCGCAGCTATGCAGGCACAGCCGAAAGGCCTCGACGAATCGGAAGTTGAGCATGCAGATGCGTATGCGGTACTCCTGCCGATTTGGACGGGCGCACTCGCCAATCTTGTCGGGATTGTAGAGCCCGTGAAAGGCGTACAGACAGTAGTGGATGTAGTGGCGCAGCTGCTGCAGCGACGAATCCTCCAATCCCTCCGAGCTCTGCGTATAGGTGCTATCATCGTCGTCGTCGTCAAGCAACTTCTCGGCAATCGCTGGCATACCAGCCTGTTCCGGCAACGGAACATAGCTCTGCTCCTCGGGCGTGTAGTCCATGTCCAGTGAGCTATGCACTGGCGCATTGTAGGAGAAACTACCATCGTTCTGGCTCAGGTTCTCCAGGCTACTCAGCATATCATCCGAATCCTGACCCGTGGCCGCGTGCTCCGTGCTGCTCTTGTAGTTCGGCGTGCCCACCGAATACCGCTGATCGAAGCTAATGTTCGCCGGCTGCAGAAAGTGCGGCTGATATGGTGGCATGACCTTTAGATATCTCACTGGATCCCGATCCAATCGGATGCGTGGCCGCGGCAGATTGATCTCCACCGGCGCCTCCACACACTGGCTCTCGAAACGCATCAATCGCTTGGTGGTCGGCAGACACACCACCCGCTGGCGCGTCCTCTCCAGACTGGCGCCCAAATCCCGGCCGCACTGACCGTTCGAGTTGCCGCCGAAGGCGCGAACTATATGATCGGTGGTCATGACCAGCGTGAAATCCGCACCGCAGTCCACGTACATCGGACGCTCGATGCTGTCGATGGGCGAGGGCTTGAGCACTGCCCTTCGATCCTTGTCCTCGGTGCCCAGCTGGTGTTCCAGGTTCTTGCCCCACGTGTAGAGCGTGCAGCTGGACGAGATCAGGCAAAAGTGGAACAAGCCACTGGAGATCTGCAAAAAAGGATCACAAAATTAATAAGGTAATGGGTAAATGGAGAATAGCATTACTTACCTGCAGAATTTGGCCTGCCACCTCGCTGGTGTCCACCAGATGAGGCGTCAGGTGCTCCGTGGGATCCGGTTCGGGTGCAGGAGCTGCTGTAGGAGCTGCTGTAGGAGCCGTCTTAAGTAATTCCGGCTCTCGCGGCGCAATTGTTTCCGTAGCATCTGATGGCTTAGCCTCCTCCTCTTTGGTTTCGCCTGTGGCCTTTGGAGTGGCACCGGCCACCACCGCCGCATAGGATGTGGTCGGTTCCACCAAGGTGCTCGTACTCGGTATGGGAGCCGGCATCAAGGTAGCCTCCAGTTGCTTGCTCAGCAGCTCTCGCTGCTGATTCTCCTCCAATTTCTGCTTGGCATTGGCGCGACGCTTGATTTGATTGGCCAGACGCAAAGCCTGCGGTGAGCTGCCCCAGGTGAACAGATGATCATCCTCGTCTACAGCTAACTGTGGGGGGATAATAAATGTTACTGGGTTATAATCAGCGTTCGGAATTTGTCACAAATGTTAAAAACATGAAAAATTCTATTTTACAGTGTGAGCAATGTTCTTGACAAGTGTGTCAAATACGATAGTGTTAAATGTGAAAAATAATTGTTAACACACACAGTCGACTTGTGTTTTAAACACAACGTGTTATTAACACGCCGTATAAAAATCTCTAAAGATTATACATTTTTTATAAAATAGACACATTATAATAGTACCGGTAGACAGAATCAATTTATTTACATATGTTGTGAGCTGTCACTTAAATGTCAAAAACTCATTGTTAATAACACGTCGTGTAAATAACACAAATGACATGTGTGTGTTATTTATGTTTCTAACATATGTAGGCTACAATTTTAAACACACATGTCAATAACTTTTTTTGAACTTTACACTTTGACATTTAACATGTTAATAACACAAGTTATTTACAGTGTGTGTTATTTTCAGAACCCTGGTTTTAATTTCAATATTCCCCCAACTTACATTGGTAAAAAATTTGGTGTGTATCAGTCTTAGGCTGCCGCCGCCCACATCCAGGCGCACAGGCAGGTTCGTCTTGGTGTCTCCGTGATCCGTATTGCCGGTGCCCAGCTGGCCAAAGTGATTGGAGCCGAACACGTAGAGCTCGTTCTTGGCTGCTCCACCGCACAGCACCAAGGTGTGGGCATGGCCCAGCGATATTTGTACAATTTTCTAAAAGATTTAGAACCATTTAGTTATAATTCTTTGGTAAATAACAAAGTGACCTTACCTTATACTTGAAAAAACTGACTAGTTGTGGTGTAGCTATATTCTCGCAGCTGCCCTGCCCCAGCTGGCCATAGACGCCCCATCTGAAATGGTTTTAACAATAGGTTAGCTCACTAATTAGCAGGGACCGTAATAATTATAAGTGAAAAAATAAAAATCTCCATTTAATGATTATTTTGTAAGCGAAAAAAAATATCGCTCAGATTTAATGGTTATTTTGTGAGCGATATATTTTACTCAAAAATATCACTCAAAGTGTGATTACATCCGACCTACGCTTAATTTTACTAAGATTTATATGTGCTCTTGCAGGTAGAACCACGGATCACATGTTCATTATTTTCGGTCCATGTTCCATGTTCCATGTTCCATGTTCCATGTTCCATGTTCCATGTTCCATGTTCCATGTTCCATGTTCCATGTTCCATGTGCCATGTGCCATGTGCCATGTTCCATGTGCCATGTTCCATGTTCCATGTGCCATGTGCCATGTGCCATGTTCCATGTGCCATGTTCCATGTGCCATGTGCCATGTTCCATGTTCCATGTTTCATGTTCCATGTTCCATGTTCCATGTTCCATGTTCCATGTTCCATGTTCCATGTTCCATGTTCCATGTTCCATGTTCCATGTTCCATGTTCCATGTGCCATGTGCCATGTTCCACGTTCCATGTTCCATGTTCCATGTTCCATGTTCCATGTGCCATGTTCCATGTGCCATGTGCCATGTGCCATGTTCCATGTTCCATGTTCCATGTGCCATGTTCCATGTTCCATGTTCCATGTTCCATGTTCCATGTGCCATGTGCCATGTGCCATGTTCCATGTTCCATGTTCCATGTTCCATGTTCCATGTTCCATGTGCCATGTGCCATGTTCCATGTGCCATGTTCCATGTTCCATGTTCCATGTTCCATGTTCCATGTTCCATGTGCCATGTGCCATGTTCCATGTGCCATGTTCCATGTGCCATGTTCCATGTGCCATGTGCCATGTTCCATGTGCCATGTTCCATGTTCCATGTTCCATGTTCCATGTTCCATGTGCCATGTGCCATGTTCCATGTTCCATGTTCCATGTGCCATGTTCCATGTTCCATGTGCCATGTTCCATGTGCCATGTTCCATGTGCCATGTTCCATGTGCCATGTTCCATGTGCCATGTTCCATGTGCCATGTGCCATGTTCCATGTTCCATGTTCCATGTTCCATGTGCCATGTTCCATGTTCCATGTGCCATGTTCCATGTGCCATGTGCCATGTTCCATGTTCCATGTTCCATGTTCCATGTTCCATGTTCCATGTTCCATGTGCCATGTGCCATGTGCCATGTTCCATGTGCCATGTTCCATGTGCCATGTTCCATGTTCCATGTTCCATGTGCCATGTGCCATGTTCCATGTTCCATGTGCCATGTGCCATGTTCCATGTGCCATGTTCCATGTTCCATGTGCCATGTTCCATGTGCCATGTTCCATGTGCCATGTTCCATGTTCCATGTTCCATGTTCCATGTTCCATGTGCCATGTGCCATGTTCCATGTTCCATGTTCCATGTGCCATGTTCCATGTGCCATGTGCCATGTTCCATGTGCCATGTGCCATGTTCCATGTTCCATGTTCCATGTTCCATGTTCCATGTTCCATGTTCCATGTTCCATGTGCCATGTTCCATGTTCCATGTTCCATGTTCCATGTTCCATGTTCCATGTTCCATGTGCCATGTGCCATGTTCCATGTTCCATGTTCCATGTGCCATGTTCCATGTTCCATGTTCCATGTTCCATGTGCCATGTTCCATGTTCCATGTTCCATGTTCCATGTTCCATGTTCCATGTGCCATGTGCCATGTTCCATGTTCCATGTGCCATGTGCCATGTTCCATGTTCCATGTTCCATGTGCCATGTTCCATGTTCCATGTGCCATGTGCCATGTGCCATGTTCCATGTTCCATGTTCCATGTTCCATGTGCCATGTTCCATGTGCCATGTGCCATGTGCCATGTTCCATGTGCCATGTTCCATGTGCCATGTTCCATGTGCCATGTTCCATGTGCCATGTGCCATGTTCCATGTGCCATGTTCCATGTTCCATGTTCCATGTTCCATGTGCCATGTGCCATGTTCCATGTTCCATGTTCCATGTTCCATGTGCCATGTTCCATGTGCCATGTGCCATGTTCCATGTGCCATGTGCCATGTTCCATGTTCCATGTTCCATGTTCCATGTGCCATGTTCCATGTTCCATGTTCCATGTTCCATGTGCCATGTGCCATGTGCCATGTTCCATGTTCCATGTGCCATGTGCCATGTTCCATGTTCCATGTTCCATGTTCCATGTGCCATGTGCCATGTGCCATGTGCCATGTTCCATGTTCCATGTGCCATGTGCCATGTGCCATGTGCCATGTTCCATGTTCCATGTTCCATGTTCCATGTTCCATGTGCCATGTGCCATGTTCCATGTGCCATGTTCCATGTGCCATGTTCCATGTGCCATGTTCCATGTGCCATGTGCCATGTTCCATGTGCCATGTTCCATGTTCCATGTGCCATGTGCCATGTTCCATGTGCCATGTGCCATGTGCCATGTTCCATGTTCCATGTTCCATGTTCCATGTGCCATGTGCCATGTTCCATGTGCCATGTTCCATGTGCCATGTTCCATGTGCCATGTGCCATGTTCCATGTGCCATGTTCCATGTTCCATGTGCCATGTGCCATGTTCCATGTGCCATGTGACATGTTCCATGTGCCATGTGCCATGTTCCATGTGCCATGTTCCATGTTCCATGTTCCATGTTCCATGTTCCATGTTCCATGTGCCATGTGCCATGTGCCATGTTCCATGTTCCATGTTCCATGTGCCATGTGCCATGTTCCATGTTCCATGTTCCATGTGCCATGTGCCATGTGCCATGTTCCATGTTCCATGTTCCATGTGCCATGTTCCATGTGCCATGTTCCATGTTCCATGTTCCATGTTCCATGTTCCATGTTCCATGTGCCATGTGCCATGTGCCATGTTCCATGTTCCATGTTCCATGTGCCATGTGCCATGTGCCATGTGCCATGTTCCATGTTCCATGTTCCATGTTCCATGTGCCATGTGCCATGTGCCATGTGCCATGTTCCATGTTCCATGTTCCATGTGCCATGTTCCATGTTCCATGTGCCATGTGCCATGTGCCATGTTCCATGTTCCATGTTCCATGTGCCATGTTCCATGTGCCATGTTCCATGTTCCATGTTCCATGTTCCATGTTCCATGTTCCATGTTCCATGTTCCATGTGCCATGTGCCATGTGCCATGTTCCATGTTCCATGTTCCATGTGCCATGTGCCATGTTCCATGTTCCATGTTCCATGTGCCATGTTCCATGTGCCATGTTCCATGTGCCATGTTCCATGTTCCATGTGCCATGTTCCATGTGCCATGTTCCATGTTCCATGTTCCATGTTCCATGTTCCATGTTCCATGTTCCATGTGCCATGTGCCATGTGCCATGTGCCATGTTCCATGTTCCATGTTCCATGTGCCATGTGCCATGTGCCATGTTCCATGTTCCATGTTCCATGTTCCATGTTCCATGTGCCATGTGCCATGTGCCATGTTCCATGTTCCATGTGCCATGTTCCATGTTCCATGTTCCATGTTCCATGTTCCATGTTCCATGTGCCATGTTCCATGTTCCATGTGCCATGTGCCATGTGCCATGTTCCATGTGCCATGTGCCATGTTCCATGTTCCATGTTCCATGTGCCATGTGCCATGTTCCATGTGCCATGTGCCATGTGCCATGTTCCATGTTCCATGTTCCATGTTCCATGTGCCATGTGCCATGTGCCATGTTCCATGTTCCATGTTCCATGTTCCATGTTCCATGTTCCATGTTCCATGTGCCATGTGCCATATTCCATGTGCCATGTTCCATGTTCCATGTTCCATGTTCCATGAGCCATGTGCCATGTGCCATGTTCCATGTGCCATGTGCCATGTTCCATGTTCCATGTTCCATGTTCCATGTTCCATGTGCCATGTGCCATGTGCCATGTTCCATGTTCCATGTGCCATGTTCCATGTTCCATGTTCCATGTGCCATGTTCCATGTGCCATGTTCCATGTTCCATGTGCCATGTTCCATGTTCCATGTGCCATGTTCCATGTTCCATGTGCCATGTTCCATGTTCCATGTGCCATGTTCCATGTGCCATGTTCCACGTGCCATGTTCCATGTGCCATGTTCCATGTGCCATGTCCGCGTAGGTCGGATGTAATCACACTTTGAGTGATATTTTTGAGCGAAATATGTCGCTCACAATTTTGTGATCAATTCTTCTGAGCGATATTTTTTTCCGCTTTTAAAATAATCATTAAATGGAGATTTTTATTTTTTACTCAAAAAAAAATAATCATTATTTTCGGACCTGCTAATTAGGGATCTATTATATTCCCTAAACTTACCCCCACATATAGAGCTTGCCATCAGCGACAGCCGCATTATGATATTGACCCGCCTCGAGCATGGTTATGTTCATGCCATCCAAAGCAGTCACCAACATCGGTTGCAAAGCCATCTGCATGTGACGACCAATACCCAGCTGGCAGAGGTTGTTATTTCCCACGGAATAGAGCTGGAAATATTACGGAATATGAATATAATAACTAAATAAAATTAGGGTGAAGAAACCTACGCCATTATTAGTTAAAATAAGCGTGTGCTGTCGTCCACATTTGATGGCGTGCACTTGCAAATTGAGCTGGGAGAGCAGGTCTAGACTTTTCACAGCATGCGCGGGCTCAGGTGGCTCTGAAATGAATAACTAAGTTATTATATGTGTCACATAGTATTAGAATAAAACCCACCTGTTGACTTTTGAGCACTATAATAACTGGGAATGCCACTGGAGCCCCAGAAGTAGGCGGTTCCATCCACAACACAGGCGCAGTAGGCACAACCAGCTGAGATCGGTTTGAAGCGTGACGATTCAATGGCAAACTAAGGAAAAAGAAGCGCCATTAAATCTATACCTACTAAAAAAGTTAATTTAAAGACTTGCCTGATTGTCTTCATAGTTGATACGAAAATTCGATAAAGCATTTACAATAGAATCACGCTTCACTCGCTGCGATTCCATATGAATGAGCACTGCCAAGTATGTTTCAATTAGACTCTTGCAAAACTCAAACAATTGGGGATTATTATCGTTCGACATTGCGCAATCACTGTTGTGGGAAACAATGGGTCGTAGAGCGGGAGAAAAGGGATTCAGTTGCTTGGACAGGCGCTGAAAAATAATAAATTTGTATAGGTAACTTGATGAATATGTATATATAATCCCTTATCTACCTGCAACACACAAGGTCTGATATGATCTAGCTTCTCCTGAATGAAGGCAAAGTAATCCATGGACACATGCGGCAAGTAGGTTATTGTCTCCATAAATATATTCTCGCTCAGATTGTAGAGGCAAACGTTGAGCTCGTTGTACCAGCCAAACTCCTGGGCCACCACGCTGATCAGAGCATTGAAGGTATCTAGACAGACACCGCGTGTCTTGGCCAATATTACGGCCGACGAGAAGAGTCCGCTTTGGCAGAGAACAATGCTCGTCATGTTGGTGTGATATTTGCTATTCGTCACCAGAAAGTTCCTAAAAATTAAAAAATATAATTAGAAACTTATACATGGATTAAAATCTAGTAAATTGCAACTAACCACAGCGGTATGTAGTTCTTATCGTTCACTGCCTTCTCGGCCATCGTGATGAGCAGCAGATTGGCCAAATGGAACTGCGATGAGGGCGACATTTGAAGGGCGCTAATTGACTCGTCCACGCCGTAGTGATAATCGCTGCAGACAGCGCCGCTAATTACATCCTCCTCCAGCAGTTTCTCGGGCAAAATCACACGCACATCCTCCGAGTGCCGATAGGTGATATCCCCTAGAAATCCCTTCAACAGCGGATGACCCAAGTACCGTGATCTTAGCAGATAGGTGGACTTCAAGGCCATAGCACTGAGCTGCATTAAAGCGTAGGTGTGTCCGTACATGGCCAGTTTAAGAGCTGTGCGTATCGGTTTCACGCGCGCCTTGTTGTACGTCAGCAGCGCCTGGGTAATCTTCTTTCGCCTCAGCAAATAATCACCGGCAAACTCGATGCACTGCTCGAAGGAGAGATCGAAGGTGTTGCAAAAGTCGCGACACTGGTTGAACTCGTTCTGCAGTGCGGCATCCAGAAACAATTCAAAGGGCTCTTTTCTGTGGGATATAATTGAAAATATTAGCGAAACAATCATAGCATATAATGCACTTAAAAACCCACCTCAACTGTATAGTGTAGACATTCTTATTGGTGATCACATAGCTTGGATCGTAGTTAATCTTTGGGAACTCGGACTGCATGATTTCCATTTGCCGCAGCGAAAACTCACTGCTCACATCGGCCGTCTCATAGAACTGTATATAATCCATGGGCGTGTGGATGTCCTTCAGCTCAAAGGCCTTGGCCTTCTCCTCTTTGGTTAGGGTCTCCGGTTGGGCGGCGGGATTGCGATACTGTGCCATCTGATATAAATGCAGCACAGTTTCTTGCTCGAAGCGGAAGAGACCTAACTGGGCGAGCTTGTTGAAGCGCTGACGGAAGAAAAGGGGTATTTAAATACAAATAAAAGTGACTTAGAAGCCCAAACAACTTACATCTTCATCGGAGGTATGCAGCGAGGCCATGGCGCTGCTAATCACGCTCACCGCATTAATGGCATTGCTGGGCATGTCGCTTTGATCCAAACTCGAGGTGGCCGTAGTCGTTGTTGCACTGGTCGTATCGCTCTTCTGGGCACTCACATCAGCCTGCTCCAGCTTCTCAATGTCCGCATCTCGATTCTCCTTCTCCGTATTGCCCACCAGCGGATCTTCCAGCGAAGATGCCGCCGTGGAAATGGCCGAATCGCTGCGGCAATGCAGGTCCACGTAGTGTATGCCATAGAGTATGTTCGAGCTGATGAGTATTTCCTGGGTGTGCTTGGGTATCTTGTAAACGAACAGCGGCTTCAAACTGATGTCGATGCTGTGCACGGTCAAACTGTGACTATTCGTGTGCAGGGCACTCAGCAGGAAGGTGCTGCGCAGGTTCTGTATGGTATAAAAGGATCCGGAGGTGCTGCCCAGTGGCTCTGGCGTCACCGAGGGCGAGTCCATGATTGCAAACGAGCCCATCGTCGAGTCTGGCATAACTACAAAACAGAACGGAAGGTATTACAATGAGCATTTGTTAAGTTTGATCGAATTTAGCTGCTTCTACTTGGTCTGTCGAGTGTGAGAGTTGTGCAAACTCACCACGCAAGTGACGCTTCAATAGATGCAACAGTTCTCTCAAAACTGCACACCATAAAAAAACAAATGTTAAGTACACAATAAAAAAGCATTAAATAAATTAACAAAGAATATATGTTAAAATGGGGAATGGGAAATAGCCAGCCTACGCACATTCATCGAACTTTTGCCGCTGATCGGAGAGTCGCATCTTGATGGCGTGCAGCTTCTTGGAGCCCAGACTCTTGAGCGATGCCAGGCGGGCTCTGGTGGCGGGCAGAATGCCATCAGTTGCTGGCAGTTGCTGTTGCTGAAAGCGAACGCCTCCTCCCTGCTGATCGCTAGATTGCCGGGCCACTGCCTCGCTGTAGGAAGGAGGAGCCGGCGGTGGGGGCACTCCTTCTGCCGTTGTAGCCTCTGCGGTGGTGGAGGAATCTACGGCTGCATCCTCGCTGGACGGCGGCGGTGTGAAGACATCCTCCTCCAGCTGGCTGCTGTCCGAGGCGGGATCGGAACTATTGCTTTGTCTCGCCATCTGCTGCTTATCCTGCACGGACATCACAATTTGCCAGGCACCTTCGCGTGTGGTTGGCGAACTGTCGCCGGGATAAACATACTTGATGGCCTTTTGCTCGAGGAGGAGCTTGTATTGCTGCTTCAGCGAGGAGGTTATCTGAAAGATGGGTAGTTTTAAGTCAAGGAACTCTGAAAACTTAGGTCAAATCCTCACCAGCAGCATGACGCCATCGTAGGCCTTGTCCTTGCAGATAACCAGTCGCATCACAGATCCATTTTCGATGGCAGTGCTCGCAATCATGGGACAATTGGGACTGAGGCCCACAAAGCAGATGGAGCCATCGGAGTAGCCAATAATGGCCCTATTCTGCCCGCTGTTGGTCCGCCACCAGACGACGGACAGGGGATAGGGGCAGGTTTTGGACGCCATGAAGGAGGTGGCCATCACCTGGCTGTTGCCAGTGGCATCTGTTGCTGGGGGCTGCTGCACTCCTGACTCCTCCGCTCCGCTGTTCCTTACGAGCATATGCTCGGGCAGATCATGGCCGAGGGGTTCCTGCTCCTGCTGCTCCTGATCCTCCGCCTCCTGCAGCCGCACTTGCTCTAAATTCTGCTCCAGCTGCTCTACTGGCTCCACTGGCTCAGCCAGACCCGCCGAGTGATTGGGGCACTTCTTGGAGTTGGGACACTCGTGCGGGCCCACAAAGGGTATGATGTAGGAGGTGACCTGCGTGGTGCTATACAAGGAGCAGCCGGAGAGTCCATGGGATTTGTCCACCAACGCCAAGGCGGGAACAATGTGCAGCGTGTTGTCGAAACCTGGAAGGGATTTGATAGTTGAATAGAAGCCGAAGCAACCAAAAAATCAATAACCACACACGCACACATGGGGGCGAAGTAATTTTAGCACCCATTCAAAAAGTGGGTGGTGGTCTACTACTCATCCCCGAATTAACCGCATACTCACATAGCACCAGCAGCCAAGTGCCCGCCGGATCGAAGCAGATGTCGTGGATGACGCGATTGCGGAACCAGGATATCATCTTGACCACCTCCTGGCCGGAGGAGGCGCTAATGTACCGCAAAAGGATCTCGTTTTCATCGGTCACCAGGCAAAGGAACTGCTTCTCATCCAGCCCCGCCGTCACCGCCGAGAGCTTGCAGCTTATGTTGGTGATTAGCGGGCGCAGCTCGAACATGCCCAGCTCCTTGAGCTCCGCCTGCCCCGACATCTCGAGGGGATTCGTGGGAGAAGCCAATTTTAATTCACAAAATCAGTGCAAGGAGCTTTTTTTCCCCCGATTCCGAATGAAAACAAACTAGAGATGCGCGCGTGAGACCTGCCGCCGGTCTGGCAGCGCCCGTGTCACGCAACGATTTTCCAATTTTAACGGGCTTTTCCACAGTTATTCGTGTTAAATTTGGGTTTTCGGAAAAGCACAAAGGTTTTCCCGCACCACCTGAACCGGGGAAAAGCTGAGAAATCTTCGAAAAGAAAATCACTGCAAATTGCTCCCAACCGTCTGGCAACGACACGCGTGCTGCGCACAATCTTCTCTTTTCAGCCTGTTTAACTAACTGCCGCCGACTTTTCCGTGAACGGCTCGTTTCGCCAGTAGCAGCCACAAATATTTATAATTTTTCACACCTCTTGGACGGTTTTCACTCGCGGAAAACCAGCGGAAAACGCGAATCAAGGCGAAAAGTCGTGCACATCTTTTGCACTGCAAAACATCTGATTGATAGGGCAGCCAGGTGGCAACGACGGCTGGCTCCCGTCGCAAACGGTCATACTATCCCCGTGCATCCCTGCAATCGAAAATAACGGCGGGAATTGGAGGCGTCGCTTGTCTGAGTATCAACAACTCGAATTTAATTGATAAAAGCAATTGCAGGGCGCAAGACGAACGGGAATTTGAGTTAAAATTAGTGCAACTATGGAGTCCCGATTGCCCAAGCCGTCGTCGGCCCTGAAAAGACCCCAGATGCCGGTGAAAACCATACTGCCCACAGATCGCATTCGCGCAGGAGGCACTGCATCAGGATTGGGAGCAGCTAGTAGCACCAGCGCCTTCAATGTCAACCAGACGTACTGCGGAAACCTGCTGCCTCCACTGTCCCGGGACCTCAACAATCTTCCCCAGGTGCTGGAGCGCCGAGGAGGTGAGTAAATGATAAGGTTTCCTTTAAGGATTCCCTTCTAATCCTTTGTTTCCCCAACAGCACGTGCCGCCTCGCCGGAACCCATGAAGCTGGGCAATCGGGCCAAGCTAAGACGCAGTCGCAGCGCCTGCGACATCAACGAAATGCGCGGAAACAAACGCACCGCTGCTGCTCCCAGTTTGCCCAGCATTCCCAGCAAAGTGTCCCGCCTGGGAAGCACTTTGACTGCCCCTGGTCAGCGTCCTGGGCGTCCGGCGGTCACAGCAGCAGGCAGTGCCTCCTTAGCTGCCAAGAAACCCACAGTATCTCGCCCTGCTCCCCGAGCTGCGGCGCCTGCGGCCACCAAAAAGCCCACAGGAGGTGGGGCATCCACCGCAGGATCTGCCACTGCAGCTCCAGCCAAGCGGATTGCTCCCTACGACTTCAAGGCGCGCTTCCATGACCTACTCGAGAAGCACAAGGTGCTGAAGACCAAGTACGAGAAGCAGATAGAGGACATGGGCGAACTGGAGTCCATGCCCATGCAGCTGGAGGAGGCGCAGAGCAAGCTCTTCGCGACGGAGAGCTCGCTGAAGAACACGCAGACGGACAACGAGTGTCTGCAGCGGCAGGTGAAGCAGCACGCGAAGAACATAGAGACGATCACCTCGTCGCTGGGCAGGACCAAGGAGGAGCTCTCCGAGCTGCAGGCCATACATGAGGTAAAATGCCTATAAATACCTATGAAAAACTACCCTTAACAACTGATTTTCAGAAAGTGAGAACGGAGCACGCTGCCCTGAGCACGGAGGTGGTGCATCTGCGCCAGCGCACCGAGGAACTGCTGCGCAGCAACGAACAGCAGGCCGCCGAGCTGGAGACTTGCAAGGAGCAGCTCTTCCAGTCGAACATGGAGCGCAAGGAGCTGCACAACACGGTGATGGATCTGCGCGGCAACATCCGCGTCTTCTGTCGAATACGACCTCCTTTGGAGTGCGAAGAGAATCGCATGTGCTGCACGTGGACATATCACGATGAGGCCACCGTGGAGCTGCAGAGCATCGATGCGCAGGCCAAGAGCAAGATGGGCCAGCAGATCTTCTCCTTCGATCAGGTCTTCCATCCGCTCTCCTCGCAGTCCGACATCTTCGAGATGGTCTCGCCGCTCATCCAATCGGCGCTGGATGGCTACAACATCTGCATCTTTGCCTACGGACAGACGGGCAGTGGCAAGACCTACACGATGGACGGCGTGGCCGAGAGTGTGGGCGTCATTCCGCGCACCGTGGACCTCCTGTTCGACTCCATTCGGGGCTATCGCAATCTGGGCTGGGAGTACGAGATCAAGGCCACCTTCCTGGAGATCTACAACGAGGTGCTGTACGATCTGCTGAGCAACGAGCAGAAGGACATGGAGATACGGATGGCCAAGAACAACAAGAACGATATCTACGTGTCGAATATCACAGAGGAGACGGTAATGGATCCCAATCATCTGCGGCAACTGATGCACACGGCCAAGATGAACAGAGCCACCGCTTCGACGGCCGGCAACGAGCGCTCCTCGCGCTCGCATGCCGTCACCAAGCTGGAGCTGATCGGACGCCATGCCGAGAAGCAGGAGATATCGGTGGGCTCCATAAACCTCGTGGATTTGGCCGGATCTGAGTCCCCGAAGACGAGTACCCGCATGACCGAGACAAAGAACATCAATCGCTCGCTGTCGGAGCTTACGAACGTAATCCTCGCGCTGCTGCAGAAGCAGGATTACATTCCGTACCGCAACTCCAAGCTGACCCACCTCCTGATGCCCTCGCTGGGCGGCAACTCAAAGACCCTTATGTTCATCAATGTTTCGCCCTTCCAGGATTGTTTCCAAGAGTCCGTGAAGTCGCTGCGCTTTGCCGCCTCCGTGAACTCGTGCAAAATGACCAAGGCCAAGAGGAATCGCTACCTGAACAGCTCTGTGGCGGCCAACAGCAGCACGCAGAGCAACAGCAGCGGAAGTTTCGATAAATAAATTTAAGAATTCTACAATTTTCTAACCTGTTATTGCTTATAATTTATGTGTGTTTACTTTTAGTGCAAAAACAAAACTAATAAAGTGCTGGAATTCAAGGCTTGGCTCCCACTGCCGCTCGAACTTCGGCTGGAATCTTCTCCACCAGCTCGGCATGATTCTGTCCCAGGCTGGCTAAAACTCCCTGGCGATTCACGTGCTCCACTTCTGCATTGTAGGCATAGTGATCACCGTTTATGGTGGTAAGACAGCCGCCCTGTGCTTCTAGTACAGCTTCAGGTGCACAGGTGTCCCACTTTTTGCATCCCGGCGTGGCGAAGACATAGGCATGCGCCTTTCCCTCCAGCAGCTGGAGCACCTTGAAGCCGGCTCCTCCGACTTTTAGAACCTCCGTAGAAGCAAATGCATTGAGCGCCTGCTGGTGCAGGGCATTGGAATGCGAGCGAGTGGTGGTTATGATGAATTGGCCGGGAGGAGCGGGCACCGCTGTAAATCCTCCCGTTCCTAGACCTTTCAATCCCCAAATGGTGCGACCCAGTTCGCCATCGGGTTGCTTGAAGAAGGGCTGATGGATGATGCCGCCCACAGCGGAATCCTTGAGAGCAATGCCGATCAGCACGGTTACATGCTCCACATGTCCTGCGGGAAAAGGGTTTTAGAATGCTTTAGGATCAGTAATCCCTCAATCCCACCTTGTGTGTACTCCGCTGTGCCGTCCAGGGGATCCACCCAAATGACAAAGTCCTCCGCCTTGGCATCCTTCCACTCCGCCGGACAGCTTTGCTGCAGGAATCCCTCATCCAGTTCGGTGACCAGCCAATCATCGCACACATTCAAATCGGAGCCACCTTCCTCGCCGATGATCTTTACGTTGGGAAACTTTCTGTTCAGAGAAGCTATGATGCAGCGCTGGGCAGAGCGATCTGCCTCCGTCTGTGGGTCGTTCTTTCCTTTGTCCACTATTCCCAGATCGCCCTTCTTCAGCACATCCCGGATGATTCCTCCAGCGCGCGCGGCCGTGCTTATCGAGGAGGCCATGACGCGCATTATCAGCGGAGCACTTGCAGCCATCGTTCTGGGATGGGGATTTTATATGATGAGGGAGATCTTCTCTTAGATTTTTTATTTAATTTTAGATTAGATTAAAATCTAATCACTAGATGGAATGGGATGTTTTTGCCGCTGCGGAGAAAGTTCAACAGCTGATTTCGGCTAGAGAGGAGCAAACGTCGCAACTTCTTTAGAGGAGGAGTAAATTTAACGATAAATATTTAGAGTTTTTATATATTTTATTTAAAAGTAAAACTATATTCCATGAAAGCCAGGCAAAAATATAAAAGGGAAATATCTAACTGAATGTTTTTATCAGGGACCGTAATTATTATAAGTGATATTTTGTTTCTCTTATAAATAATCATTAAATGGTGATTTTAATTTTTTACTCAAATAAAATAATCAATATTTTCGGTTCCTGGTTTTTATGTTTCCAAAAGTTTTTTATTCATTTAATTAAAACTAAGTTACAGTTAAAACTATGAGCTAACTGAGAAAGATTTAAGAGCACTAGCAACTAAGGCTTTTGGCACATTCCAAAAAGTTTTTATAAAATAAATTTCCAAGATACTGAATATAATTTTTAATAATGTTTTTAAAAACATTCTTAAAATATCGTAGTTCTGAATTTGTTTAGAAAAATTGTTTAGCTTTTTTATAGCTAAACATTTAGTTTTCTCCAGTCTGGCAACTCATCGGTCCAACAAGACCTTTGGACCACCCGCTCCCCCGCCGCCCACAAATCAGTTCATTTCCATCTTGAAAAAGGTAAGCTCTTGAAATTAATAAAAAATAGCCCATTTATTAAGTATTAACATTAAATTTGCAGAAAATGGCACGTGTTTTGGTTGGAGTAAAGCGTGTGATCGACTATGCCGTCAAGGTGAGCCCACAAATCGCCTGTTGCGCATCTTCATCCATCTTTTTTCTTTATCACTTGTTGCGCTCCGTTTTGCGTAATCGCTTTAATTAATTAAAGTAATTTAAGTAATTCCCAATGTAAACCCAATTTCCAGGTGCGCGTCAAGCCCGACAAGACGGGCGTCGTCACCCAGGGCGTGAAGCACTCGATGAATCCCTTCGACGAGATCGCCGTGGAGGAGGCGGTGAAGCTGAAGGAGAAGAAGCTGGCCGAGGAGGTGATCGCCGTCTCCGTGGGTCCTGCCCAGTCGCAGGAGGTGATCCGCACGGCCCTGGCCATGGGCGCCGACCGCGGTGTCCATGTGGAGATACCCGCCGCCGAGTATGAGCTCCTCCAGCCCATCCATGTGTCCAAGATCCTCGCCAAACTGGCGCTGGACGAGAAGGCCGATCTGGTGATCCTGGGCAAGCAGGCCATCGACGATGATGCCAACCAGACGGCCCAGATGACCGCCGCCGTGCTCGACTGGCCGCAGGGAACCTTCTGCAACAAGATCGAGAAGACCGACGCCGGTCTGACCATCACCCGTGAGATTGACGGCGGCCTAGAGACGATCAAGACCAAGACCCCGGCCGTGCTGAGTGCCGATCTTCGGCTGAACACTCCTCGCTATGCCACGCTGCCAAATATCATGAAGGCCAAGAAGAAGCCGCTGAAGAAGGTGACCGCCAAAGATCTGGGAGTGGACACCTCGCCGCGCATCGAGGTCGTTTCCGTGGAGGATCCACCGGTGCGCCAGGCCGGAGCCACCGTCGCCGATGTGGATGCCCTGGTGGCCAAGCTGAAGGAGGGCGGCCACATCTAGATCCTCAACTAGCAAATTGTGAGCGCAAATTCTACGTTTTTAATATAGTTGAAGTTATCTATCAGAAACGTGCATTTATCAGGCTTTAAAATTCTACTTCTACTTCTATCCATCCCCCCCGTGTGCTTTAAGTGAAATCTAATTTGGAATTTATTTCGTTCGTGTCCAGCTGTAAGAATAAAGTGATTGTAAAGCAACAGGGTCGTCTATTTTTTTCTCCCATCCATTTCCTTTTCAGGAAATCCCGATCCCGCTCAACTTGGATGCCCGAAAATAAGGCAACGACGAGGTCAACACCCAATGGTCATTGATTTCTCATTGTTTTCGATCGCATTTATTAGCGGTAAACTTGAAAGGAAAACATTGGCTAGTGTGTATTATATAAGAGTACAAATGGTATATGTTTGTTCATAAAATTCTCAACTACAGGCTAAAATCGTTTGTTTTTTTTGTTTTGTTTTGGACGATCATGACACACATGCTTATAATATAAAGATATTTATGTGTAGTATAAAGATTTCAAAAAAAGAGAGTAAATGGTCTAAGGTAGATATATAGATAAGGGTGGCTCGACTTTCCTGATCGAGAAACGAAGAGGCAAAAAAAAGGTGAGTAAATGCAATCAATTTTCTCTAAAATTAAATAGATTCAAATGGGAAATTTTGAATTTTGAGATCAAATTTGTCGTGTAAATGGTGTAAAATTGTTGGTCTAAAAACCAGGGACCTTAAATAATCGTTATTTGAGATTTTTATTTTAAAAGGCCTACTGAGATTTGTACATTTTTTGATTTTAAACAACAATTTAACTGGTTTTTATGCAATTTAAAGACATGCATATACTTTATGAACAAGAGTAAAAAGAACGTTATTTTTGACGTTTAAAATAAAATATCTTTATAAAATAAAAATCTCAATTAACGATTATTTATGGTCCCTGCTAAAAACCTCTTCGATTTCTCATTTAATTTAGCGTAACCACCCTAATGTAAATACAAACGGGGCAAATGCGACAATAATAGATGCCAATTGAAAGATACTCTGTGCTTAAATAAAGGAAACATTGGCAGTGGAACCGATCTCGTCCAGCTTTTGTAAAAAAGTGTTTTGTAGAAAAATATGCAGCTAGGGCCCAATAAAGTTTTATCTTAATTGCGACTTGGTTTATCACACTCCGCGCCGTAGCCAGCGCCCAATCCACCCGATTAGCCATCAAACCCGTCCGGCTGGCGCCAGCTGCTTGTCGCTGAAGCGCAGAATGCGCGTCAGCATGGTGGTGATGCAGGGTATCTGCTTCTGCTGATGCATCTCCGGCGTGTCCGGGGTGCAGGACTCAAAGTCGACGGCCACTCGCTGGCAGACGAAGGTCAGAAGGGTCAGGATGTCCAGGCGCTTGCCATTCGCAGCCAGTTCGGCGCACAGGCTCTGCATGAACCAGCTGCCGCGTGTGGTGTTGCGCCACGAATAGAAGCCCGGCACCGTGGAGTAGGCAATCAGGAAGTCGGCATGCACGGGTATCTTGTAGCTCATCGAGGAGTCGCCATCCGTTTCCGTCTGGCCGCGCTGCATGGTAACTCCACCATCCAACCGATCGCCCTGGCAGGCCTGAATGAAGAACAACTTGGGTTTGCCCGCCAGCGAAGGACAGTGGTTGGCCGTGAAGAAGCTCCAGATGTTCTCCAGCTTGTACTGCGTGTCCTTGGCGTAGATGTAGCCCATTTCGCCGTGCGACAGAATGGCCACCAGGATGCAATCGCTGTCCCCGTGATTCTGAGAGGCTGCATACTCGATTGTCCTCAAGATGTCCTTGTAGCGGCAGTCCTTGTAGACGGTCACCTCGAAGTCCAGCTGCTTGAGCACCCGGGTGAGATTCTCGCAGTCCACATTGGTTCCCGCCCGGGATTTCAGGGTGGGCACCTCGAAGTGCTCGTGATTGAAGATCAGGGCCATTCCGCGGTTCTTGTGCCGCATATTGTACTCGGCTGCATGGCGATCGGTGACCATTTTGGCCACATTCTTGCGGTAGCTCGACGAGGGTGAGCTGTACCCGTTGGCCAGCTGACCGATGGCTCCGGTGCCATAAGGATGCGCGGATGCGGAGGCGCTGCTGCCCGATCCTCCGACGGAGCCCAGGGCATCCGCCTGATCGAGGGGATTATCCTCCCTCCTTATGCCCACCTGATCGGCGGATTCTCCATTGTTTGCGGTGGCGTCCATGGTGAAATTGTATCCCTGAGCCTGCGAAAAACTGATGAGTCACAAGCACTTCGAAACTGGTTTCTTTTCAAGTCCGTGAAAAACTGAACTGCACGATTTCCGCTAATTTGTTTTGTTCCGGGGAAATCCGTGTTTACGCGCAACAAAGACAACTAGTTAGTAAGTAATTATTGCTTAGTGGCTTTGCTTTATTCGAGAATTTAGTATGACCATTGATGACAGTTGAAAAATACCATATAGCGCCTGTTTTAGAGATGACAGTTTGAGTCGTGTCACGAGATGTCAAACAAAGAATAATGATAATAGTAATAATTATTATCCATATTATTTATATTGTTATGTTATTTATATCATTATTATTACTATTTCCATTTTTAATCATGTTAGCTTGTTAATTAGCATTAAACTATAAGTATTTATTTTAACTGCAAGGGTGTATAAACTTCTGCTTGCCATAGTTAACTCTCATGCTCGTTAAATTTAAATTTTTAATTTTTTATCCTAGAACGCAACCAGTTTTTATTTGACATTCTCTACATCCATATCTACACTTACAAGAGAATAATAAAATACCGAAAAATACTGCAAATACCGTCCTTACCACGGGCACACCTTCAAAATAGTTTGAGACGCACTGCTAAAATTGTTGAATTGTTCCATTTTGTTTAAAAATTACGAAAATTGCCAATGATCTGGACGCCAGAGCATGTGGATCTCCACATTGACCTCCTCAAGACCTCCACCGATCGAACGGTCATCTACAAATGCCTCGTGAAGCTGCGCACCGACCTGGTCAAGGACAAAAATGGAATTGTTTTATTTCGCACAGCTGGGGGCGTTCACATCATGGTGGGTTTGGGAGTCACTAAGGTTTGGCAGCCACTGCCTTGCACAACATGGGATCGTGATTCAAATCGATTTTTGAATAATATTCTATTGCGTCTTCCAGGTGCGGCTGATCACCAAGCTGAATGAAAAGATAATGGAGGTGGTTCTGAGCATACTGGGCAACTGCTGCACCGATGAACAGGCCTGCATTGAGGTGAGAATTTCCAAGACATGTTTTTAAAAATTTAAAAATATGAACCCAAAGTTCAAAATATCATTTACAAACTTTGATATTATATACATTCAATAAAAACGAAAATCGTTTAAAAGATTTGATATTATCTAATCATTATATATATTTTAATAATACTTCAATTTATTTATACTTAAAAAAGGATTCTTATTGATAACAAACTTTGTCTTTTCAAAATATCATTTACAAACTTTGATATTACTTATATTCAATAAAATCTAAAATCGTTTAAAAGATTTGATAATATCTAATCATTATATCTATTTTAATAATACTTAAATTTATGTATACTTAAAAATGGGATTCTTATTGATAACAAACTTTTATCTTTCAGGCTGTTGAAAGCAAGGTGATTCCCCCACTGGTGACCATTCTGAAGACCATACCCAATCCGGTTATCCAATGCCGCGCCTGCCGCTTGCTGGGCAATCTGGCCAAGAGCAAGAAGGCCTCCCAGTATCTCAATGTCCACTATGCGGCCATTGCCCCGGCCATTTGCCACATTATCGAGTCCACCAGTGCGGTGCAGACCCGCATAATGGCATTCCGCGTCTGCCGCTTCCTCCTGGCCAGCAGCCAGTTCCTCAAGCACTTCCTGGTGGCCAACGGATTCCTGCAGCTGATGCGCATTTTCCTGGCCGTGATGAAGAACAACGAGGCGCCCAAGGAGCCCGTTCCGGACATTGAGGTGTCCACGCTGATTGGCCTGAAGAGGAACCAGCACCGCGAGAAGTATTTCGAGGAGGTGGCCAGGAATTTGGAGGGAGTGCGCAGTGACATCTTCGACTATCAGATGTTGAAGAACTCCACGAGGAACTGCGACTATGCGCTGCCAAAGGATAACGAGACGGCCGTTGAGTTGGCTCTGGAGATTCTAAAGTGTCTGGTCTTGATATCAGCTCAGCAGATTGGAATGAAGGCTTGGGAGGTGGGTTTACCTAATCCTTAGATCACTTAATACCAAATAACTCATATTTCTCTCCATTTACCAGTCCATTTCCCGCAACACCTCGCTGGCATCGATTGTGTGTTTCGTCAAGGAAGACGGCGATCAGCGGGCTCCCGCCTTGAAAATCCTCTCCAACTTCTGCAAGGATCCCTGCGCCTTCTACATGCTCAGCACGGCGGATGCCATAGTGGCTGCCTGTGAGATGCTCATGGCGGTCAACATGGCAAAGCCCCTCAACGAGAGCGAGAGCCGGCATTGCATTAATATTATACTGACGTTGTCCACGGATGCATGCAGTCGCTCGAAGATCCGAAGGTGTGGAGCCCTGCGCAAGCTGGTGGCCATGATTCGGGACTCCGAGTCGCAGAGCGAACGGTCATCGGTAAGACTCCTTGTTTTAACTGTGTAGAATCGATGTGTTCTATCGCCTTTTTATCGTCTAGAAGTGTCTCAGAAGTTTCTCCTTTCTTGAGTTAAATGTGTTCTATCGTCTTTCTATCGCCTAGAAATACCTTAGAAGTTACTGCTACACGATCGCGACCCTTTTTGTTTTTGTAAAATGTGTTCTGTCGTGTTTCTCCCTTCTACTAGAATCCAGGGTTCGGAAAATAACACACTCTGTAAAAATGTCAAAGTGTCAGGTTCAAAAAAAGTTATTAACATGTGTGTAAAAAATTTTAGCTTACATATGTTAGAAACATAAATAACACACACAGGTTATTTGTGTTATTTACACAACGTGTTATTTACACGACGTTTTTTAGACAATGAGTTTTTGACATTAAAACGTCAGAAATATATGTTGAACTGAAAAAATCATATATGCTTTGAAACGGTTAAAAAAACAATTAAGATATCCTGGTCCAATATTGATTCTTCATGTTCCCTTCGATTCGCTAAGTTAGTCATCTATTGTACCCAACAGCTTTTTCACATTCTCAACAACTTTCAATATGACAACCTGAGCATGGAACTTTTGCTTTATGAAGGACTTGTGCCCATGCTGGTGAGGGAATTGAACGATTACCTGACCAGCGACGATGAACATCACAAACGTCGGCGCGAGGAGAGATTGCAGGGTGGCAAGAAAAGAAAACTGACGGATCCCACAACGCCAGAGACGCTAAGCAAGGTATTTCATTGCCATACAGACTACCCAAAGCATCTATTAATTACCTTTATTTTTTATAACAAAGTTCTCGAAGACCCACGAGACCTTAGGCTCGGACTTTGACTCACCGAGCAGTTCGCCCAGGTCTTATCGCACCACCAGTCCCTGCAGTTCGCGCAGCATGTCGCCGGTGTGCAAAGATCTGCTGACAAACGATGACGACGACAACTATTCACCGGCCTGCAGTGATGATGATGAAGATGAGGATGACAGCACGAATACTGGCGATACTAGAGAACGCCGTATAGCCGCCAATCGTGCCCAGACTTCGAGTGTTTTGGATATCTTAAAACTAATCGATGAGGGCAGCGAACCCATCGATGATCCGCTGTCCGACAAGGAAGATCTCGAGGAGCTCAGCTCGGATGTGCCACCTAAGCTGGCCCAGTTTCGCAATCAAGCCGGCGACACCATCGACATCATCGAGAATCTTATCTATCGCATCACGCTGATGGTGAACAAGCGAGTGGAGCTGGGAAAGCCGGAGACGCTGGATACTTTGATAAGGGCAATCAACTTGTTTGGGGCAAATAACAATTTTTCAAATGCCCTGACAAATATTCTACTGTGAGTTGGGGTGACTTCGGAAGATAGAGTTAAAGATTTCAATTTTCTATTTTATCATTTTAGGGAGAGCCAGTTCTTTGCCCAGATTATCAAGCACGGCGTGGTCCATCAGCTTTATCAACTCACCAAAGTGGAGGAGGTAACTATAAACCAGGGCTCGAAAAATAACACACTCTGTAAAAAACATGTGTTATTAACATGTTAAATGTAAAAGTGTTAAGTGCAAAAAAGTTATTAACATGTGTGTAAAAAATTGTAGTTTACGTATGTTAGAAACATAAATAACGCACACAGTTTCTTTGTGTTACTTACACGACGTGATATGAGTTTTTGACATTAAAACGTCAAAAATATATGTTGAACTGAAAAATTCACGGTTGTCTGTAGTTGAAAAAAATTCAACTTTGCTTTGAAACGGTTAAAAATAACAATTAAGATATCCCTTTGATTCGTTAATGTCCATAAAATGTATTTTTTCATTTGTGTGAAAAACAGTGTGTAAAAAACACGTATTGTTAATAACACATTGTGTAAAAAACACAAGTGAGCTGTGTGTGCTAACAATTATTTTTCACATTTTAACACTTTTGTTTTTGACACACATGTCAAAAACTTTTCTCACACTGTAAAATACAGTTTTACATGTTTTTACCATTTGTGTTAAATTCCGAAACCTGCTACAAACCCTTCTTAATAGTATCTATTAAATTCCTAATAAATTCTCACCTTTTTTTTTAGATGCGCAAAGATGGCTTCGCCTTCTTGGAGACTCTGACCAACGTTGGCGAATCCAATTATGGCAAGGAGGAGCTGGTGCGTCTCCTGCGCTGCGACGATGTGAAGGCCCAGCAGAGAGCTGCCATTTCGGTGGCCTATATCGTAAAGAGCCATCGATTGCTCTACCAGTTTCTGTACGATGGCAATGCACTTAGCCTGCTCTTCGATCTGATGCTGCGCAAGACGACCGATGATCACTATGCGGATGAGGCAGTGGATGCAGTGACTTCCATGGCCCGCTATACCCTGGGCATTGTGCTGCCGGAAGCTGAGCCTGCGGAAAGTACAGCGGGGATTTGCAGTCAGAGGCTGAGTGAAACCGATCAACTGCACGACCAGTGTGACATGCGATTCGTGGTTGGTGGAGGCGGCGATGATTCCTCGGTGACCATTGGCTTCAACAAGCAGCTTCTCTGCGAGACCAGCGAAGTGTTCAACAAGATGCTCAATAGTGACTTCCGCGAGGGTCACCATGGCGAGATTCAGCTGCAGGACTACACGGCCAGTGGACTGCGCTACTTTCTGCATTTAATCGTGTGCCAGGAGCGGCACCTCGCGGAGCTTGATTATCCCGCCCTGCTGCAGGCCTACGAGATGTCGCGGGTGTACATTGTGCCCGAGATGGAGGAGGTACTGCAGCAGAGACTCATCCAGTTTCTGGACTCGCGCAACTGCCTGCGCCTGCTGGAGTGGGCGCTAAAGAACTACCATGCCGAGCTGACGGAAACGGCCATCAGCTACTATCTCTGCTCCTCGCTGCCGGCGCAGGAGAAGCTGCAGCTGTTCCGGGCGGCGGAGGACTCCACCTATGCCAGCGAGTGGTTCCAGCTGCTCAACGATGCGGTCTTCGAGCGATGCCGCAGCACGGGCTACTAAATACCACTAAATACCAGTTGTGTGTTCTGTGATCGATCGTCTTAACCGCCGCTTTCCATTCCCCCTTTTGGATTTCAGCTCGATTTATTAGCCAAGTATTCCACAATGTGCTACAATATGTATATTATTTAAAGTGTATAGACTACGGATATTAACCTAAATCTTCTTTTGTCTATGAGTAGACTCGTAGGTGGGCATGGCGCAGAAGCGCAGGGTGAGCCAATCCACCAGCGGAGTGGGACAGATCGAGAAGAGCCAGCGGTAGAGGCGATATCTTCGGGGTTCCTCGATGTACAAGGCCAGAGGTTGTGAGCTGGTCAAAGCATCCTTGAATTTTTCCAGCAGCGACTCGTTCTTCAGGCGATTGGGTGGCTTGAAACCACTGAGCACCTTCAGGTAGCCATTGAAGGCCTCGAAATACGAGTCGTACAGAGCATGTTGCTCCTGGCTGAAGGCCTCTTGCATCTTCTGCGCATGCTGCTGCTGCCTGGCCGCAATGTTGCTGTCCAGGACAAAGGATCCCGGTATAAAGTTCACCACCTCCATGCCATATTGCTGCAGTTCCACGCGCAACGCGTCCGTCCAGAAGCGCAGGGCCGCCTTGGAGGCGGCATAGGGACCCAGAGCGGGCAGAGCCTGCAGTCCACAGTGGCTGGTCACGTTGATGATCCTGCCCTGCTGCTGGCGGAGCAGCGGTAACAGCTCGCGGGTCAGTCGCATGGTGCCCAGCAGGTTGCAGTTGATCTGGGCCTCTATCTGCTCGGGTAACTGCCACTCAAACTCGCCAAAGCACATTACTCCAGCATTGTTTATAAGGGCCGTCAGCCGATAGCTGGGATCCTTGGCCAGTATGTCCCTCAATTGCTGATGCACCAGCCGAATGGAATCGGTTTCCAAGAGATCCAGCTCCAAAGTGTGCATTCTGGCAGGGCTATCCTTGGATTTATTCAGGGACTGCAGCAGCTTGGCTCCATCAGATTTGAGATTGTGACAGCAGGAAACCACCGTCATGTGCAGGGATTCATGGCAGTAAACGGCCATGGAGTGGCTATCGTTAGAGTTCAGTTAATTAGTTAATTACTTAGTTCAGTGACCTTACCCCAGTCCCGAATCGCAGCCCGTGATGAGCACCACATGTCGGCTATCGACCTTCAGCTGGCTCCTGCCCCATCCCATCGTTCTTCCCAGGGCGCGAAGAAATTGACTGCCGCTCATATCGCCAGTTCTCGAGTAACTGAAACAAAGATCCGATTAACGGCTGCACCGAAAACAACAGATCCGAAAAATGCAAAATAAGGCAAAACCCGAAAATGAATATATGCATTGTGTATATGTACATATGTAACCATTATCTGTGGACGAATGGAAGAATACAGCTGCGTTTACCTGCCCCTTAGAGTGGACCTTAACATTTCTATGGGAAGGTTTACAGAATAATCAATCTAGTTGTCTGTTTAATCTGCATTTTTAAACTATTTCCAAATTTCAGATTTTTTTTAGATTTTTAAGTCAAGTTGTTTCTGCTGCCTGTTGATCCTCTTTCCTTTACTATAAGTAATAGATAAATAATAATTTGTTTACTTTTAAGGCCCCTAAAACTTATTTATGGTGTAAAATGAACTTTAAAAAAAATTCCCATAGGTTGAAATTTATCTTGTCTTGTTTCTAAGATTAAAATTATCATTTAAAATTGGTCCACCCCAATTTACCTGCTCGGCTTACCTGACGATAAGCCAGACCATTTGCAAGTCATGTGAAACGCAGAGTTATTCCTTTTCTTCTTTATAAAACTAAAAATAAATCCACAATTTGTTTTTGGTTTTTTTCGGTGTTTTTATTTTATTTTATTTTATTTTATTTCATTTTTGTCAATTTTGGTGTTTTTCTGCCCTTATAAGTGCATTTAGGTTACTATCGATCGGTTTGGTTTTTGGATAAATTGATAATTTTGAATAGAGAATTTCAGAGAATTTACTGTGGAAACTGGCGAGAGTTACTATTGGTTTTTCGTTTTACCTGATCAGCTTTCGTTAAATCGCATTTGGGGTATACATAATACATAATTACATATTAAATAATTGCTTTGCTTTTGTCATTTCTTATAAATGGTATTTGAAAATAGCGCATTTGTTGCGTTTAGTAAAAATATATTTGGGTTTTCTACTGCAGCTTACCGAGTACAATAAGTATATTTATCTCATTTCACATTTGCTTTTGCTCAATATAAAACTTGCTTCAACGCGATTATTGTTTAGGTTTAAACATATACATATATTTATATAAAGTGTTTTTGCATTTCTTAATTCTCTCTCAAGGCATTGTATTTAGTTTGTATGCTGAATATATATTTGTAATTACATATTTACGCGATTCGTTTAAATGTTTAAATGTACAATTTTAAAACCGGCTTAGTTCCTTTCATTACACGCTTTTGTTTACTGCTCCTTTTGTTTGTTTTTTATCTGTTATCTTTTATCTGGTATCTTTTGTATTCGTTTTATAATAAATATCACAACGCATCCTTCAAATCTACACTCCCTAATAATCCCTATTATTTTCATTTTCGTATTCATTAACCAGGCATCGATCGTTCGCATTTGTATATTTTTTGAAAATATATAACACGCAATGAAAAGGTTTGAAAATTGCACAAAATACAAGTACATAACATATGTAGCTCGTCGTATGTAAAAAGACATAGCAAAATCATATAAATTAACCATAATAAAGATAAAGGTAATAATACAAAAAACATTAGAGTTAACGAAATTACAAAAAGGGTTGAAAACATCTCGATGTTTTCTTGGTTTTTCCTTCTACTTTTTCTTTTTTTGTTAGCAAGTGTAAATATAATCGCTACGGCTTCAATTATATAAAACTTAACTTAATCCTGACTCAACTCCACTCGACTCCTATCCTATCCTCCGCTCCTCCCTGTCCCACCAGATCCTGTGGTCCTGTGGTTATAAGCTGACCAGCTTCGATGGCTCGGCGGTGGGCGTGGGCAGCTCCAGGGGATGTTTGTTCGTGGAGGAGCTGTTGGGCACCAGGGGTCCCGAAACGGGGGTCAATCCAGTGCCTCCGTCCATCAGCGAGTCAAAGTTGAAGGTGCCCGTCGAGGGCGTCTGGATGGGCACTCCCTGGATCTGCGTGGGTCCACCTCCTCCTGCGCCCGCCTTGTTGGCCAGATTGAGGTGCATATTCTGGCCCAGCGGTCGCTGGAAGGCCAGCGTATTGGGCCGCTCCTTGGGCATCTTGTTCAGCGCATTCAGCGTGGGACTGTTCATGCTGCTGGTGCTCCCCCCATTGGTGGTCACCACCGGGAATGAACTCCCAAATCCTCCCGGCGCCGTGCTCGTGATCGGCGTTTGCAGAGATCCCGACGACGCACCGGTGGGCGTCATCAGCGTGGACATATGGACATGTGGCATCGTGGACATGGGCGGCAAGGTGAAGCGCTTACTCGGTGGCGGACCATCCTGACCCAGACTCGATCCCGAGTCCAATGCCCCGTCCAGCGGCTCATCCTTGATGTGCAGCAGCAGGTTGTCCAAATTCGCCGCCGGCTTGAGATCCAGTGGAGAGTTGCTCCGCCCGGTGGAGTTCAGGGTGGCATCCATGCCCGTGATCGTGCCATTGCTGCTGTCGTTGCTGTTGTGATTGTGATGGCTGCTCGATCCGCCGCTGCCGCTGCTGCTGCCGGCACTCAGCAATCCCGCCGGAGCAATCAGACCATTGCAGGTGGTCACACTGAGCAGATCCGAGCGGATCTTGTGACAGGTGGGCCGATGGGCGGCCAGCAGGTATTCCAGATGATTCTTGCTGTTCGTCAGCGTCTCGATCTCCTTGCGCATCGCATCGCCCCGCTTCTCCAGCTGCTCCACCTCCTCGGTGAGCTCGTTGGTCTGGTCCACCCGCCTCTTCCGGCAACGCGCCGCCGCCTGTTTGTTCCGCTCCCGGCGAACCGCTCGCTTCTGCTCCTCCTCCGGCGTCATGTTGGCGGATCTGTTGGGTCGCCGGCCGCCGCCACGACGCGCCGGAGTGCTTGAGGTATTCGTTGATGAGGCTCCTCCTCGGTTGGCCGGATTCACGGCGGCCAGGACATTGGTGAAGCTATTCACGCCGCCGTTCTGCCCACTGGCGCCCATTATGTGGCCATTCTGGTACGAGGTGCTGTCCGTATGGGCACTTGCTGAGGGATTGGAAGAAGGATTTCGAATTAGTAAGCTATAGGAAGGTATAACTCAAGGTACCACTTACAAGTATCGGTCGTGTCCTGCTCCTCGTTCATCTGCGTATCGTTGTACGAAGCATTGGAGTCCTCGGAGTCGGTTCCTGGCACCAGACTCACATCGTATGGCTGCTGCTGCTGCTGGCTGGGAATCGTGGCGATCCCATTGCCATTGGCTTCACTTGCTCCATTCGCAGCATTGGGCAGCACCAGGGGCACGGCGAAGCCCGCACAGCCAGCTCCACGATCATTTTGCGTGTCCGAAATTATCTGGAAAAAGGAATCCTCGATGCTGCGCGTCGTCGTTGGGGTCAACGTGGGCGTCGTCAGCGTTAGGACACTCTGAACGGTCTCAAAGTTGCCGAGCTGCAAGGAAAATGGTAAGGTTTTGATTAATAATAGGTATAGGTATTTTATAAAATATATGTAACTAATAATTACTACGAATTTAATGCCATTTTTTAAGATTATTAACATAAGGAATACCCAATTTCGTATAAAATCGCTTTAAAAAGTGTAGACGCTTATATCAGCCATACGCCTTTACATTGCTTAATTTTTTCAATATTTACGAATTGCAATTAATTTTATAAATATATTTAATATTTAATTATATTAAGTGCAACATTGGTACTTAAGAAAATGCTTATCTCTTAAGAAATATGATCAGTAACAGACGAAATCTTTGAATGTATAGTGTTTAAGATCTCTCCCCAACATCAAAAGCAATTGTTAAGTCTGTAAGACCTCTTTGCTTATCCCTACATTTCTAGGAATTAGGAAACGTGTTCGGTCTTATTTTTTTGCCAATTTAAAAAGGAAAGAGAACCAAAAAGAGAGGACCACCAATCCATCACTTTGTTTATATTTGCCCAACCATTTGTTGTTCCGCATTAGTTCTATTTTCGGCGATGAATAAGTACGCACACCGCTTGCCAATTGTTTCGCGCCCAAAATTATACGAATTTCGATAGGATTCTGATGTTCTGATTAAATATCATCGATATTTTGGGTTTTTTAAGGGAGGCTACCTGCTGTAGGAAAAGCTCGTTGGCGAGAAAAGTGGCGATTTCACTGGCGTCCATTGCAAAATTATCGCTATTGTTGTTGTCGTTGTGAGTAGATGTTGCTGTCGTCGCTGTTGCTGCTGTCGAGGATGTCGTTGCTGCTGCTGCTGTGGCATTGCATGTTGCTGCTGTCGTCGTAGCTGTTATTGCCTGTTGTTGTTGCGGTTGCTGCTGCTGATGCAGTTGCTGCTGTTGTTGATAATAATTATACTCCTGTGGTTGCTGCTGACTAAAAAAATTCTGCATTTGGCACACGGCGGCCATGGCAGCCGCATTGCTGCTGTTGTTATTGCTGTTGCCGGCGTAGGCGCTACCAGCAACATGGCCATAATTGTTGCTGTTGCTGCTGCGCAGTGGGAAAGCATTGTGGGCAAACGATTGCCTCAGTTGCTGTTGCTGTTGCTCCTGATGTTGCTGCTGTTGTTGCTGTTGCTGGTAGACAGTCTGCGTGGGCAGTTGCCGTTGCTGATGACGTAACAATTGCTGCTGGGGCTGCTGCTGCTGATGCTGCTGTTGCTGCTGCAGCTGTTGATGTTGCTGCTGCAGCTGGTGATGTTGCTGCTGCTGTTGATGTTGCAAATGTTGCTGCTGTGCAAAGTGCAGCGACTGATGGTAGTAGGGATGGTAGCACGCATTGTGCGCCCTACCGTTGAGATTTTTCATCATTTGTTCGTTTATCCTTATTCAACTATCTCTTAAATATTAAGTATACGCAATGACGTTGCGTATACGCACAGTTGGGCGGCTGACTAGTATTCGTTATGGGTTCTTTAAGCCTAGCTAAGCTAACACAACAATTTGGGACAACAGTGATATATATATCTATATGAGTTGTATTCAAAATCAACAAAAACAAATCTAAATTCTAAGATATATATACAAAAACGAGTGACTATCTTTTCAGTGGAAAGTCCTCTAACAATGTGATGATCCTTTTTTGTCTTTATGTTTCCGGTTTTTCGGTTCTTCGGATGTACTGGGTGTTCTTTTTGTTGTTGTTGTCGCAGTGTGTTGTTATAGTTGCTTAAAAATTCGTTCGTTTTTGGCTTTATTTGATATGTAGCTTATATATTTCGTTGACTTCTTTTTATTCTGAATAAAAAAGGTTCGTTGCGAGCAGATTTCGTAGTATATTCGTTGTTCGGTTGTTGCTCAGTTTTCCGTTTTCAGTTTTCAGTTCTTGAAGTTATTGCTCTCCGGCGGTCTCAGACGCTTGACGATAAGCATTTGCTGATTTCGCAAAGGATTGAAATGTTTATTCCGCTGGGCGAAAGCGCTCATAATCAAGGCAAAATATCGTAAGTGTGCCGGGGCTCAGAAAAAATCGAATGACACGTGTCTCTCCAGTTCAAATCAGTTCACAGTGCTCGGCGAAAAGGCCGCGATAAATAACACAAATTGGATTATATAATTATACGGATTCGTGGAAATGAAAGAGATTGGGGTCTTGAGCCTTGAGCTAGTTTCCAAATAATGCTGCGTTTTTCCCGACGAAATTCCTTGGCCAAATGGGCAACGCCTCTCAAAAGTTATTCCTCCCTTTTTCGCTTTAATTTCTATGTTTAGCTATATATAATTATATTGGTATATGTATTTTATTTTATATATATTTCGATCCACGCGGCATGCAACTGAGAAATGTGCGTCGTTTTTATATATATATATGTTTCTCCTTTTCTCGATTCGTTGTTGTTTGTATTTTTGGTATTTCTGATTCGTTTTTGGCAATGCACGCGCGCTGAAAAACAAAACGACAGTTGCAATTTTCCAAATTTATTTTCGTTTCGTTGTTCGAGGTTCGAGATGTTCGAGAGATTCGAAATAAAAGCGCGCGCGCGATCGCTTTTAATTGTTAGATATTTTCTAAACTTCGATGGTTCGTTGTTCGTTTGCGACTGAATCTGAATCTGAATCTCCGGCGAGCGAAATTGGCAACGATCGAGATACAAGTATATATGTGTATTTATCAAGAGATCTAGAGAACTATAGAGAACTAAGAGAGCTGTCTTTTGGGTGTGTGCCTGGCCGATTTTGCGGAGCCGTTTGCTCAAATTAGAAGACAACCACTGGGAAAATCAAATAATTTTAAACGCTGCCTGCTCTTAATTGAGCGGCTGCCCACACGACGACCACGCTCGCCGTACTTTTATAGGAAAAAAAGTAGATATACCATATAATATATGCAATGGTATATATGCATCTGCTCGCGTGTGGGTTAGTTCCGATTTGCCGATTTTACAGCCGATCTTTCTCTCCATCGAAATGCCTTTCGTTCGCCCATAAATTAAAGGCCGCACACAACTCACTCAATATTTCGGCGAAATCATTTGGCACAAAGTTATGGTTCCGAACATACAAGATATATATATGTATTTATAGCGACAGATGTCCCGCGAACAGGTGTGTGTGCGTGCGGGACATCAACATTAACTAAGTTTTCATTTTCATTTTCAGTTCAGACCCCCTGTCTCGCCGAAGAGTGTTTATTTCCGTCGCCAGCAAGTTGGCCAATACGCTAATTGCTAGCTTTTGTTGTGGGCTAAAAACATTATATATATTGAGGCACGGAGAAAAATAGGGAGGATTTTTAACAGTAAAAATTAACATTTTTTTTAAATCTGTGGAGAAAATTTGGAGATCGGATACAAATAAATTCTAAATTTACCTAACGAAATTTTAAGTCTAGATAAATAGGTTTAATAAATAATATTAATGGGAACAAATTAATATTTTAAAATATAATTTTACAAGGATTAGTATAATAATTTCTGTAATTAAAATACATTCTTAACTTTTTCTTTCTGTGCAGCGAGTTTCTGCTGATTGTGTGCTTATTTATTTGGCGATCTTATCGCAGACGCGTTTCCCAATCCCAAAGGCCGTTCCCTTATTGACAACAAACAATCGATTTTATTCTTTGTAGGCGCTCATTTCATATATTTATTTTTTTAAATTTTAGCTTTCAAGTCGGCCGCCCTCCGAGTTTTTGGGTGCTTAAACATTAAACACCTTTGTGGTTTTCATTTTGGGGGACTTTCATTTTAACCCACTTTCCTTACGAAATAAATATGCTGTTTGAACTTGTTCCCTGGGCACACATGCACCGCATTTAGCCGATGAATCAGTCAATTTACGAAATGTTCGCCTATATATGCAAAAAACAAGTGATAGTAACAATGACAATAATATGAATGCGAACTACTGGCAATCAAGAGCCGCGAATTGAATTGTCTAAATTGAAGCCAGAGCTCAGTGGCAATGTCGAATGGTGGTGATGGTGTGGCGATGGTGTGGCGATGGTGATCTCTCTTATCGGACGAGTGGAGGTCTGGGCACCGAGTTCACTTCTGGGGGTCAATTATAAACCAAATGAAACCAGCAGCGAACATCGAACAGCCAGTCAGTCAGCCAGTAAAAAAGCACTGACGTAGTCAACAAAAAAAAATAAACAAATTGCTGACTAAGACTCGAGACTGCAGCAAATTTGATTACTACAGTGACCCCTGCAATCGTTGAAAAATTCCCAAACAACTTTTAAAAAACATGTCAAAACTGTGTATTTTTAACATTTTATAATCTTTGTTTTTAACAATTTAATAAGAAATTCTTTTCTTAGGAAGAAATTTAAGTAATATCGCTTGGAAGTTCCCATGAAAAATAGAGATTACAATTATATTTTTGTTAAAAACAAACCGGAATTCGAAGAAAGATTTTTTTTACCAAAAATGTGATTGTTTAAATAAAAATATTTATACCCCAAGAGGAAGCGGTTTCCAAACGCTTTCTTCCTCTGAAATTCATAGGAAAATTCGAATAAATTCCTTTTAATCCCAGCAAACAATTTGATTGGCATATTAACAACGACCGTGACTCTAATTAGTTAAAAATTCAGAATCGCATTCGTAGAAAACGAATTTTTCAAAGAGCAGGGAAGTGGAAATAGAAGTGAAGGTGCAACAAGTTGAGTGCTAAAGAAATTCTCTCTGGGGCCCCAAAGACTTTGCCTTCTGTTTTTAGCTGACGTGTTTGGCTATTTTTAAAGCCAATTTTAGCCTGACAATGACGTAATGACATGGCACAAAACACAACAAAATAAAAAAACTTGGCATCATCAAAGGCAAAAACAAAACGAAAACAGGTGATGACAATTTGTATTGTTTATAACAAAAGTGGCTAATAATTATTAACAGCACGAGTTAACATAGGCCTCTGTGTTTTAGCCAAATGTTAAATGCTAACAGTTGGCAACTTAAACTCGGAATTCAAACTCAAATTTCGCCTTTGTTTAAACGCTTTAGTTGCTTTTTTCTGTTGCTGCGGCATAAATTAGTTGGCAAGCTTGTTAAATACTAAATGTATACAAAAATTGCATGCTGAAGGTCGTCGTCGTTTGTTGTTTAGTTAGAAATGCGCATAATTATCTGAAAAAAATAATACAATTTTGATTTTTCAATTGGCAAAGACTTGAATAAACAAACTGCAGCTCCAGCATTGTTTGTTCAAAGTTGCAGCAATGTCACAGCGAAAAATAAAAAAATGGAAATATAAAAGCGAGAATTGAAGAGTTGACAAGTTCAAGAGCGGCGTCTTCAGCTGGGTGGAAAATGCACAGGGAAAAATGTTGTAAGAAAAAGGTTTATAAAATACAATAAATTGCGATAAGAGCTATTTTAACAGACTATTTATAAGAAAACATTCTAAAAGAAATATTTTGTTAAAACTTTAAGTTTTAAAAGGCTTAGAAAATGTTTGATAAATAAGTAGAATATTTATTTGTATAAAAAAGTTTTTTCTTATGTATTCTGCTCATAATAAACCTTGACGGTCCTTAAATGATATTTGTTTTCTGTGCACCACACAACTTTGTAATTGCACTTCCCTTGACGATAAGCATAAACCCATTTAAGATATGAATTTTTGCAAGTCTCTTGTGCGAATTGCATATAAATGCAAATTCTGCGAATAAAACAATTAACGCAAAGGAGAGGCAGAAATCATATTTGCCGTTTTATTTTGTATTTTATTAATGCTGTTTTACTTTATTTTATTTTTCGCTGTTCTTGGCTGGCAAAAGGGAGAACGTGACCGCAATGCCCAAACGAAATGGCCGATCGGCGTGTAGTGTTGACTGTGCTGAGTGCCGGCTGTCGGTTGTCGGTTGTCGGTTGTCGGTTGATAAAGCCCAATTTCCCCGCCCCTTTCCCGGCATTTCCCCTGGTCTAAAGAATTTTTTTGGAGTGGCCCAGAGTCAACGGCCGGCAGCAGAAGTCGACAAAAGTCGCATCCACACGGCTTGCCGGCCTTTTTTAGGCACGCAAAACAAAAACACAGAGAGAAGCCCCTTATATAACCAACATTTATGCAAAGTATACTTAGTGTGTTTTGTATATTTTGTGTACATATGCACAGAAAGCAGCGCCGTCATTAAAATCACTTGACGTTTGTCCATTTTCGGAACGCAACGCCCACCACAAACGAAAATTGAATTAAAGTTTAACATTTTTCGCTGGCAACGGGCAGCACAGACATAATTCAAAATTTGCCAAAAAAAAAGAGCAGGGGTAAAAAAATACCCCCGACAAATAAATTTGCAGTCGCTTTTCAGGATTCCGATTCCAATTCCCGAAACCCCTGGCTTTAAGTTCAGTGTCAAAGAGTCAAAATCTGCCAAGTGGGCCACCCCTGTTCCGAAGGTCCGATTTTCATCGAACTTTTTTACTTTTCCGGTTCACAACGAAAATATAAGAACTTCATTTGAACGGTTTTGCGAAATTTTGAGTTTTACCGGAGTTATAGGGGTCAAAACATGGCATTTTTGACACTTTTTCGAAAAAAGTTGCACTCAGTCAAAAATTCATAACTTCGGAACGGTAAGAGATATCTTTATGATGTTTTCACTAATCGCTCAAGAATTATTATGGCTTTCCATAAAAAAATTTAAAAAAAATTAAAAATTT